ACTATAATTCCACCCCAGTATCCTTGGCTTCCTACCAGGGCTCATATTTCTCTTTAAGGACAGTTTCCTCTGGTCTCTTTTTGTCCCAAAGTGTTGCATTAAGATGGTGGAAGAAGGGGGCTGGGGATTTAGCTCAGTGGCATAAAGCGCCTGCCTTGCAAGCAGGCAGTCATGAGTTCGATCCCTGGTACCTATAAAAAAAAAACAAAAAAGACAAAAAAAAAAAAAAAAAGATGGTGGAAGAAGGGCTAATCTTGCACTGGTTCATTTTCTCTGCCTCAGGAGAAGGGGGAGTTCTAATAATTGGCTAACTATAATACATTTTTGGGGAGACCAACTTAATACCATTATTTCAGCAGTATTATGACAGAATTATTTTTTAACATATCTCAAGTTAGGAAAGTGGGAAATATCTGTTTTCAATCATTGCTATCCTATGATTTTTGGTGGGAGGGGTTATAAAGTAGCTGTCATTCCTGTGTATCACAAACTTACATGTATTCCTGATTTAGTATCGTTCCAGGACTATGACATTTCAGTCAATAAGGGTAATTTAAAGACTTATTGAAGAAAGAACATGAGTTCTTGTTTTTGAAAAATCTTTTAATGCTTGGGCTAAGATTAAGAAAGTATTTGTATAATAATTTGCAAAATGGGAGTTGGCAGTTTTCAAGAAAATCTTGGAGACAATAGTGGATTGCTCTTCCAGGAACACATTCACCAGAGCTTTTAGTTGCTCGAGGGCATATTATGTGGGAACACAAATTAGATAACTTGGAGTCAAAAAGTGATTTAGGGATAGAAGACATAGCATAGTGTGTGCTTTTCTAATATACATGAGGTCCTGGGCTTAATCTCCAGTACTAAAAATAGTAATTCAGAAGAGTAGAAATTAAATATGAAGGTGTGTTTAATTTTCCAGGTATTCACAGAAATTATAGATATAGAGTAGTAATTTGTGTTTAAATCTGTTCAGAAGAATCGTTTCCAAAGAGTTAACAAAACTTCTAGATGATAAAGTATTGGCATTTTGCAAATAGTGTTTTTACCTAGTGGATAAAAGTGTATCTCAAAGGCATCCTAAATGGACAAAAACTGAAAGCTTTCACTTTAAAATTAGGAACAAGACAAGGATGTCCACTCCTATTCAACACAGTTGCAAAACATTAGCCAGAGCAATTAGACAAGAGAGAAATAAAAGGAATAAGTATATAAAAGGAAGAAATTATCGTTATTCACAGATGACATGATACGTTACATAGAAGGCTGAAAAAACTCCGAAAGAGTTAGTAGGCAAATTTAGCAGCATAGTTAGATACAAAGTCAGCAGTCAAAAATCAATAGTGTTCCTGTATGCAAACAATAAATTCACTGAGAGATTAAACAAATAACATCTTTCATGATAGAATCTAAAAAATCAAATACTTATGAATCTAACAAAGGATATAAAAGATCTGTATAGTGAACATGGATTGCAAAGGAGTACTCTGCAAAGGAGTTTCAAGAGGTTATGAGAAAATGGAAAGATATTCCTTGCTCATGGGTAGGAAGAACCAACATTGTGAAAGTGGCTATACTCCCAAAACTGTTATATAGGTTTAATGCAATTCTGTTCAAAATACCGTTAGTATACCTCAGATACTTGGAGGAAGCATTCCTAAAATTCATTTGGAATCAGGAGACCTAGAATAACAAAGGCATCCTGGGTGACAAAGGCAAGGCAGGAGGCATCACAATCCCTGATGTGAAGTTATACTGTAAAGCTTCTCTGATAAAATCAGCATGGTACTGGCAAGAAAACAGACCTGAGGATTAGTGGAACAGATTAGAAGCTGCAGACACAACTACAAAGACACTCAGCCGTCTTTGACCAAAGGGCCAAACATGTTCACTAGAAGAAAGATAGCCTCTTTAATTAATGGTGCTGGAGAAATTGGTTTTCTATCTGCCAAAGACTAAGACTAGACGCATGTCTATCACCATGTGCTAAGCTAAAGTCAAGTGCATCAAACATATGTATATTAAGTCAGAAATGCTAAATATACTAGAGGAAAAACTAGGTAGAAAATTTGAAGACAGGAGTAGGCAGAGAGTTCATGAACAAAACCCAAACTGCACAGGAAGTATTTCAGAGAATCAACAACTGGACTCTCTTACTAAAACATTTTTTGCACATCGAAAGAAATCACCAACAGAATGAAATAAAAACCCATATGGTGGCAAAAACAATTTAGCCAACTGTCCCTCTGAGAAGAGACTTCTGTCTAGAATATATAAAGAATCGAAAACAATCAGGCCCCCAAAACTCAAAGACCCAATAAAAAAATGGGCATCTAAGATGAATACACGTCTCAGATGAAGTAATACAAATGGCAAATAAATATATGAAAAAAGTTCAACACTGTTGATCATTCGCGAAATGCAGATTAAAACAACACTGAGATTTCTTCTCATCCCAGAAAAAAATGGTTATCATCAAGAAGTCTCCCAGTAACAAATTCAGAGGGGCTGTGAGGAAAAAAGAACCCTTCTGCACTGTTGAGGGAGTGTAGACTGGTTCAACCCCTGTGGATATCAGTGTAGAGATTCATTAAAAAAAAACTCTAGGATTGGAGGTATGGATCGATTCAATCTAGCTATTCCTCTTGTGGGTATTTTTACAGGAGAATTAAAAACATCATACCACAATGGTACATGTGCACCTATGTGTATTGCAGTGCAATTTATTTTTTATTTTTTATTTATTTTTTTACCCCATTCTATTCTGTGGGATGCAGTGCAATTTATAATAGCTGAATCTTGCAAACAACCCAAATGCCCATCAACCATGGAATGAATAAAAATGATGGATTTTTATACAGTGGAATACTAAGAGATAAAGAAGGGTAAAGTTGAGGCTTTTATCGGTAAATGGATGTAACTCGAGACCATACTCATAAGTGAAATAAACCAGACTTCTATGTGTAAAAAATTGTGTTGTCTCCCTAGTGTAAAAACTGAAAGAGTAAATAAGATCCAACATGTATAATTGCTATTGTGAAAGGGGAAGAAACTGCTCAAAAGGAAAGAACATCTGGGATGGGCAGAAGGAGAAAAGGGAAAAGATTATATGTATACATGGTAGGTAATTACTAGTAATCTTGGTTTATCAGAATGGTTTAGTAATCTTGGTTCATCAGAATGGTTTGTGCTTTCATTCTTTGATGATTTTTGCATGCCTATACCTTGTAATCTGAGCAACTACTTTGAAGATAACAACATGCAATGTATTAACCATTGCTAATCTCCCTATTTGTTTTGAAATTCTATGTGATCAGTTTTATTTTTTTTTAATTTTTAAAAATTAAGATGTAGGCTTTTAAAGTTTATTGAAGCATTATTACTTTAAAAGTTTAATATTTTTTCTTTTTAAGGTCATAGTACAGTATTGTTGAAGTTATGTATGTAATATCTAAAAGTCTTTCATTTGTAATTAATGGATTGATGAGAAGTTATTTAACCAAAAACAGAAAATTTAAAGTTGAATTACTAAGAGCAAGGGAAAAATGCCAAAACTGATGGAAATATCAGAAGACTGGAAAAGGTGTAGAAGTGTAACTTAACCCTTTAAAGGCCCTTTCCTGGGCCTGAAATCAAATTGACGTAAGATTAGCAGGAGCGGGGTGGGGTGGGGGGAATTTAGCTCAGGGATGTTAAATGCCTTCCTGGCAAGTGTGAGGATGCCTGGTACAAAAAAAAAAGATTAGCAGGAGGAAAGCATATGGATTCAGGGGTTTGTGTATGTGCATGTGTGTCTGTGTATGTGTGTGTGCATGTGTCCTCAGAAGGAGCTAGACCCAAGGAAATGATAGAATCCGTATTCCTGGATATTAAGTTGAACAAAGAGAAGCAGTTATGGAAAAGTAGATAAACTGTGTGGGAGACTAAAGGAAGATAAAAATTGTTTTCATAACTTATGTTTGTATAGAATTCTCCAGATGATGACTTCAAAAAATGTTTCTTTTCTTTGATACAAGGAGGACATCTTTCTCCTGGGATTTTTTTTTTATCCTTTTAAATGTCCTTTTGTGAGGAAGGAAAGAGGAAGATGAAAATGTTCTCTTTGCGTCTAAGCTCAAAGTAATCCTTATGTTAAAGAGGGATAGTTAGAGTACTCTTCAAGGGCAGATGGAAAGAACCAAAACAAACAAAAAGGCTTTTCAGAAATACCCTTGGAGATAAATCCTAATGTGTCTCACTAGTTACAGGTCTGGGGGAAGCTTTTTTACCATCCAAGTTAATTTATATTCACCCAATAGTGCTAATAAAATATCATGGCATTCTTTTGAGGATTAAATAATAGTAATAATTACACTATATTTTGAATAATATATACCAGACCTGAAATACTTTAGGTGTATTTTATCTTTTGGCAAACATTAATTCTCACAAACTTTTTCTTTTGCCTTCTTTCACTCTGTAATATGTACTTAATGTTCTGGGTCTTTTCATATCTTGACAGCTTATTTCTTTTCAGGGCTGAACAATATCCCATTAAGTAAATATTACAGAGTGAAAGAAGGCAAAAGAAAAACGTTTGCATATTTTATGATTCAAGTCTTTGACATTCTGGACAAGGCAAACAAAACCAAGGAGGCAGTAAAAAGTTAAGTGTTTGCCAGGAAGTGGGGAAGGGAGTGGTGAGGGGGCCAGGCGCAGAGGGCAGGCAGCTTCTGTATTGCATGATAATGCCCTGGCAGCCACCTGTTGAAACCCCCAGGAATGTGCAGCACCAACTGTGAGCCTGGGTGTGGACTGTGGACTTAGAGTGTTAATGGTGTGTCCATGTGGCCTCACGTGGCCTGCTGGTAGTGGGGGAGATTTTGCATGTGTGCGAGCAAGAGTATGAGGGAACACAGTGCTTTCTGTTCAGTTCTTCCATGATGTGAAAAGTGCTGTAACAGTCATTTGGTAAAATAAAATACATATCTTAAGTGTGATATTTCTGATATTCTTTGTAGGCTCAAAACAAGGAGACCAATGTTTTAGCTGCTGCAAAGGTGATTGACACCAAGTCTGAGGAAGAGCTTGAAGATTACATGGTTGAGATTGATATATTAGCATCTTGTGATCACCCGAACATAGTCAAGCTTCTAGATGCTTTCTATTATGAGAACAACCTCTGGGTGAGTGTTCGCTGTTTTCGGTGGGGTAGGTTGGGAAAGCCCATTTTATGTGTTACCTTTTCTGTCTGCGTAGTTATGTGGATGAGGCTTGTTTGCCTACAAAGACATCATTAATAGCACAGTCATCCTCAGCTTCAGAGCGTACATAACGTGTTCACGTAAGTTTCAGGTTATGCCAGTTTAATTGTGATTGTTAGCCATTAAATCCTGGTGAAAAAAATTGGTTAAGAATATTAAATAGTACATTTCTCAAGATAATGAAATTAGTTATACTTGTTTGTAATTTAACTTTAATTTTTTTAAGATTCATTTTAAACTATTTATATTTTTTAACCTAAAATTTTTGTAAATGATATAATAAACTCTAAAATATGTTAATGTTAAACGTTTATATATTACCAGGTTCAACTTTAGTGCATGGTGGCTAAGTTGTATGTATCAATTTTGTTTGTTTTTAGGAAAATAGGCACAAATAGATACAGAAATAAAATGTTACTATTCATTATGATTACTAGCCAGTCACTTGTTTTATACTAACTTAGTTTAATCAAGAGAGCTTTTAAAAATGAAGTTTTAGTTTTTCTCCTTGAAGCAGCAGCAGCAAAGGAGCATAAAGAATGTCGCACTGGAAATCCAGATGAATAAGCACCTCCAAAAATACTTTTCAAATAGTATTAATTTGAAAGAAATTTGTAGTTGGCAAACATTCTTGTATTGTTAGAGTGAGGCTAAAAAGCATAGAGAGTTACACAATTTCTTAAAATGCTATTTTTAAAAAGTTACTTACTGTTGTGGTAACTTTTAAGATACTGTAGTTGTTCAATGTTCTAGTGCAATAGTTCCAAAGATTATAAGGAAAATATTCTTAGACAATTTGATAAATCTTCACTCAGGGCTACTGAAATATAAAACTTTAGATTACTGTTTAATAGGAGACATATTAATAAAAACCACAATAAACATAAGATTATAATTGAATAAGAATTAGAATTGATAAGGGTTAAAGAGGAAAGGTATATGGTGTTTTATCTTGCACAGGGTCAAGAAAAGCACCCATTAACAATGATAATTGAGTTAGAATCTGAAGCTCTCTTTCTTTTTGAAACTAAAGTCTTTATATATTTTCAGGATTTACCTTTTATTTTTGTGTGTGTACTGAGGATTAAACCCAAAGCTTGCACATTAGGTAGGCAAGCACTTTACCACTGAGCTGTGGTGCTAAACCCTTGTTTCATTTTTTGAGACAGGGCCTCTCTGAGTTACCTAGGCTGGGCTTAAGCCTTGGATCCTCTTGCCTCGGCTTCATGAGTAGCTAGGATTATAGGCATGTTCTACTATACCCAGAGGAATCTATTACTAGCAAAGTTAATATTTTTTACCACTTAAATTGTAGCAGTTACCTTAAAAGGAGAGTAATGAATTCTTTGAGTAGTGACAAAATAGATTATAATACAGTACTAAATAAAAATTTTGTATCTGGTAATTTTAGAGGGCACTAAAAGTGTTCCTAAGTAAAGATGTACATGCTTTCAAAATGTGTTTTCTTTGGTATTTCTTAAATGTTTATCTTTTAAAACCGGTAACTCTTGACAGAGAAACTCTTTAATATTTAGTATAATATTGTTTCCATGACCTAAACCATTTGATAGCTATTTTTTATTGTTTTTGATAAACCGAAAAAGAATTTTGAAACTCTATATAATATAATTTTCAGACAAATGCTTTTTTTTATTTGTATGCAGATCCTCATTGAATTTTGTGCAGGTGGAGCAGTAGATGCTGTGATGCTTGGTAAATACTTTTTTATTCTTTATGTTTATATCTTAAATTTAAAAAGATTTCAACTCTCTCTCTCTCTCTCTCTCTCTCTATATATATATATATATATATATATATATATATAATTGTTGGGTGAAGTTCAATAAATTAAAAATCAATTTAATTATATTTTAAAATTCTTGGATAATATAATACAATTCAAAAATTAAACTGAGCGGCTGGGGGGTTAGCTCAGCAGCGTAAGTGCCTGCTTGGCAAAGGTGAGGTCATGAGTTCGATCCCCGGCACCCCCCACCCAAATTAAACTGAGATGTGGAGTATTATGTCACTATTCTTTGTAGATACTTAGTTCTAAAATAAATTCACTGTATATTTGACAAGACCACATTTGACATGGGACAAGACTGCAGTATGGTATAGATTGGACTGTATAAACGTGATGGTATGCTTTCCTTGTGTAAGAATGCAGTTTTTTTTTTACTTTGTTGTTGTAGAACTGGAGAGACCTTTAACTGAGTCCCAAATACAAGTAGTTTGCAAGCAGACTTTAGAGGCACTGAATTATTTACATGATAATAAAATCATCCACAGAGACCTCAAAGCTGGCAACATTCTCTTTACCTTAGATGGAGATATTAAGTTGGGTAAGTTATTCACCTAAAAAGTTATTTGAATTTGTGCTCTGAGATTCCCCCCTATACGTATGTGACTTACTGTTGTTTTATTACTAAATATGTAAAACATGGAGAATTCTTCTCTGCTAAGTTTTTAAATACTTCCTTGGATACTCATTAACTTCCAGAATTCCTAGGTATGGACACTAAAGACAATTTTAAAAAACAAAAGAGGGTAGATTTTTATTTTCAAAAGGGCAAATTTTTAAAAGTGTGGGTAAAATTTTTTTCTTAAACTTTTCTGTATAGACTATACAAATATTTTGCTTTTTAGAATATAGTATAGTTTACTCATTTTTTTTTTTTTCTTGGAGGTGGTGCTGGAACTGAGGTTTGAATCCAGGGCCTTTCCACCAAACTGTATCCCCAACCTTTTGTGATAGGATCTCACTAAGTCACTGAGGATACCCAGGCTAAACTTTTAATTTGCAATCTTCCTGTCTTTCAGCCTTCCAGAGGGCTGGGATTAGAGACATGTGCTACCATGCCTGGTTTCAGTTTTATCTTGATTTTCAGAATTTGTGTCTAGCAGGTCTTTTTCTGTTTTATGCTTTGTTGGTGTGGTACGTTTGGGTAAACTAGCAAAGTATCTTTATGTTTGAAAAGATATCTAAAGTAAGTATAAAGACTAGCATTTTAATTTTTTTACTCCAAAGGAATAAATGATTAACTTTCCATAAGAAAAATGAGATACAGATTTTAGATTAGGGATTAATTAATATATGTGTGCATACACACATATACATGCAGAAGGAAGAGCTATATCCCTGTTTAAATATACCCAAGATATGAAATCAAAGAATCTAGTGATGAAGTCTGAGTTTGTGTATTTTGGAAGGATATTAAAAAGACAATATATTCAAAGATCATAGTGGTATCAATGATTATAATCATTTTACTTTATCATGACATTTAAACAAGTGATAAATTTTATCCTTTTTAATTGTGACAAGTAGATACAGAAAGCCACACCAAAAAACTGTATACTTAAATGACTTTCTAGCTTTATAGACAAGAGCTTTAAAATCAACACCTAGAATTAAGAAATCAAACATTGTCAGCCACCTGTATGTTCTTCCATGTGACCATCTCAGTCACCCTTTCCTTGTCCACACTCTTGGCTTTTATAATAATCACTTCCTTTTGTTTTTTTATGACTCAGTTATCCTGTGTTTAACACCCTGTGTCCGGATGTTAAAGTTTAAACTTGCCCAAATATAAATTTTGTTTTTTCTTTATAATTTATAGGTTCTATCTCAATCCTTTTCTTTATGATATATATTCCTCTGGAGGCAATATTGTCTCCAAGGGACCAATAGTTGATTCTTTGGGGGTAAAAAAATACTACATATTACAGTAGTTTGTGACCTCTCCTTGAAGGCCCATGGTATAGTTACAGTATATCTCTGATATTAAAATTTGATGGGTGCAGGAGTGAGTAGGAAAAATTGTCTGCAATTAACACCCTCCTTAGGAGGGTATTGTTGAAAGGAAGATGGAAAACATTGATCCATGCATGTAGGCCAGGTGAACCTCTTAGAGATGAGTGCCTAGACTGCAAACCAAAACCTACTTATTTATTACAAAGCACCAACACTGCAATTAAACCTAAATACGGAGGTTTTAGTTTAGAACAAACAATTCAGCTGGGCATGGTGGCACATGCCTGTAATCCCAGCACTTGGGTGGCTAAGGCAGGAGGATTCCCTGGGCTATGTAGTGAGTTCGAGGCCAGCGTGAAATACACAGCAACACTTTGTGTCATTAAAAAAAGAAAAAACAACTCATATTAACACCTTTTGTCCTAAAAAACAAACAAATACATACACACACACACACACACACACACACACACACACACACACATACACACACTCTGTAGGTTTACCACCACTGATCTGAGGCTGTTTCCTGTAGCATGTTCCTTTATCTATTTTGCATTCTCACAATGATTTCAGTAATTTCCTCTTTATTTTCTTTAAATTGGCAGATGAATCCAAAGGCATGGTAGTCTCAAATCTGATCCTTAGCCAAGATGAAATGATTTTTGAGTTCTTTCATCAAGAAGTACACAATACCTACTTTTTATTCTTTCTTTTGTTTTACATATTACAAACAAGTCCAGCTATAAAGCAAAATTAAATTTATCCAGTCACTTGTCATTTTTAAATTTTGATAATTTTGATGTAATCATTTTATTTTCATTTATTATTATAAATTAACTAGTTATCTAGGGTTACAGTTTATACAGAAAAGATAAGAAAATGGTTTTTAGTATTTAAGTTAATAAGTTGGTTCTTTGATAGTTACCTGAGCTCTAACCTGAAAAGGTGGGGTTAGTAACTGCTAAAGCTGTAGTGTTGCTATTCTTGATAATTGAATGAGAAAATGTAAAGTCCCTAATACACCTTTTTGTGAGAAAGCTGGTAAGAATCTGTCATGAAGGCTACTTGTAATTTGTTTTTCACACTATAAAAAAAAAGATGTCTGGAGATTTAATTACAACGTATATCACTAATTTAGGGTCTTCTTGAAATGTATAAACTTTTAAAATTACTATTTTCAGTTCTGAAGAATATATTATTTGAAGGTATATGAAGATGGTCACATTAAATTTATTAATGATGGAAACTTTGGTAATGTTTTTGGAAAGTGGTAGAATGACAGTCGTCAAGATTAGAATGTAGGAAATTTCTTTCTTTTGCTCACCCTTTAACAAGAGTATATGTATTACAGATTTGAAATGCTCCCCTCCACCTCCCTGTTGAATATAAATAACTATGTTAAAAACTATTATTAATGCCATTGTGTAATTATTTATTTCAAGCCGATTTTGGAGTATCAGCTAAAAACACGAGGACAATTCAGAGAAGGGATTCCTTTATTGGCACACCATATTGGTAGGTATCAGTTATTACAGATTTACAGTATTAGTCATGTCAGCAGTTTTTCTCACCCTAGAACTGGGCAGAAATCCAGAATCCTGAACTTTCTCACTGAACTACATCTCTAGCTCTTTATTTTTTTATTTTGAGGCAGGGCTTGCTAAATTGCCCAGGCTGGGCTTGAACTTGTAATTTCCACCCCAGACTCCCAGAGTGTTTGGATGATAGATGTTCGCCACTATTCATGGTCAGCAATTATTAGTCCTGATTAATTTGTCCACTTTATTTTTGTTCATTTGTCTTTTTGAGACAGGATCTTACCATGCAAGTCAGGCTGTCCTTGAACTCACTGTATAGTTCAGGCTGGCTTCAAACTCAAGGCTGTCCTCCTGCCTCAAACTCCCAAGTGTTGAGATTATAGGCATGCGCCACCACTCCTGGCTGTCTGTAATTCACTGTACTGTCTTTTGGTTTTCCACAGCTGTGTTTAATTTAAACATCTTAACTTCCAGTCCTCTCTCCTCCTAGGATGGCCCCTGAGGTGGTCATGTGTGAGACATCAAAGGACAGACCGTATGACTACAAAGCTGACGTATGGTCCCTGGGCATCACTTTAATAGAAATGGCTGAGATAGAACCACCGCATCATGAGTTAAATCCAATGCGAGTGCTGCTAAAAATAGCAAAATCCGAGCCCCCGACGCTAGCACAGCCGTCTAGATGGTAAACTGTTCCACATTGAGCTTTCTAGGAAACAAAACTTGTTCCATTCTTCTAATTTTCCAGGGGTATTTCATTTTGGGTATATGGTACAAAGACCATGTGAGTTACAAAAGTGATTGTGGATATATTTTCAAGATTTAAGGACTGTAAAAACAATTATGACTAAGTTTTCCATGTATTTGAAAATTTGAATGAGTCAGGTTCTGCGTGAAAGATGTTTTCTGCACTGTGAGAAAGTGAGGCACGTTTGTGGCTGTGGAATTTAGTACAGTAGCATTTTTGGCATACTTGTGACTATCTGACTATGTCTCAGTGACTGTGTTCCTATTTAGATTTATTTCTATTGTGTATATTCAGAAGACTAAGTTTTATAAAATTTTATTCGATTAGCTAGTTTTCTAATGTTAATACCATTCATACATAATGAAACTTAAGTATGACTTATCAAGGAATTTTCTTTGAATATCATTGTTAAAATTGTATTTTAAAGGTCTTCAAATTTTAAGGATTTTCTAAAGAAATGCTTAGAAAAGAATGTGGATGCCAGGTGGACCACATCTCAACTACTACAGGTAAAATAGGGGTAGAATGACAACAGCAAGCCATATTGTTTTAATATCTTTCAAAAAGTGCACAGATTCATCCATTGTATTCTCTTTGCATTTGAGTTTATCTACAGAAAGTCAAAATATGTAATGCAATAGTTTGAATTTGCTTCACAGACATATGCTGCAACCCCTTACGAGGCATTCAGTTTATGAGCCATTTCTCTTGTGCTTTATTTGGTTTAATTGTATTCCGTTCACTTTCATTATGTCTCTGTACTTACTAGAAAGCAGGCACCTGTGAGCAAAGACCATTAGCTAATTAATTTTTAAAAGGTGTCTTACAGTGAGAATAATGTTGGATACATATAATTGAGTTTTTAAAAATGATACTAAAGTGAATAAATTTATTTTTGGTTTATAGCTGAACCTGTTTGTATTATGTGAAGCAAAGTTTGTTAAATCAGTAATATTTATGGGCAGACAAAGAGGATACAAGTTTGGGGACAGTTACTATATTAGGAATTATTGTGTAGCTCCTGCATTGTAGTGTTTTAGATTGATCTATTTATGGGGTGGAGGAAAAGCAGGAAAAAGTTACTGTGTGTGTGCAAGTCTGTGCCTGGAGCATGCCGTTTGTGCACTGCGTATACAGAGATGGATGAAATGGCTTCTTTAAGAATATTAAAGCAATCTCTAAAACAAATAGCACAAGTATTTGTAGATACTATTCACAACTCTAAAGCTTTTTGTGATTTTACAAATTGAGGTTTTGATATGATTTATATAGATAATTGTTACTTTCTAAGAATCAGTGATATACTGACTTGCTTTAAATTTTAATTTTTGTATTATGAACTTTTCAGACAAATAAAAATACATGCACAAGGCATCAATTTTGACAAATTTTCTTCAGATTCCTAGGGAAAAAAAGCACAGATCTAGTTGTAGGCAACTATGACTATTGCAGTCCCTCTCTCTCCTTTCCTTTCCAAATACATAACCTCTTCTGAAGTTATTTGTGCTTTTCCTACATAGTGATTATTAAGGATGCGTTTTCTATGTGTTGGACACACTTTACAAAGTAGCTCAGTTGTTACAGAGCGTTCTCTTTTTAATGATCAACAGCATCCCTTTGTGACTATTGATTCCAACAAACCAATCCGAGAGCTGATTGCAGAGGCAAAGGCTGAAGTAACCGAAGAAGTTGAAGATGGCAAAGAGGAAGATGATGACGAGGAAATAGAAAATTCTCTGGTCAGTGTTGGAAAGGAAATATCCTTTAATATTAAAGTTTTTAAGAGTAGAGTTTTGGGATCTGAACCTGTATCTTGAGGATTAATACTTTTAATTTGAGAGGTGAATAGCAGAGTTGTTCCTTGCCATCCATTCTTATCATGTTTGGTTGGAAATACTATTTAACATATATTACCTGAATAATTATCATCATTTTTATAACTTCAAGTTTTACTGAATGTAGGTGTCAGACTATTGTTATATGTGTACACATTGTTTTGATCATTATCTGTTTTAACACTAAAATATATATAAAATCTTTTTTAGCCGATACCTACAAATAAGCGTGCCTCCTCTGACCTTAGTATTGCCAGCTCTGAGGAAGATAAACTTTCACAAAATGCTTGTATTTTGGAATCTGTCTCAGAAAAAACAGAACACAATGCTTCTGGAGATAAATTTAGCACCAAAGTGCTTAATGAAAAGCCTTGCCCTGGTGAACCTGAGAATGCTGTGGAGCTTGTTGGTGGAGCTGTGGCTGTGCTCCCTGACAGAGCTACAGAGCTCCCGGAAAGTGGAAGAGAGGAAAAGCGGCCCAAGCTCGATCGCCTGCCTGACACAGAAGACCAGGAAATGGCAGACATTAATTCAGTCAGTGAAGGAGAAGAGGATCATGCAGTCACTTCAGAAACAAATATTGAACATAATTTGAAACCTGAGAAAGAAAGAGATCAGGAAAAGCAACCAGTACTTGAAAATAAACTTGTAAAATCTGAAGACACCACTATTCAGACCGTGGATTTAGTATCTCAGGAGACTGGAGAAAAAGAGGTGGATATTCATATACTTGACAGTGAAGTTGTACATGCAGTGGAAGACACACATGAAAAACTGAGAAAGGATGATACAACTCAGAAAGACGTGATCAGTGATACAAGCAGTGTGGGAGAAAGAGATGAAGAAATAGGTGCTGTGCCGAAAACAGCTGAGAGCAGCGCTGAGGGTGCTCAGGGTGATGGTGGGAAAGAAACGGATGAAGGAGCCCAGATATTAATAAGTAAGGCCACAGAGGGTCCCAAGGCTAGTGGCACTGAAGAGGCTCCTCCCGTTACAGAAATCACAGAGACTAATGACACGGATCAAAAACTCGTGGAAAATACACATGAGAAACAATTACCCATCAGTTCAGAGACCACACTGGACACCAGCGAGGGACTGGGGGCGAGTGAAGGTCGGGAAGTTACCGAGTCAGGTAGCACTGAGGAAGTGGAAGTAGAAGGTGCTGTGAGTGAGACTGATGAAGAGGACGTGCAGAGTGAAACTCGAGGTGCTCCCATGGCTGTTACTCAGATGGATACAGAGAAGAACGAAACCCCGCATGAAGCGCCAGCCCAAGTGGAAGTTCAGGTTCCTGTCCCTCCGCAGCCCAGTGAGCCTCCGCCTGCTCCAATTCCCAGTATTAATATCAACTCAGAAGCTGCAGAAAATAAAGGAGAAATGGGCGCTTCATTAAACACTGAAACCATCCTGCTGCCAGAATCTGAGAGTCAAAAGGAAAATGATACTGATTCAGGCACTGGTTCCACTGCTGATAATAGCAGCATTGACTTGAATTTATCTATCTCTAGCTTCCTAAGTAAAACTAAAGACAATGGGTCAATATCTTTACAAGTAAGTGGGTGTGGGTCATTGTTTGAGGTTTTCTTTGTCATTTTGGCAATTTGGATTTTAGTGATCTCTTAAAAATGAGACACTATTAAGTCAGTGTAATAGTGACCCTCTGGATTCTTTTGCACTACTATAGTAATCAGTTAAAAGAACCAGAGAGAGATTCTGGATGCATTCTTTAAAATTTTGAATAAAACTTATTTTGAAAACCTGATACAAATGATACATTATAGTTGTTTAATTTGCATGTCTAGGTGCAAATTTAGCAGTGCTCACTAAGATATGAACTGAAAACTTAAAATAATTGTTTTTCCCCTTTTTTGTTTTGAGACATTTTAAAGTGTTTTGTTACAATATAGTTCAGGCTGGCCTTGAAGTCACTTTGTAGCTCAGGCTGACCTTTAACTCACAGTTATCCTCGTGTCTTAACTTCCTGAGTGCTGGGACTACAAGCATGCACCTCCATGCTCAGTTAAGCATGATCTCCTTTTAGAACATGTTTAGTATGTACACAATCCTTGACTTAACACTGGTTGCTACAGGTGACCAGTCTTGCTTCCTTATAGCCCTGCTGCTCCTGTGAGGACCACAGTAGGAAAGACACACAACCTAAACCTGCAACCCCAGTATACATGATCTGGTAGAGCATAATTCTTAAAATTCTAGAGTGTTTAGGCTTACCAGGGGAGCTGTGTAGAAGTCTGGGATTGGCCCAGGAATCAATATTATTAAGAAAGACACATGGAATTCCAATACAGGTGGGCCATGGAATACCCTCTGGACAATACTTCTTAGAGTCTTTGTGTTGATAAGTAACAGAGGAGAAGATTCAGAAGCAACCCAGGAAAACTGACCTTTAGTGGCAGAACTCCCAGGGCATGACTGGTCACCTTGCCACTGTACCTCAGAGGATTCCATGTCTTGCTTGGATTTTTTTTTTCTTTATTTTAGTTTACTTTGTTTCACTGACTGGAATTCTACAATCCAAAATTAATTCCACCAACCCAAGTGGATAGAAGAGCACTTTTGATATTAATGTACTGATAAAAGAGCATTTGATACCCAGAACCTTTTCAAAAACCCACCCAAGCCACACTCAGATGCATTGCTTTAGTTTTTTAAGGAATGAACCATAGGAATATTTTTCTCTGTTTTTTTTGAGACAGGGTCTCACTGTGTAGCGCAGGCTGGCCTTGAACTTGTCAGTGATCCTCTAGCCTCAGCTTCTCTGGAATTACACATATTTACCACCGTATCTGGCTCAAGGATTTCATTTCTAAGTGTTTTGTCAGTGAAAAAGCAGAGATATCTCAGAACTCACTGAAGTAAAAAAATGAAAACATAATTGACGTGTAAAAGTTTTATATGCACATCACCAAAATGCTTGTCACTGTAAAAGATTTGACTTCTTCTGTAAAGTAAATCTAAGTCAGATGAGATCTAAGGTAATATAACTGGTTTCCCAGAAGAGCGTTATCACTTTATAGTCATATTTTATAATCTTCATGGCTGTTCTGCTATTTTAGTTTTAGAAATATGTTTTCTACCTTCAGTACTCTGTTTTTAAAGCCTAATTAAAATAAAATTGTACTTAGGAAACAAGAAGACAGAAGAAAACATTGAAGAAAACACGCAAATTTATTGTCGATGGTGTAGAAGTGAGTGTCACGACGTCAAAGATAGTTACAGACAGTGATTCTAAAACTGAAGAGTTGAGGTTTCTAAGGTGAGTAGAAAAACAACTTTGCTTTTTTTTTTTTTTTTTTTTTGGCATTTTGAGATAAGAGTCTTACTATGCAGTTCAGACTGGCCTTGAACTCACTTTGTAGCGCAGGCTGGCCTCAAATTCACAGCAATCCTCCTGCCTCAGCTACCTAAGTGCTAGGATTACAGGCATGCATCACCATGCCCAGCTCTCACTTTTTGTTTAAAACAATTTTAAAGCTTTGTAAAAGCTTTGGTTCCAAGGTGTAATTTTTGCAGTCTTCTCCTTTGTCATTACTTTTGTCAGGCGTCAGGAACTTCGAGAATTAAGATTTCTTCAAAAAGAAGAGCAAAGAGCCCAACAACAGCTCAACGGCAAACTACAGCAACAACGAGAACAAATTTTCCGGCGCTTTGAGCAAGAAATGATGGTAACACCTCAGATTTCTGTACCAATTTGTCAATAATGATATTTAGTGCTTACTAAACAAACCACTAGTGGGTTTTAGAATTTGCTCTGAATCATTAGATTTTCCTGATTTTGTGTTGTATTTCTAGCCTTTATCTCTTTGGGGTTTTGAACGCCTTTTTTTAATCCTTTTTTCTTGGAAAAATCTTCCAATTTCAGTTTCGTTATCACTGGTTTGTGGTGTGACAGAGTCTTTATTTCTTCCCAGGTCAAGTCTGTCATGAAAACTTGGCAGTGCGAAGCAAAGTTCTTAGATGTGCCTATCAGTGTTGCAGTTCAGTTTTCAATTTAGAATCTGTTTGTAACCAGTCTAAAGCTAAACACTTGTCCTCAAGCCTGCTTAGTGTTAGAACTTCTTAGGGGCTTTTTCAAAGTACACTTTCTTCTCTGGATCCTATAGAAAAGGCTCCATCATTGCTACTATAGAAAACAGTGCTAATTAGTCAAGGCAAGTTGTTGCTGAGTCCTTCAATTTTTTCTTGTGTCCAAATTTTTTTTTTTTTCCAGTTCCAGGGCTCAAAGTTATAACCTTGTGCTTGCCAGGCAGGTGCTTGTGCCATTGAGCTACATCTCCAGCCCTTTTGTGTCCACAATTGAACAAGGAACTAGTAATGTGATGAAAAATATTATTATCTTAGGTGTATCACTTAGCTTATTGTAAGTTCGGAAAGAAGTGTTTGAAATAATATTCAGGGTTACATGCAGTCCTGTGTAGTTTTAGGCGGTGAGGGTTGTTTTGTGTGAAATGTGGCATCATTCATTGTATATTAGTAACTGGGATTCCTAAGAAAATCATGAGGTTTTGTTTCTATCATGTACTTTTACAGCATTTCTATTCTCTTTTGTAGGACTGTATGAAAGTTCTCTCTTTTCTCTCCAAATATTTTCCTAAATGTTTTGCATTTCAGTTTCTTAAAAAAGATTTATTTTCAAATATTTATACCTCTTTCCAAACTTACCTACTCAAGTCCTGTGCAATGTAAGTAGGAGTCTTTGGCTGAAACAGTTGATTTATAATTGCAAAGTATTGTCTCAGTAGCATAAACTGCTTATTTTAAGACTCTTAACATAGAATAAATCTTACAATGATGAACAATGTGACATTAAAATGAATTTAGATGAGTCCTTCAATTTATTAAAAATTTTTTTTGAATGAATACTGTCATTTTTCTAACTTCAGTAGTCCATAGTAACTGGGTATTCTGGGTTGTCTAAATTTTTTCAACATTCTACTACTTGTATAATGGAAGTTAAAATGTACTTTCTGAAAATTTTCTAAATACTGTAGGGTATTTGATTTGTTTAGAATGAAAAGGTTATGTCATATCACTTAATTTAAATGCTAGCTATGTGCTTTTACTAAATATCTTCACTCTAATGAGTTAATGTGCATGATAAAATCATCTTAAGCTGCCACATTTTACAGAGTAAAAAGCGACAATATGACCAAGAAATTGAGAATCTAGAAAAGCAGCAGAAACAGACTATTGAACGACTAGAACAAGAGCACACAAATCGCTTGCGAGATGAAGCCAAGCGCATTAAAGGAGAACAAGAAAAAGAACTGTCCAAATTTCAGAATATATTAAAGAATCGGAAGAAAGAGGTACGTCCAACTACCATTTTCAGTTATTAGAACTATTTTTAAAGTGTACATTTAGGACTACCTGAGGAAATAGGAGCAGTACCTGATAGCTGAACACCATTTATTCCGTCATTCTGTCTTCCCACTGGAATAGGGTGCAGCAGTAAGACCAGGGGTCATCCTCGTGTTACTGCTGAGAAGACTGGAGAAAGAGGCTTTCGTGGCATAGTCAAGTTCATAAACCACCAGTCTAGAATACCTAGTCTAGCTAAACCCTAATGAAGTCTTCAAATTGTCTAATCCATATTCCAGTCTCCTAGTCCTTATTTATTATCCAGTAAACCTTACATCACTGGTATTTGCCAGTGGTAGCAGTAGTTTATTTTCATATTTTTTGTCTTTAATTCATACTTTTAGCACATTTTTTGGAGTAACTTGAAATTTAAAATAATAACTATAAGCTTAACAAATTGGGAGGTACTTTGAGGAACTGAAAGTATAAAATAACTGTACATCAGTTGATGAGGATTTTTTTTAATCTTTCCTAATGTGATCCCAAACTGTTACAGAATTTATTTGCAGTAATATTTTCTGTGAAAGATTATCATTGATTCATAAGAATGATTTCAGAGATCATGTTATGGTTTATTCTATATCTTCAAAATAGGAGGTGAATTTATCTTTTAATGTTACAAAAGATCCCAGGGAAAAAATTATAAATAACTCTATTAGGATTAGAATTTAAAAATCTCAACCAAATTAGTGATATATTTTCATTTTTGTTACCCAGCATAATCACTCAGATACATTGACTTTGACATTTAAATTATGGAGAAAAAAGTTAGAAACTATGTAAAATTCCTTACACCTGCTGTTCTTCACATATGAACAACCTCCCAATCTACTGAGCTTTAAAAGTGTACTCGAGTTGTGCTAAATAGAATAGAGTTGAATGTTAGTTAAAAACAGTGTTGATATATAATTTTACTTTATATGGCTACTATTTCTAAAAATTAACTTCGTTACCATTTATTATGTTTCATATACAGTCATTCTAACGTTATAGTAATATTTTTTAATTTTACTAAAATTATGGGTAGTTTTTTCCAGGAATTATTCCTTATATCAGATTAAATTAAAACTTTTTCATTTAAGTATATGAGTTAATTCTAAAATAATAGGTTTCTAGTCAGTTACTGTTTTGAGTTGAGTTTTAGCTAGTCAACATGTTTAAAATCATGTTATGCATATTTTAAATAATTGCGTATTTTTTCTTTATTGCTATATTTCTTGCATTTGGGGAGTCTCTTTCTTTTATTGGTGATTTGGTTTCATGAGGGATTCCTGGTGGGAAATTTAAATACACTATGTTAAATCAGAATCAGTCTTTCTGACCATTGATGGCATGTGGTGATTTGGAATCTGGTTTCTTTTGGTGCTTCTACTTGTAAACACATGATTATTTTTCATAGTTGGATTATAGAGCCATTGTAAAGGGAATTCACAGCTAGGGTTTTGAAATGATTGAAAGAAGGAACTATAAAATGTACTATATCTGGCATCATAACTCCGAGTTCTCTAAACTTACTTAAAGTGTTTATGTTAGTGATTTAAAGTTGACAAGCCTGGCTTAAATTGTTAGCAAAGGAGAACATTCCTGTCACCCTAAAAGCCTTATCACACTGTAAAAAGGTGTTTTAGGGAAAAAGTTTAGTACCTGTTTGTTTCTCCTTTGCAAATTCTGAGACATTTCCTTTTTTTTTTCTTCTCCCCCCTGCCAAGTTTCACTAAGTGGATTTCATGTACAAGTATTTCTTTGGTATTATCAAGCCAGTTATAAAAATTTGCACTGTTATAAGTGGCATTAGTTTTTCGTATGTTCACTGTTTCAGACAATATCAGTGTAATTTTATGGTCTTTTTAAAGGTCAGTTGAGTTTATCATCTGTAGTTCAGCAGTAGTGCTACAAATAACCATTCACGGATTGCCTTTGTTTCTTTAAAATATGTGGTTAATTAAGCAACTAATTAACCTTTATGTGCTTCGTGTCCCTTTCTGCACTGAAATTAAGCATGCTCTATCCTTTTATTCTTTTCACCAAACTAACACACTAATGCATGTTGAAAGGAACTTTTAAATGGCTTTAATACTTGACTTGTAGCTTGTCTGCTCACATAATTGCTTGCTGTGGAGAAAGCATTATTTCCCCACTTCCTGCATGCTTATACACTGTAGGTTTTAAATGAAGTGGAGAAAGCACCCAAAGATCTGAGAAAAGAGCTCATGAAACGCAGGAAAGAGGAGCTTGCACAAAGCCAGCATGTTCAGGTAACAGCAGCAGCTTAACGCTACTAAAACAGAAGGCAGCATTTTCTCACGGCTCAGCAGATCTGGCGGAGAGGGTAGATTTTTAACTGTAGTTATTATGTGGTGAATTTTTCCTCATCCCGATTCGCAAGATCTTTCTTTTAGTGCTAAATTCACACTGTAGACGATATTGAACTTACTACTATGAAAGTGAGTGGATTATTTAGAAAGTTGAATCCAGGTGAAAGAAGCAAATACGTTAATGCCAGTGTTTTACAGAAACATTTTTAGGATAGAAAAGGGATGAATATATAAACACTGTGCTGAGGAAAAGGATGCCTGTTGGGCTATTACTTCTCTAAAGTTCGAAACTGGGATAAAAATGGTAAGTGGTAATGTTAAATGGTAGATTAAACATTACTTTCAAGCTTGACGACCACATAAGCAACTTTAGAATCAGAATTTGACAGGACATGGTGGCACATATGTCTGATCCCAGCATACAGGAGGCTGAGGCAGGAGGATCACCATGAGTTCAGGGCCAGCATGGACTACATAGTAAGACCCTGTCTCAAAAAACCAGTTAACAGATCAGATTTTAAATATTGAGTGTTTTTCTTTTTGATGTGTGAGCACACTATTTTACTTATATGGAGTTAAGGAAATTTGATTTTAGATTATGATAAGGTTTTATCATAAGGTGGGTGACTTTTTTATTTATATTTTATATTAATATTTTTAACTGAATTTCCCTATTTGACTTTACAAGGTCTTTTATACTAAAGAGGTTGAATCTTTTAATTAATTAGGAGTTCATACTAAAGGCAAAGGTAGAGAAATGCACTCAATTTTTAGTTAGAAATGTTAATAAAAAGAAGAGATACGAAGTATATATTAATTACTGGTTTAAATTAGTCTTTTAATATGGTTTTATGCAGTTTTTAAAAGTGGTCCCAAACTTTTACCACTAGGGACCATGACTTAGATTGCTATAATTATTATTATTATTTTGTCAAGTAAGTTATTTTTAAACTGTCATTTGTCACTGTCATTTCAGAGAAGAGAATATGCTATGAAAAATAAGGAAATTGTTATTTTAGAATTAAAAATTTAGTGAAGCTGGCTTATTTGAATAAAATCAGTTTGCTTTGCTTTTTATTTTGCTTGCCATGAGCCAGTGAAACATCTCTGCCTTGAGCTGCTGTGGGAGCCGCTAATTTAAAATGACAGTGACACACCCGGCATTTACTGTGTGTGTCTGCACTCACTGCATCACACAGCACTATTGCAGAGATGGTGGGAGCAAGCCTAGGCAGGGCGAGCACTCTTAGGGGCACTCCAATCCTAGTGATGAGACCAGGCTTCGTGCAGACAGGACAGGTCAGCGTCTGCACTTCATGCCAGAGCCCCTGAGCCCACCACGCTGCGCTGCCCTCAGCTGGAAGGGGCTGGCTCCGCACCTCACCTGAGCTCTCACACATTCGGGCTAGTGGTTGGCCGGGTCTCCCTGAAACAGTGCAGAGGAAACCCTGCCTTGCCACAATTTGACCTTTGGTTAATTTGGCTTCCAAACCGGGTAGTGAGTGACACTGTGGTCTTGCCTTGTGAAGGAGCACAGACTTCTCTATTCTGATGGGTAATGCATCAAACTTAGGGGGAAATGGAGAATTCCAGGTGACCCAAGGCTTTGATAAGTCTTTGCTGACTAAAAGGGGCTACCCTATGTTTTTCCAACTAAAACTGAAAGTAGTAGTAATGTTTTCCTGTAAATTGTACAGTTTAGACTGTAACAGATTTCAAAAGTATTTGCTTATCCCTGAGAGGTCACTAAAACTTGATAACTTTATAGTCTAAATCTTTTTTGAGAATTCATTGATAAGAGCTATGTAGCTGTGGGGCTAGGAGGTTTTTGAAACCTAATGCAGTGGTTGTCAGACTGTTCTTCCAGAAGCTGTTAACAGGCAAGGGTTGTGGGTCTGTGAGCTCCTGCTTCTACTTCAACTAAACCCATATTACGTTTCATGTGTTTTGAATAGACTTTTTGGGTGAATTTTTAAAACAGGAGGTTCTGCTGGTTTAAAAAAAACAACAGCAACACACTAGAGTTTGGAAGTCCAAATCTTCCATTCTACAGATGAGAAAGAATCCCTTCTGGTAATTGAATTGACTTGATTTAGGTTTCTAGAAACTAAACATAACTTTTATGTAATTATTCCTGACATTTGCAGAAAGTCACTCAGTACATTCTCACCTGCGAGGTGCACTGTATTCTGATCCACAGGGTGTTGCTCAGGTCATGATTCAGTCTTTTCAGTTGTCATCCTGTGCAGTCTTCAACGCCCAAATGCAGGATGTAAGTCCCTTGTGCCTGTGGAGGATGCTTCTGCTCCCTGCTCTTCCTTTGGCTCACATGTGCCTTTCTGGTGTTGACTCCATTTTCTAAAGCCTGGAGAACTAATGGTGATTATGTCAGTGATGATCACACTGTTAGTGACTGACATGAACGTTATGATGCGGTGTCCTTCAGAGAGTTTTCTCATCTGATTCTCACCACCACCATCCTGACATGGGATAAAACATATCCTTCTTACAGGTGAAGAAGTCAGGACACGGAAGGCTGAGTGGTCTGTGTAAAGCCACTTAAGGGATTAATGATGGAGCTGGACATAGAGCACTTAAAATAGTGTTCTTTTCTAAATTTACCACACCACGAATTTTAATTTGAGACTTTCATCTTTTTAAAGAAAAGTAGGGGCCTGGGGATATAGCTCAGTGGCATAAGTGTCTGCCTGGCAAGTGCAAGGTTCTGAGTTCGATCCCCAGTACCCTGCCCCAAAAGTAAAGATAACAGATAAGTAAAATATCTTCTCAGTAATATTTTATAAGTTTTGCACATGTGAGAAATTGAGTGCTGTGATTAGATTTTTATCTTTGTGTGAAGTGATGTTTTGATTGCTTATGTTTATGTCAATGTTTTAATTATGGATATGGTCAGAAAATTCATGCTAAATAGTGATCTTTAATTCCAATTAGCTCTAGTTTCCGTTTATTCGCTTGTCAGTACTGAACAGTGAGTTGCTATTCTTGGTACGCCAGTTTTAATTAAAGTCTGGAGTTTCAGACTGTATTCTTTCTTACAGTTTTCATACAGGAAAAGTAGCTCATTTATAATTTTTGTATGTGATGTTTGATATGCACAGCTTTGATTTCAACTGCTCTTTCTCTCCCTCTTGAAATTAGACTTAAAAAATTATTGGAAGATGTTTCACTCTTTACAGTCTTCTAAAGGAGTTAGCAAAACAAGGATTTTTTTTAAATGGGAGACATTATAAAATACAATTACTTTTCTGATCATTACCATTTGGAGTAAGTCTTTTGAGTTAAGGTATTCAAATTCTGTATAAATAACCCAATGTATCATAACCTCTTTTTAGTTTTCTAAAACCCAAAGTTGTAGTTTTGGTTCTTAGTTATTTAACTAATAGGATAAATTCCTTATCAGAGGGGCTGGGGATTTAGCTCAGCGGCATAAGCGCCTGCCTTGCAAGCAGGCAGTCGTGAGTTCGATCCCTGGTACCGATAAAAAGGAAAAAGACAAAAAAAAAAAAATCCTTATCAGAATTTAAATTTGTATTTGTATAAGGAAGTCTTTCTACAGTTTATGTGAGTGTTTTTAAAAATGACTTTTGGCCTTGCTAGTTCATTGATTGTTGTTGTCTGCTGTGTTATTTCTGGTGACAGAGTCCATGTTTTTTTTTTAAGGTGAATATAATTTGTGCAGTCTTTTTGGAATGTAAGATTTCTCTTAGTCCCTAAAAGTAATTTCTAGTTACATTATTCCATTATGAATTCCATTTCTAGTGTATAAATCCCATTATGAATGTATTATACTTGACTTTTGAAGTTAAAAAATTTAACGAGAACACAATAGTACTAAAGTTTCATTCCTTTTAAGGGAAATAGATTAATTTGTGTGTAAGGAACCTTACTCAAATAGCTTTTAGCTTTAATATAAACAATTCTTTGTGTCTTGACTATGTAGTTATTCAGACCTTGCTTACTTACTCCACTGTAAGCAGCTGGGTGCTTGGCAGACTCCAGCTGTTAGGAACCACTTCCACACGTCAGTTTCTATGGCTTCCCAGTGTGTGCTAAGTGTGGTAGTGGCACAGGTGTAATCCTAGCACTCGGAGGCGGAGGCAGGAGGATTACCATGAGTTTGAAGCCAGCCTGAACTACATAATGAGACCCTGTCTCAACAAACACACAAACAAAAAACCCAACAAAAAACCAAAAGAAGCCCCCCCAAAAAACCTGCCTACCTTGATTTTTACTTGTTGATCCTTACTTTATTTCCCAGAGCAGCTCAATACCAGTTCTGTTTGTTCCTGTGTAGCCATTGGAGCTCTTCTTTTTTCTTTTTCTGTCTTTTTGAGATAGGGTCTCTCTATTTGGTTCAGGTTGGCCTTGAGCTCACTTTGTAGCCCAGGCTGGTCTCATAACGATCCTCCTGCCTCAGCCTCCCCAGTGCTGGGATTACAGGTGTGCACCACCACACCCAGCTATTGGAACCCTTCTTTACCCTAAATGTTAGCTGCTTCAGGCCACACTTCTGTAGTCCTTTTGCTCATTGTTATAAGGCATGGTTTCTGGGACCTTTATCCTAGCTCTGAGTTTCTGTGGTATACTTTGGAACTAGTGATGTGTGATACTAAGGGAAGGGACTGACACTTGAAGACCATTGGTACTAGGGATCAGTGTAATAAGAGTTGTAACTAGTACAGTGTCCAGAATTTATTAAATGCTTAGTGAAAGTTTTCTTTGAATTGAACTCATCTAATCTGAGAAGCTGAACTGAATTCTTACCTTGGGCAGACACAGATATATTATGGTAATATGACCAAAATTTACGTAGATAAGAAATTACACTCACTTTATTTACTATAAAGATGTGGAGGCACACAGTTGTAATTCCAGCATTCAAGAGGCTGAGGCAGGAAGATTGCTGTGAGTTTGAGCATAAACTTGACAAATTGTATGTACTCAGTATTTGTTGAATGAATTAGTAAATTCCAAACATGGTGGTAGAATTTCATGACTGTAGGAGTCTTGCTTGTAGACTTAAAGCATGTAACTCCCTTTGCTAGTTCTTCTAGTTCATATTTCTGTAGCCATATAGTACTTTTTTTTTTTTTAAATTGGTACTGGGGATTGAGCTCATGACCACGTGCTTGCAAGGCAGGCGTTTATGCTGCTGAGCTAAATCCCCGGCCCCTAATCATATAGTACTTCTAATTAAATCCTCAAATGATTGTTCTTCCTTTCAGGCTTAGGCTATAGAGAATTCATTTTCTTCTGTTAGTGCAGTCGTGGTATTTTTTCCTTACTCTTTTCAACTTAGAAAAATAGAGTTTAAAATTCTGATGTCTTTTCTACTTCTAGCTCATTATCTCTTCTTCCTGAAAGGCACTTCTGGTTTATTCTTGTTCTAGTCATGCAAAAGTGGAATAAAGAGTTTTACAAGTTGTAATTTTATTGTTTTCTCAATGCTGTTAATGTCCTAAGGCGTTTTAATTATGAATGGGCTACAAACTTTTTTGTGTGTATTGTTCTTAATAGTGAATTGAGAATATTTCATATTACAATATGAAATATTGTACATATTACAATATGAAATATTCTCAATTCACTATTGGGTTTTTCCCAATATTGTTTTTTTCCCAAGTTGGATTAGATGACTGCTATGTCCATATTATATATGTACTGTATAGTTTTAGTGATTTTAAAACCCTGCTAACTTTGTAAACTTGGTTTAGAAGTCAGTGGTTATTGAGCTCAGCAGTGGAATGGTTGTCTAGCATGTTTGGTGCATTGGATTCGATGCTCAGCACCACAAAAATAAATACATAGATCTTACTAAGTACTAATATATATGGTCACATGCTTGAATACTTATTAACTGGTGGTTCACTGTGTCTAATAGGAACAAGATTTTGTTCAGAAGCAACAACAAGAATTAGATGGCTCCCTTAAAAAGATCATCCAACAACAGAAGGCAGAATTGGCCAACATTGAGAGGGAGTGCCTGAATAACAAACAGCAGCTCATGAGAGGTGTGTGAGATTCCACAGCACGTGTCTATACATGTGTAACCACGCCGCAGAAACATTACTGAGATACAGCTGGGAAATTATTTGCATGCTTTCTTTTGCCAGAATGGTAACTGAAAAGATAAAGAAAATCATGTGAATAAGAAAAGCTACAGTTAAGAATTACTGCAAGATATGGTTCCTTTATGACAGTGGATGTGAATGGAAATATATACTTAAAACAGGCTGCAGTGTGGCTCAGTGGTAGATGCGGTAGTTAGCTGCACGCAACCATGAGTTGATCCCCACTACCACTATACAAAACCAAAACAACAAAGGCCGACTACCTGCCAGGTGACGCACCAGGAATACATCTGAATAACTTTATAGTTCCAGTTTATAATTTGGTTTAGTTAGTAGCAACCTGATGGAATAAATGGAATTTAAAGTATTCCCCCTACAAATCAGCTTTTATTTATTTATTTTTAATAATGACAAAATGGAATTGTGGTGTTTATAGAAAGATATTTCCAGTTTATGAGATGTTAAAATAGAAAGAAAAGCGGTAATAGGTATTAGTCTTCACATTGGTAACATTTTATTTTTAGCATAGAATGTCAGTTTATGTGTAAAAGGTAACATATATTGGATATTTTTCTGTAAATCTTAAAGTGAAGAGTGAAGTGCTTTAGTAAAAAGAACCAAGTAACATTTGAAAATTGCTTCATTCCAGCTCGAGAAGCTGCAATTTGGGAGCTTGAAGAAAGACACTTACAAGAAAAGCACCAGCTACTCAAACAGCAACTCAAGGACCAGTACTTCATGCAACGGCATCAGCTACTTAAGCGCCACGAGAAGGTTAAAGAAAGCTGTCTAATTTTTGTGTTCATTTTAAAGTTTACAGAGACAGTTTTTATGTTTCTTAGAGAATGAATTTTTTATTTCATTTATCTTAAAATTTCTTCAGTGAGCTTTAATTAATTGTATGTTGATCGTGACTGCAAACTTCCACAACTTACAGGGAGAGTAATTAATTACAGTGCGTAATGGCCTATGTCAGTGACGGTGAACTTTTTAGACCTTCTGATAATAACCAGCCAGCTTCGGTGCATGTGCCACAGGCTCACTGCCACCAAAAATTGGATATCCATTTTATATCTCAGAGATAGCTATTTTAGCACCAGTTATGGTTCAAGTATTTACAAATGTGGATGCCCTTTACTTAGAGAATTTCAATAAAAGGTTATCACTAATTACTTTTCTTAAAATTAGTTTTTGCTAATGTTTTGCTGGTCACTGCAAAAAGGTAACAAGTGTCCATGAGAACCAGCAAATGATGCTGTTGAATACAAACATGGGCACTGGGTGTTAAGTTGCATCTCCACCACTACACTGTGTTTTAAACATCCCTAGGAAACAGAACAAATGCAGCGTTATAATCAGCGTCTCATTGAGGAACTGAAAAACCGACAAACTCAGGAAAGAGCGAGACTGCCCAAGATTCAGCGCAGTGAAGCCAAGACGCGAATGGCCATGTTTAAGAAAAGTTTGAGAATCAACTCAACAGCCACACCAGATCAGGATCGTGACAAAATTAAACAGGTGAATAAGCAACTTCCTCTCTTCCGCCTTCAAATGCCGCATAATTGGATTGTAAACACTCAGAACTACCTTAGCTTTCACTTTAACTCTTAAATGGATGGGCCACAAACATGGCGTTCTGTGGGTAGTAACTGTAGAGGGCAAAACCCTCTTCCTTATGCCCCAAAACAGACCTTGCGCCCTAGGAATAAGGCGGCATGGGCAGTTCTGATTTTGTTATTGAGGATTGCACAGAGCCCTCCTACTGAGCTGCATTGCCAGCCCCACCCCCTTTTATAGCTCATGGAGTTGCTGAGTTCAGTGATCCTCTTGCTTCAGCCTCCCAAAGTGCTTAGATTACAGGTGTGCCCACCAGTTTGAATAGCTTTTCCAAATATGCTCTCACTGTGATACTTCAACAATCAGGAATCATACAGATTAACTGAGGTCACTATGCAATTTAACTGGAGGAGCAAGATTTTCAATCAAAGGTACTGTATTACTGCTTTCCCTTTCTTGCCTAAGTCATGGTGAAATCTCCAGGGTTGAGTCACAGGACAGTATTATTTGTAGTTTTAGTTCATTGTATTTTAAATTTTGTAAAATTCCTTACTCATACCTTTAAAATACATAGAAAACACATTGTTTGTTAATCATAGTTTGTTTTTCTTGCCTGTAGTTCTCTGCACAAGAGGAAAAGAGGCAGAAAAATGAGAGAATGGCGCAGCATCAGAAACATGAGAATCAGATGCGGGACCTGCAGCTGCAGTGTGAAGCCAATGTCCGGGAGCTGCATCAGTTACAGGTGGGGAGCAGAAGGGTGACAGGAAGCTGCAGGAGACAGGCAGCTCACCAACTCGGGCAGGGAAAGTGGTAGTTGCCAGGGAAAAACAGCAACCTGTATGAAAACACTGGAATTTAAAGGTTGTATTTCCTATACAAACCAGCATGAAGGTCAGTTTAGTATAACAGACATTTGTTTATATGTTGTGTAACCATGGTTAATGTAAACATGAAGCTAAATTGTAGCCTAAGAAATGGAGTCATTCAAAAGCAGAGCGGCGGCCAGGCATGGTGGTGCGTGCCTATAATCCCAGCATTTGGGGCATGAGTCAGGAGGGTTGCTGGGGATTCGGGGCCTGCCTATGCTACCCAGTGAGTCCAAGGCCAGCTGAAATTACATGGTGAAACCCTGTCTCAAAAAACCAAAGTGGGGAAAAAAGCAGTATAGGAAATGACATTTTGCACAAAAAGATTGAAGGTTTTCAAAATGATGCAGGCAGTTTGTGAGATTGTGAATTTAAAATTTGTTTACTTTTAGAAGGACATGGTTGCTTTTATGTTTTGGGGGAATTCTTTTCCCTAAGAAATTTAGGGGGCTGTTTCTGGATCCTGCCTGGAGTGGGCAGCCTGTTTGATGTTCAGCGTTTCAGGGGAGCATAGACAGTGTGTGGACACGCTAGACATCTGCTGAATGGCTGATGTGGGACAGTCCCTAATTCTCCAACAGAAAAGGAGGACAGGGCCAAGTGCGTTCTGTTTCTCTTTTCATACACTTTTAACAGGTCCAGTGGTAAATTTATGAAAATGAAACCACTTATTTCATATGGTTTTGGCCTTCATTTTTAGAGAATTTGTACTTAATGTCTATGTTTGAATAATTTATGATTTTAGAAGATAATTGTTAAAAAGTGCTTAGTTTGTCTGAAATTTATTTAATCCAGACTTTCCTTTCAGAATGAAAAATGCCACCTGTTGGTTGAGCATGAGACTCAGAAACTCAAGGAGTTAGATGAGGAACACAGCCAAGAATTAAAGGAATGGAGAGAAAAACTGAGGCCTCGGAAGAAGGTGACTTTTAACAGCTTTCCTTAAAGTATTATGTTTGTATGCCTCCCTCACCCAGCTGTTAGCTCTTTGCCTCTGTGTGTCAGGTGCAGTGTCAGGTGCACTGTCAGGGACAGGAATAGAGGTGAAAGGACGGAGTTCCTATTCCTGAAAGGTTTAGAATCAGTGAGAAGCAGTTACATACTGGGTGGGATCAGTATTCGGAAGGACGCAGGTGCGGGCTGCAGGGGAAAGGAGGACAATCGGGTGGAGGGGAGGAGTGCCCAGGCCACCTGGAGAGGTCAGGAGGCTGTGAGAGGACCTCTTGGAAGCCAGGTGATGTGTGAGGGGTGGGTAAGAGCTGTCTGGACAGAGTGGAGTGGAATGGCACGCTTTAAGTAGAGCAGAGAGACTGAGAGACAGTGACTGGACAGAGGATTGCAAGGAGCTCCTGTCACTGGAGCATGGCTGGAGTAAGGGTGGATGTGCGGGAGTGTGGGCCTTAGGGAGCAAGGAGGAAAGAAGTGAAGACCGCTGGGTCTGGGCAGGTTGCCTGCAGCCAGGTCACAGGCCGTTCAGCGTATGCTGTGTGGGATTAAAGTCCGGGCAAGGTGGGCTTGCCCCCGCCCTCCTATGTGTCTGGGCTCATTGCTTACCCATCCTAGCTATCTGGCCATCGTGCTGTGGTTCCTGTCCCTGTGTACACTCTCAGGCCTGAACCTGTGTTTCTCATGGGCTCTGCACTTCAGCTTTCCTTTCAGTCACCTGTCATCCAACCATTAAGACACAGGCACTTAGCCAGAGGTTTCTAGAAGTGAGACAACAAACTCACTAGCAGTGTGTTTTTAGAGGTAAAATTTATTTATGTATAGGCTTTTGAATAGATCATACATTCCTGTGATTCAGTTACAAAGCTTCAGAAGAATCCCCAGCGGTAAGTCCTTCTCTAGGGTCACCTGTTCACTCCTAGCAGCCTGGCTTCTGCCTCAGAGTCCTCATTTCAGCTCTTTGACAGCAGTCACAAGGGAGTTTCTAATCATGGAGTCCTCTAATTGTGTCCCATTGGAAGTATCATTCTATGTAAGCCTAGTACAGGAGGCTGAAGCAGGAGGATCGTTGCGAGTTCGAAACTAGCCTGGGCTACAAAGCGAGCTCAAGGCCAGCCTGAACTGCAGAGACCCTGACTGAAAATGACCCCTCCAAAGTCATTTTACAAAACTCTCCTCTTCCCTGGTTTTTATGACAATTCTCCTCATTCTTCATGCTTTTCTCCCCTTTTCCTTGTCGTGCAGTCTCCTGAGGTGTAGACATTTCCAAGTTTTACCCTCTCAGTTCTGTCCTTTGTCTAAGCCTGATGCTCCATTTTCTGCCAGCGTGTTTGGTTCCTCCTCAGGCCACTCCAGCCTTTGCTCAAGTGCCCTTCCATCAGTGCTCACTTGAGACATTCTGTGTCACCACTTGCCGCTTGTCTCCTGTGAGAATTTCCGCTTCTTCAAAGCAGGACAGCGTCTCTCACTAAGTGATGGTACCCAGTGTGGAGGAGTCCCAGCACCCTGGAGTGAGGCGTGCAAGTTCACTGAGGCGACTAGAGGGCAATCAGTGAACAGCAGAGCAGACTCAGCGGCCTCTCCCTGGGCACTCATGGGCATTCACCATGCTGTCCCCTGCCTGCTCCCTGCCTGCACAGCTCTGCCCCCCACCCAGTGCTCTCCCTGCACCCTTCCCTCCATCACCATCCTGGCTAGAAGCCAGAGGACTGCTTTCCTGGGGGTGCTGCATTCTGTGAGATACCCATGACTTGAGTTCTCTTCATAGTATTTTCCTTCTCTTTCCCTTGCTGGGTTCCTGTCTTCTGAAATCGTTCAGCAGTGTCCTCACTGGCCCTCGGCCTTCCTTGGTTCCCTTTCTTCCTCCAGAATGGCCCTCAAGCTGTTACCGTGGTGCTGGTGAATTGTCAGTGCCATCAGGGTATAATGTTAATGCTGACACACGTGGGTCAGCCCTAAGCTTCCTCGCCTGGAAGTCCCTTCGTCCCCATTGCATGACCCGCAGTATAGCCTGGCAACTCAGTGCTCTGTGGTTTCCTGCCTTTGTGTCATTGTTTCAACTTCCTGTGTCTGGCATGCCCTGCTTATCAGATTCCTGTTGTTCCACCTCTCCTGACAAACCTGCCTGTGTCCTTCCATCCCTGCCTGTACTTTGGGCCTCTACAATAGCACTTACCCCTAAATCAGTTGTTGGCAGTCTTTGATCTCTGTCGTAGTCAATTTGAGCAACTATAAGAAAAATACCATAAATCAGAGGCTGGGAGTTCCAAGACCAGGGTGCTTGCATGGCCACTTTCTGTCAAGGGTCCTCTTCTGAGTTACAGACTGTGACTTCTCAGCTGCCTGTCCCCACATAGTGGAGAGGGCAGCATGTCCTCCTCAGCCTCTTCTGGCATCACTAACACCTAGGAAGAGCCATCTCCTTGCCTGGCGATGTCCCAGAGGCCCAGCCTCCTAACAACAAAACCTTCACCTTCAGGATTGTCTCCTTCAGTTCAGATATTTATCAGGCACTTACTGCTTTCGCTCTGTGTTACAGGGATAGAGATGTGAATCTGGTGTAGATTTTACCTTTTCAGAGCTTTACACAGTCTAGTGTGCAAGAAAAACATCACATCAATACCTAATAAGGGAAGTAGTAAATGATCCACGGGAGAGACAGGCACTAGCTTATCGGTGCCTTCTGTCGGGTACCTCCCGTGAGTTTAATGCACCATCACCACCTGTCATTGTCACACAGCCTGTCAGTGGGGGAGCGCTGTTACCGCTACTTTATGCAGAGGAATTAGCCCTAAGTTATCTGTTCATGTGACTGAGCTGGCTCTTGGACCTGGGCTGTGCCACAGTGACGTGCTTCACCCCTGAGCAGCCTTGTCTTGCTTGCACAGAAAGTATTTGGTTGGGGCCAGTAGTTTTGACTTGCTTGCCAGAGTAACTTCTATGCACAGCATAATACTAGCACATAACAATTTCTTTGTCTTTTCCTGTTTTAGACACTAGAAGAAGAGTTTGCCCGGAAACTACAGGAACAAGAAGTGTTCTTTAAAATGACTGGAGAGTCAGAATGCCTTAACCCTTCCACACAGAGCCGGATTTCCAAATTCTATCCTATTCCTAGCTTGCATTCCACTGGATCCTAATGGTGGAAATACTCTGTTGGGTTCAGCGTTTTAAATATGTCATTTTGTTCTCTTCATCTTCTGCCACAGTCCATATCAAATAGCTCACAAAGACAATCACCTCACCCACCTTCTAGGTGGCTTTTTGTTTTGTTTTAAGAAAAAATAAAGGGAAGATAAACTAAGACAGATGCCAGGCCATGTTGGCAGAGTAGCATCTTGCAGTAATTCCCTAAGGTGATTTTGTATATTAACCTTGAAATTGTATTCTTTAGACACTGTTACTGAAAAACTGTTAGAGAAATAATGTTTAAAGTTATTTTAAAAAATCTTGTTACATCACTAAGTATTAATACCTTTTTACCTGACCTACCTTTTCAATGATGCCTAAATTCTCTAGCTGGAACTTTGCTGTAAAGAATTGGAATATTTTAGTATATCAGCACTCATAAAAAAGCTATGAGTTGCTCAAAATATGCTATTGACTCAGTAAATAAAAATATTTTATCACTTAATAGGAACAAACTCTTTAAAAAAAAAGAGGAAAATTACTTCAGTAATTTGTTTTACACATTGCCTGATTAGGCAGGCACTAATAATTGAGGTGCTGGTTTTATTAAGATAGTGCCTAAGTAGATACGAAATTTCAGTCACATCCAAAGTAGGATTTTCTTTTCAGTCACCAGGGACAAAACACCCTCAGCATTAAACATTACTGTTTTTAAAAAGTCTTGCTCCTGCTACCATTTTCATCCTAAAATAAATGCTGTACAAAGTTTGGGATGATGGGGAAAAAAGGTATTTTAAAATGTTCAAAATGGAGATGGGAAACTCAGTACATTAGAAGCAATATAGATTCAGCTGTCCTAGTTTATTTTCTGAAATAACACTTTGAGTAAATGACTTCTGCATCTTAGTAAATTCTGTTCATTTAAAGCTCTCAGAGGTCTATAGAGTGAGTTATAAATATATTTTCTGAAATTAATCTCAGAAACATTTATTCCAAATAGTTTTTTTAAAGAAAAGATTTAAATATTTTAGCCACACATCATAAATGACTTTTTGTTTTGAAATGAAGATACATTTTATTTTTATTTTGTTCCTTGTTTAAATTATTCACTTTGATTTGAGTGGGAAAAGCTTGAAACCTTTATCATATGGTTGCTGATAAAAATAATCATTCATGAAATGTTCGCTCCTGGTCCCTTCGGAGCTTAGAATGGGAACAGGAGTCAGGTAAGCAGTGTTATAGACAGAGCTCTGGCGGGAGGCCGCCGGTCTGTGGTGGAGCCCATCACCCGCTGCCTGCTGTCTGCAGTCTGTCCTCTTAGGAGTGCTGGGTACCAAATTGTGAGTTTTTAGTTATACTACTTTTGAGGCTGTTGAAAAATGTAAAGGTAATGTAAGACACTGATTCATATTAAGAAAATGTAAATAAATGCCTGTAGCACTTTCTTGCAGTTAATTTGAAAACTTTGGATGCTGACATTTATTTTGTCAGTGATTTAGATGATTTAAAAATGCATGTGTAACTTTAATTTTGTAATTATTTTGACAAGCAGAATTTACTTGGAAAACTTTGTAGGTAGCCTTAACTTCTGGCCAGGTTTGTTTTTTTTATATAAATAAAAAAATATATATATATACACACACACATTATGTATGGTTGTAAATTCATACACTTCCCACATAATTGTGTAACTGTGTTACTGTCGACAAAACTCTTAATGCTTTATTCTCAACTGCTGGGTTGAAAACTGAAAGCCTTTTAAAATATGTATCTTTATAAAGTAATATTCAGGACGATGATGGAAACTGTTTATATTGTTATGATAAAAAGACAGTGTAATGTTACCCAGTGTATTTAATGACTTATGTGAAGAAGGAGATGGGAGAAACACTCTTGTACCACTTTATTGTTTGAAATTTTTAGTTTATTAGCTTTTTAAAAATGAGTATTTCAGCCAGTGGACATTTTTTTTCGGTCATTTAAATAATTTTGGATGTAATGTGATCTGATGATTTGGTTTTTTCTGTTCCTTTCCATTTAACATGCAGAACAGTAAATCCAGGAGAGGCTCAGAGCAGAGCTGTTTGCACACTGGTAAGTTTATCAGCAGCTCTCAGGTCTCTGTCACCCTGCCCTGTGGATTCTCTGTTCATGCTTGAGTTCTTTTTGAAGAACTGTGTTCGTGTGAGTGCAAGACTACACAGGGATTCATATGGAGAGTGGAAACTTTCCCAATACTTCAGGTTGTAAAATCTATCCAAAGTGTCTTGTAGAATACACTGTTTTGCCCCATCTGCCTGCTTTTCCTAAGGCTATATAGCAAATAGATAATAGTGACCTTCATTTCTTGCATGAGTAGAGGTGGGGGTGGACTGTGCACAGGCTTCTTTGAAGTGTACGCGTACTGTCAGTTCCATTCCAGGTTAGGTTCTGTTGCTGCGGTGGCAGAATGTGCCATGAAGTACGTGAAAGGAATTATTTGTATGTGTACCCCAAACAGCCCCTGCCCTCTGCCCAGCGTGCTGTGGACATACCAGACCTCCACGCTTGTGTAGGCCCTGCTCCCAGAGCCCGGCACCCAGCTGCCTTCCCTGGTCCTGTCCGTCCAAAGCTGTGGAGTTACGAGCGAGCTCCGTCCCAGGCGGAGTCACGTGAAGTTCTTACCCTTTCGTAGTGCAGGCTGTGGGTGGGTGAGGGGGAATTCAGAGTGCTTTTACTTTGCTGAGAATATTGGACCCTTCCTGTGCCAGGACACAGCAAATTATAGTTAATATAAACCAGAACCAAAGCTACCTCTAAGTAGTGTTTCCTCAAGCACAAAGCTCTCAGGCGTATGTAGCCCTCTTTAATGAGGGTCTCTGATTTCTTGAGCATCATCAAGTTTAGAAGTGACTGGTTTTGTACTCTCCATCCCCTTTCCACACTTTCCTTTTCTGGACTGTGCTTACGCGACTCTTCTGAGCAGCAGGACACAGTGAAACTAGTTAGAGATACTGCGGATTAAAGAAAACCTAGAACGACAGGGGAAGGAGAGTTCTGGTTCTAACAGTCACCCAATGAAGTAAATTATGCTTTTCTGGGAAATGCTGTTTTGTAGGAAATGGGATGATATTTTAAATGTTTTCTTACATCAAAAGCATAAGAGTTGACGCCTTAATGTTGCTCTTCTGTGGCTAACAGGGTTTCAGTGATATTCTCCTGTTCTGCCTTGAAACTTGGAATAGCAAATTTTACCTAATAGTTTAAATGTTGGCTGCAGCTTTTTGTGATCCTTCGCAGTGTGATAAGCTCACAAGCTAAACTTGCGGACAGAATTTTGTTTCAGATTATGCTTCTTGTCTGTTTGGGATCAATACTGTCTTTTCAGTTATGGAATTGACAAAAATAAAGTTATTTCTTAATCTATCTTGGGAAGCAGTTTTTTTTTTAATTGATAATCTTTCAAGCAGGGTTATCCTGCATGAGAACACTTGTGCAGCCTTTGGGCTTCTGGTTATGTTTTGCCATCCTCCAGGTCTGTGGCTCTCCTTGCTCTGAGGTGTGCGCACACACAAATGTTTACTGGGAATTTTCTGGTGTGAGTAGGTACACAGCTGTCCTTCCATAGATGTATGGACACATGCATGTTCTTACTACTGCTCCCGTGGGTTAGTTTCCAGACCAGCCATCTCAAGTCCTGCAACTGCACCTCTGCTAAAATAACCTCCTCGGCATCACTGCTTAGTCACAGGACATTGACGGGCACTTCTTGGGCAGGTGTTCAGTGTGGTTGGGGAGAGGGCCAACGTGTCCCTTCTACTCTAGGAGCATTGTGCATTATTGAGCTCCTTTTTTTTAATGGAACAGAAGAGACTCAGATCCATTCTGCTGAGTTGAGGACACGTCTCATGTCTGCAAGGTTGGACTTTTACCCTATTTTGCATGAGTAAGACTTAAAGACTAGAGTAAGGATAACTGTTAAAGGGGATATAGTGCTTGAACCCCAATGTAAAAAGTACTGTTGAAAACTAAATTCATCTTTTGGGTAAAACAATTTAAAACTTTAAAAGGTACATTTCATTCATTCTTTGTACACAACGTTTTCACTAGGCAATAAAATAAGTGGTTGGAAATTCTGCAGGGCCATATGAACTTTTCCACATGGATTCGAGGCAGATAGCTGTCGGGACAGAACAGTGCGGGGGGAGAAGTCCATGCCGAGCGGAGCGGAGCTTGACTGGAGGACTTGGCTCTACTGACTGATAGCAGCAAATGGTTCCCCCAGGAAGCACTGAGACACAGCAAAGACCAGGTAGGAAGGAAGCCCAGCCTTTTAGAGGAGTAGAATTGGGGAAGTAGGTTTAATTTAACCCCATATTTAATTAGCGATTGAATTACAATTTGCAGTAAATTTGCAAGCTGGCTGAGTGCAGCCTTTTTAGAGTTGGAGTGTCTGATTTCACTATGGATTTCTTTGGAACATTTGATACTCCTATGTTTTTCCCCAGTGGGGGCCTTGATACCCCACATAACACTTAGCTTGCCATCACGATTTGCCCCAGGATAGATCCCTACATTAAGTGCCAATAATCCTGTTGCCCATTGGTTACACCTATGTTTATTTCAAGACATCTGTGCTTCAAAAAGACTGCAGATACTTTGTAGTGTTTCCGGGTGGAGTGGACAGTTGTGGACAGGCTATCTTTAACATCTCAGTGATTAGAATGCCAGAAGTGTGTCATATAACTGGTTTTCTGCTCTCACGTGTGATAAAAGTATCAGACCCAGTTAACCCAGGATGCCTTTTTAACTTTTCTTTGTTCAGATTGTTCACATTAAACATATTTTAAAAATTTTAATTAGAAATTTTACACTTGAAATGACTTTTTGTCTTTTAGACCACACACAGATATTTTTAGACAGTGAAAAGTGCTTATAAACCGCTGTGCCCAGCCCCCACAAGCTGTCTCCTAAGCGAGCGGTGGGTGACACATGGGTGGAAGCCATTTCCCCAGCACCAAGCGTCCGTTCCCCTCCCGGTCCTCGCCCACTGTCACTGGCCCCCTTGCTGCAGTCTAGGACAGTCACCTATAAACTAGCATGGACCTGTAGATACAGATTAAAGCTGTAGTCAGTCTTCCTAAGCAAGTGGTGTAGCCTTTAGAAACGCGATGGCCTCCCACAGTGGAACTGCGTTTCCTAATTTCTCCCATTGCGAGAGTCGCTTCCTGACCAGTGGTTCCCAGATAGAAGGCAGCATGAAGGGGAGGCAGAAGATGGCGCAGGCTTTTCCCCAGTAAGCAGAGCACAACCTCGCATGTCACCCCCAGGGAGACTCTGAGCCCGTCTTCCATCTTTTGGGCTCATTTGTAGGTGAAGCCCTGAGACTCCTAAGCCAAATTTGTATAACTAGCGTTCCTAGGTTGGGGTTCAAGCTAAGCGTTAAAAGAAGCCAAGGCACTTGGATCTAGAGGGCAGGGAAGAACGTTTTACCCTAAAACATGGCGACTGCTCATCAGGGCACCCTGTGAAGCTGTTTGAGACCATGTATCTTTGAATTCTCTACATGACTTCTGTGTGGACTAATCATAGTTGGCAGGTAACAGCTCCTTGCTGTAGGACACTCATAGACTCCAGCTTTACCTCTGGAGGGAAATCTGACCTACAGGCCCAGGGACGTGGCGAGAACTGGCTGCTCCACCAAGGCCCACTTATGGCTTGATGGCGACACTTCTCTTCCTTCGCCCCATGTAGACGTGGTCACCTGGAAGAAGATGAGATCTTTGCTGGGGCAGTTGTGACATCTGTGGCTACTGCAGAGCTGACTTCCAAGATGAATCTTTTGTAAGATTATCCATTTATTTAAGCGTTCGCCCCAGGTCTCTACCAGGTCCCGTTTCCTCCCTGGTCTGGCACTCTGCTTCCTCTCTCCCAGGGCAGGGTCTGCCTTAGCGGTTAGCTGAATTTCTCAGGTTTGCCCTGCCGCAGAGCACCCCGCATTGAGCTCCAGCGTCCTGCACTCTCTGACCAGCAGGTGGCACCATTTCTCTTACCTTTGTCTCCCTTTTCCCCTTTGTGCCCCAGAGAGCCAGGTGGTCCAGGAAGACCTCGTGGTCCAGCAGGGCCCCTGTCACCTAGGAGAACAGAGGAGATGGGAGAGGAATAAGAAATTAGGGTGTTGTGTTAAGGTGTAGCACAGGTACACTGCATGGCACCAGCGAGGGTCCCCATCGTACAGGGTCCTTGCCTCCCTTACCTTTAGGTCCTGGGGTACCCATATCTCCCTTCTGTCCTGGTGGTCCTGGAATGGCTCCGTAAGCTGCAAGGGCAAAAAACTGGTCTTAGGGATTGCATGAAGCTCGGAGGTCAGGTGCTTTGTTCAGGTAACAGATGTGCAGTGATGGAGCTTGAATTTGTAAGGGGAAAATAATGCTGCCCAGACTATCTGATTTGCACCCCCTTGGGAGTTGATGGAGAGATTTTCCTTGAATTAGTGTCTGTAATACAGCCCCATGAAAAACTGCAGTGGTTTGGTGCTGGGCAATAATGGGGTGCCCTTACTTCGAAAGAAGTCCATGAGATCCTCGGTTACGTTGCTGTAGGCAGAGAAGACCTTGCTGATGCCAGGGGGCCCCTGGGGCCCAGGCTGGCCTGGTGGACCCTGGACAGTGTAGGCCATGCTTTGCAGCAGGCCCTGACCTGCAAAACACCAGAGTGTGGGCACAGGCAGTGGGCATGCTCAACACCACCTGAACCCTAAGCAGGTAAACTAGAGGAAGCTTCCCTGGGCCAACCCTGCAGACTTCTTCAGTAGTCCCCTGTCATGGCAGAGGCCTGCCTGCTGTGGGTGTTCTGGCCTCTAAGCTCTCTGTGATCCTGCCGACCAGCTACAGGGAGAAGGGACCTTTTAGCTGACAATCTTCCCTCAGCCCCAGCAGAAAGCCATTATGGAGATTCTTCTGACACCTAGAGCAGCTCAGGTGTTCGGAGAGAACACCAAGACCTTGGTGTGCTCTGTTCCCCATAGCTCCACTTCACTGTCCTCGGTCCTGCCTGCCTGGGCGCCCCTGCTAAGGCACTCACCCCACACCCAGGCCCGTGTCCCCACTCACGCTGCAAGCTCTCTGACACCCGCACAGCCAGCTCATTGTAGTCCAGGTCTCCACCAAAGCCACCCTGGAGCACGTTGCTACCACCTCCGTACACACCACCTTCTGCCGCTGCTGTCCCATAGCTGCCACCAGGGCCCACATCAGTGCCGTAGGGGCCACCATCCCCTGCACCAAAGGCCCCAGCTGCTCCCAGGGATCCTCCATTGGTTCCTCCAACTCCCATCGCAGAGCTGTAGGAGGAGCCCCGCCTGGTGGAGGAGCTGCTACTCCAACCGTAGGAGCCATCTCGGGACACCAGGCGACTGTCTCCGGGGGGGCCCTGTGGCCCCGGCGGCCCTGGGGGGCCCACGATGAAGCTGCGCACATCTGGACCTGTGGGGGTAGGCAGCCACATGAGCTGGGGCTCAGGTCATGGTGGACACAGGGTCTCCCATACAGTCTCAGCACCCCTTAGAAACAGGAAGTGAACTTCAGGATCCCTGCACATGGATGCGAGAACACGGGGTTGGGATGGGGAAGGAGCCTGGGCCTCTCCCACTGAAGGCCCCCAGGTCCTCCAAGCACCGGCCTCCTGGTCTCTAAAGGACACTCACAGGGACAAGGAAATTCTGAAGCAGGGTACAGATGACCACCAACACTGGGGCACTCACTTGTGAGGTAGCTAATCAGCTCACTCCGGAAGTTGTCATTGTTCTCAGCTGCATAGGTTGCCAGAGCTGCTGAGACCCCCGGGGGCCCTCGAGGACCCGGGGGGCCAGGTGGACCTGGTGGGCCAGGAATGGATGACAAGCCAGCAGCTGAGGAGAAAAGAAAAGAGAAAGAAAGGTCAAGGGTGATGTCGCCTCACAGCAGGACCTGCTGAAAGAGGACTTTCTGGAAGGGGTACAGTGCAGCTGAGCCTCCCCGAAATGGGATGGGGACAGCAGGAAGCCTGGGCTGGCCCTGATCACAGATGGGCTCCCAAGCTTGCCCAGTGCTGCGGCTGGGAGTTCTGTCTCTCCACATCTTACCTGCCAAGGCTTGGCAACCCTCAGCATGAGTGAGACCTGGCTCTGTGCATGCTCCGAGAGGACCAGGTGACTGGTGAGGCAGCTCCCTGTGACTCCCTGCCAGCTGCAGCCCTCTGCCCTCCTCCTCCCTGCCCCAGTAACCTACTGTGCAGGTAAGATGAGAGATCCTCCACGCTGATGCTGGACCACATGTTGCCTGGGATACCAGGTGGCCCAGGGGGCCCTGGAGGTCCAATGATGCCTCTGTATTCAGACCCTGAGGCACCAGGGCAGAGCAGGGGTCAGTCATGGTCTGGGCCCAGGGCTCTGCTTCCATCCCAATACCCTGGACACATGGGCCTGCCTGGCCTTACCTCTGAGCAAGGCGAGGAGCTCCTCGTAAGATGTCCCTGGTAGGCCGGGGGGGCCCTGGGGGCCTGGTGGGCCAGGAAGGCCAATGCTGAAGCCAGAATCTGGGGGGCAAAGTCCCAGTTGAAATGGATTAAGACTGGGCAGGGGAAGGCAGACTGCAACGGCCTGTGAGAGAAGAGGCCAGACACAGAGGCATCTGTACAGAAGCGGAGCCCAAGGATGGGAAAAAGATGGCAGAGAGAAGTGATGCAGAGATGCAGTCCTGGGCAGTGGCGCCAAGGAGGAGGGTGCTGAGAAGAAAGTGCAGGTCACTGCTGCCCACAGGAGTCCTGCTGCTGGGTGTGTGAGTGTGCGTGCGTGTGCTCTGTGCATGCTCCACACAACAGCGCCTGATGTCGGTGTGGCTTCCCCTGCCACGCTCTTCAGCCTGCTCTGGAGCCCCCCATTTCCTCCGGGGGTTCCTTGCAGCCCAGCAGGAGGGGCCAGCAAGGCCCATGCAGCTGCACAGGGCCAGTGGGCGGGAGGGCAGGCACTCACTGGACAGGTGGCTGACAATGTGTTTGCTCAGCTCCGCGTAATTCAAAGAGGACAAGAGGGCTCCATCGACACTGGCTCCTGGTGGGCCTGGGGGACCCTGAGGGCCTGTCAGGTACTGACGCAGGTACTGGAGCACATCATCCCCTGGCGAGGGAAGGGTATATTTACATGGATCCCCCAGCCACAGGGTGCTGCACCCCATCCAGTGACAGCCCTAGCCCCCATGCCATCTGGCTGCTCAATGTCGTGTGCGTTCTGGGGACTCCAGCCCACAAGGGCCAGGGGGTCAGTCAGCTTCTAGATCCTGCAGAGATGCCTGCCTGGCCGCCTGCTGCAGGGGAGGGCAGACTACCTCCCCTTTTCTAGTCCCTTTGTTACTCAGCAAGCGGACACTCAGAGCAGTGAGCCTGCAGCTCCCTGTCCTGAAGTACTGAGCCCTCGGTGTCTGCAGCCCTCACCAGCTGGCTGGGGTTGGCGGGGAGGCCAGCAAGGGGCAAAGACCGCCCCGCCCTCCAGCCCTCCAGAGGGCAACTTACGCCGCAGCACGGCCAGGATGTCTTCGGAGGAGACAGAGCCAGAGGACCTGCCGATGCTGTAGCCCAAAGCTGTGGGAAGGAGACCTGGGTGACTGCCTGTCAGAACTGGAGCAGCCCTGCTGCTCATGGAGTCCGAGGTCTCCGTCCACCAGACACTGTCTTGGGGAAAGTGAGCGAACTGGGCAGCATGGGTTACTTAGGCAGGAGAAGATCAAAATGGGGTGCTGCTCTGTTTTGTTGATAAGAAGGGAAAATTTGTTGCCAGAATATGCTTCCGACTAACTCTCACTATATCCTGCCAGCCTGGAGATTCAGACAAGAAGTCAGAATGTCCCGAGTGAGTGCCCACTTCGCGTGCACCCTGTGAGGCCTCCTCAGCCCAAACTAACTGTGCTGACTGATGGCCATGCCTGGGGGTAAGCAGTGCATGACGAGGTATGCTCACGGGAAGGGCGATGTGAATGGTGAGCTAGGAGGTGAGGACCGTCAGGAGGAGGGTCAGTGTGGACAGGGTTGGGACAGGCTTACCCTGAAAGTAGCCCACGACATGCCTGGCCAGCTCTGAGTAGTCAAAAGTCTCCCCCGTGATGGTGGTGGTGAGCCCTGGGGGGCCAGGGGGACCCGGGGGACCCTGGACTCCAGAAAGATAGGCCCTGATGCTGTCACCTGCCAGCAAAACAACAAAGAAGTCAAGCCTGTCCTCAGGAGGCCTGTCCTCCCCACAGTCACCGAGGTCACCCACAGTACACAATGAAGTGTTTACCCCAACCAACGTGCAGCCTGGACTCCCTTGGTACTGATGGGGAAACTAAGGCAGAGGCCTGTGCTGCTCAGGTGGTCTGAAGGGCATCTACCAACAAGACTCCAATCTGTCCACTCATTTGACAAGTTACCCATGCCGAGGGGTCGTGAGTGTGTGTGCGTGCACATGTGTGCTTCCACATGTGATGAGGATGAGGTTGTGTGTATGCACAGGCACACTGGGATTACAGGCCAGGCTCCAGGGCCAGCAGGCTGCTCTCCAGCACACATGCTGTATGTACACGTGCACGCACACACATGCACACACACACACATGCATACACACACATGCACACACACACGCACGCACACTGCTCCATGCCAATCCCAAGGCACAGTGCCGGCCACTCACTCTGCATGTACTCCGAGATGTATTGCTGGATCTCCATGGAGTTTCGGAGAGAGCCCGGGGGCCCGGGGGGCCCTGGTGGGCCAGGTGGACCAGCTGTGTACGTGGTGCTCGATGAACCCCCTGCACGAAGAGAAGGCAGCCTGACTTGATTTCTCTACCAGCGGTCAGGCCTGGCAGTGCTGCCCTGGCTGAGCTGGGAGGGTTTTCTGGGCAGGAGAAAGAGAACAGGGGCAACACAAAGGCCAGGCCTGCGACAGGCACAGAACTGTAAGCCGCCCCGGGCCAAATTGCCTTCCTTCAGTAGCCTGATCAGGCCTGTTTGCTTCCTCCCCAGGCACTGGGGGCTCCCGGGCCCCGCAATGTGCGTGACAATCTCAGCACAGACTGCTGTCATCTCTGGATATGTGTGGGTCCGCGCCCCCCAGCATGTCCCCTCCTTCAAAGTTGCTTGTGGGCCCGGCTAAAGGAGGAGTGTGAGCAGTGCTGAATCACGGACAAGTGACAGAGCCCCCCCCACCCCGTGGGAATGTCTCCACAGAAGGATCAGCCTCTGGAAGAAGAGGAGAGGAACTGTGGCCACCTGTGGCTCTTACCTCGGGAGGGACCAGCAGGAAGCCCAGGATCACCTGCAAGCCAAGTGGAGAAGCCTGGTTTGTGTCCCCTCTTCCAAGAGGTGCCTCCTGCTGAGGCCCGGAACATTCAGTGTCTCTTAGTCTTTTTTGTTTTGGTACTGGGAATCGAACTCAGGTCCTGGCACTTGTTAGGCAGGCGCTGATGCCGCTGAGCTATATCCCCAGCTCCTGTCTCTTAGTCTTGTTTCTATAGTGACACCTTTGGGCGGAGACTGTCTCCCACTTCCTGTCCCCATGTCTTCCTTTCCTCTGCCCTTTCTCCCTCTCCCAAGCCTTAAGCACTGAAGCACTTGGGTCTTCCATGCAAGGCTGGGCTCAGGGGCCAGGCTGCCTGCTCACTGACCTTTGTCACCTTTGGGTCCCTGCGGACCAGGTGGGCCTGGTGGTCCCTGCAGGTTGAGTCCGAGAGAACCGGTGTCTGAAAGCCAAGAACATATACTATGCAGTCAGCAGGAGTGGAGAGTGGGTCTGGGCCACAGCTGGGGCAGGTGGCGGCTCGGCTCTTACCTGAGGTCAGGAACCCTGGGAGGCCTTGCTCGCCTGAGGGATACAGCAGGAGGGGACAAGCTTATTTTCCTCTCCCATTTACTCCTCCTTCCTCCCCTCCAGGGCACCCCCGCTGTTGCCCAGACTGTGCAGCCCATTGGTCAGTACCGGCCACAAACATGCATGTCTACACTGCAGTTGTGCACAGAATGCAGAGTTCGCAGCCCTTCCTTCCCTGAATGCTCTCCAGCCCGCTGGCTATACTCCCACTAAGTTCAAAACTCTAGGAAGTCAGCCTTTACCACCCATTCCTGGCCCAGGTCATGTTTGATGCCAGTTCTACTGTACCTCGATGTCCTCGGGGGCCTGGGGGACCTGAGGGAGGGAGAAAGAGGGCTGTGAGGCACCCACCAGCTGGATATTGCGGCTCCATGGGGCCAGTAGAGGAGAGAACACAGAAGCCAGAGCTCCCTGGGCCTCTCCTTCCACCACATCGCCGCAGGGCAGGGGCTCTTTGCAGAGTCTCTGACCATCTGCTTATCCCCTTCCCGCCCATGCTGTAGGTGAGGAACCTGGCAAGAGGCCCTGGAAAAGCCTCTGCTCACCCAGCCTCACCCTGGCCACGAGGGGATACGGAGGGGGCACATATTGGCTGTCCTCACCTTGGTCTCCCTTGGGGCCTGGGGGGCCAGGTGGGCCTGGGGGGCCAGAGAAGGTTTCTGCGGAGGAAGGCAACAGCGTGAGGGTAGGGGAGTGAGGTTCCCGGGGCAGCAGCGCCCTCTAGCCCAGTGCCCAGCATGCTGTGGACACTCAACCCATGCTCATCAGATGGGTGATGGATGCCTGGGTGTTCGAAAGGTTGAGGGTTGGGTGTAAACACGAGTGGATGACTGAGAAGGCAAATGGGTGGGTGGGTGCATGGGTCCCCCACAAGGGATGAGTTCTGGCCCAGTGCTGGCTCTTAGTTACTTCTGTAAGTTTCTACATTCTGCTAGCACTGATCTCATGGGCCTGTGTCCTGCCTGCTTTATTAGAGGTGGGCTTCCCAGAGACCGGAACTGGCCTCCTGGTCACTCCAGAAGCTCCCTAAGTGCCACACTCCCATGCGGGTGGGTTGGAATGGTTTGTCTCCTTGCAGGCCCAGTGGAGTCAAAGGAAGCCCTGGGCTGGGTGAGCGCTCAGGTGGGGCAGAGGGACTCGCCCCATGGCATTACCTGAGGAAGTCAGGAAAGATCCTGGGGGGCCCGGAGGGCCTGGCAAGCCTTCCCCTGGATGAGAGAAGCCCGAGACTCATTAGTGTCATGAGACAGCCAGGGGCCCTCTGCCCTGAAGCAGCAGGGGTGCTCTTTCCTGCAAGGGCTCTGGGCCCCCTCACTGCCACCCCAACTCTAGCAAGGAGTTCCCTCTCACCTGGTGGGCCTCGGGGTCCCGGGGGGCCTGGGATAGCTGGTCCTGCAAGAGAGTGAGCAAGAAGGCATGTTGAGCTCAGGGGACAGGCACATCCTGAGGCAGGATCAATCTGGGCTTGATCCCACAGTCCCCAAGGCCTCTGCACTCCCCCACCCCATCCCCATCTGCTGGCAGCTCCTGAGATGTTCACCTGGTGGTCCACGGGGCCCTGGTGGGCCTGGCGGGCCTCGTAAATCAATGCCTTCTGTAGGGAGAAGCAAGCAGAAATGAGAGAGGATTCTGTGGAGGTGTGCTCTGCCAGGCTCCTTACCTCTCACTCTGATCGCACCCTGGGGTGCACTCACACCCAGAGCCTGGCACAAGGCTTTCCAGGGTTCCATGGCTAAGGGAAGCCCTGGCTCAGAGGCAGGGTGGGGAGCAGTCAGTTGCTGTGGGGGTGTGGAGGGATGGAGAAGAGCTCGGGTTTCAGCGTCCTCTAGGGTTTAGCTCCCCACTCCTGGCACTTCTTATTCAGCACCCCAGGTGTCTGGCACTGATCTGCTGTAGCTCTGCTGGACTTTTTTTTTTTTTTGGTCACGTTGCTGACTGAATCCAGGGTTATATGCATGCCAGGAAAACCTACCACTGAGCAGCATCTCTAGCCCTTTTTATTTTTGTTGATTTGTTTTGATTTTTTGATACAGGGTCTCACTGTGCAGCCCAGCTGGCCTCAGACTCATGGTGATCCTCCTGCCTCTGAAACCCAAGTGCTGGGATTATATATATGATGCCACACTCAGCTAGCCTGCTTTGTTTTTGAGACAGTTCTCACTAAGTTGCCCAGGCTGACCTTGAATCTGCAATCCCCTGTGTTGCAATCCCCCTCTGCCTCTGCCTCCCAAGCATCTGGGATTACAGACCTGAGCCACCAGACCCAGGCCACCAGGGCTCTTGAAAGGGCTTTGTGGACAGGACGATGCCGGAGTCATCCCTCGTAGATCAGGCCATGGCTGGGCATCTGTACCCTGCTCTTGCCCTCTTCCAGTGGGAGCTGCCCTGCTCCTGCCAGCTGCAATCCAAGACCTCACCTGCCCTTGCTCCTCCTGGGGTCCCAGAGTCTTTCTGACAGCTGTCCCATCCCTGGCCTGGTGCCCGACAAGTCCTGCCTTTCTTCTGGGCTATCACTCACTGCGTCTCCCTCCACCCCCACCATCACCTGCTCTAGAAAATGATGGCACTCACGGGAAGAGATGATCTCAGAGATGGAGGTGCCGGTGCCCACAGACAGCTCACTAGCAAGGCCTGGCTCTCCTCTCGGGCCTGTGGGGAGGACAGGGTTAGGGTGAACAGTGCCTCAGGAAAGGTCAGATGCAGGGCAGAGTGCAGGCAGAGAGGTGGCAGAGGGCTATCAGAGAGAAGTGTGGGGTCTGGGGAGGGGGCAGGGCCATTAGAGGGGAGGTTGGAGCCAGAGCCTTGACAGTGAGCACTTCTGTCTGCAGCCAAAATCCCCTTTTCCTAAGACTTGACTGTTTTTCGATAGTTGGATAAAACTGATCATCAGGGTTTGGTCACCAGAGAGCTATGACAATAACTGAGTTCAGTCTCAACCAAGGGCCACAAAGACTAAATCCCGTTGTCCCAAGGAGGCTGATCCTTCCAGAAATATGGACTGGATCAGAGGAAGTGGCCCCTTTCCCTCCCTTTCTGAAACGCATACCTGTGCCTTGAACTAAAGCACAGGCGCCCAGGCCTGCCTCAGAGGGTGCCTGTGTTTTCTCAAGATGTGACGTACCTTGCTGTCCTGGGAGACCAGCAGGGCCAGCAGGGCCTGGAAATGGCATTGGGGAAGAGAATAAGTGAGCTCTGGGGTCATGGGTACAGGGGAAGAAATGCAGGGAGGGTTCACACGGAGCCCTCCCAGGCGTGGGAGTCAGTGGGCTCGCAGGAGAAGGATAAGCAATCTGAGACCAGTGTGAGGCTCTCAGGCTGGTACTGGGCCCCTTGGGTCAGCAGGCTGTCCTGTCTACGCTGTCCTTCACTGGCTAGCGACTTCTGTGCACCCCTTGCAGCCTCCAGTTTGTCAGAAAGGAAGGCTGGTATGTACTTGCATTGGTTGTGTTATGTATTTCACAAACATTTAATTAATTATTCCTGGTGCTGGGGATAGAACCCAGGGCCTTACACATGCTGAGCTCTGTCACTGAGGTACATCCCTCAGTGACATATACAAGGAAAGCACATATACAAAATATGTGCCTTCAAAACACACATACGAAATAATGGGCATTTTGGAAAAGCAAGAGAGAATCCTAATTCTTTAATTTCTGAGCATTTTATTTCCTTCCACCATCTTTTTTTGCATCTCATAAAAATATAGCCAGAACACTACACCACACATCACTGATGTTTTGCCCTTTTAACTACAACTATTGTCTCTTAACAACTGTTTTTCAGAGTTAAGAGTTCTAGAATCACCCGTGGTGCTGGGTGATTCAGATTGTGTTTCCCTAGTAGACAGCTAGCATTGGTGTTGCCCTTGATTCCCTTTCCAAATTGTTTTGCAGGGAGAAACCATGGAAGCCTTGAAGGTCCAGCACTGTTATTGGTCTCCAGCCCTGGTCACCGAATGATCTGGATTGAACCTTTGGCCTGCTGCTTAGTGGTCATGTGACTTTAGGCAGGTCACTTACTCTCTTTGAGAGCCAGCTTTCCCTCATCTACTGAGTGGCCCTCCTCTTTTCCTGGAAACAGAGCTTAGCTCCCTTAAGTCCTTCCTGCTCTCTTTCCTGGGTTCCTGCCTTTGGCTTCAGGATCTGAGAAAACATGACTAGAGTTCAATGCACCCATGGCTTCCTGCTCATCAGGGCAAAGTAAGAAAACAAACTGACCTGGGGAACCTGGAGGTCCTGGAGGTCCCATGGCGCCAGGAGGCCCTGGGGGACCTGGGACGGTGACCATGGATGAACCCTCTAGAAAGAGAAAGCACATAGAACACTGAGTCCGGTCTTTGGCTCTGAAGCATTGGTTATCCATAGCTGGGCAAGCTGATGTCTGGGCTTCTCATTACCTCTGCACTTCCCCATTCCCAGTTGCAGACCCAAAAAACTGACACCACAACCTGTCCCTAGCTGTTATGGTTTGTGTCTGAGTATCCCCCCAAAGTCTCATGCCCTCATGCAGGTAACTGAATCTAGCATTTGTGATTGGTTCATGGTCTAGTACTGGGATTGGTGGTGTGAGAGCTGCACCTGCCCAGGGGTGAGTAGCCAATATACAATATAAGGGAGAGAAGGAGGTGTGCTTTTCCTTTTTGCCCGTTTGCTCTTGTTGCTTCTGGTGTCTGCCACAGCCACCATGTTACCCCTCAGCCAGGCCATCCTCCCTTAAAGTCAGCTGATGAGGGACTGAAATCTCCAAAAACTGTAAGCTAAATAAAACTTTCCTTTCCTAATTCTGGGCATCAGGTATTTTGTTCTAGCAATGAGAGAAAAGTAACCAAGACATTGGTGCTGGGCTTGCTGACTGGTGCTTCTTGGAAAACATCATTGCATGTGACCTATGCAATACTTTAAGTGAAGCTTGATGAAAGGATTTAGTAAGAACTGAGAAAATCAGAATGATGATAGAAATGTAGACAGTAAAGGCCCAGTTCAGGAGGTTTCAGTTAAGAGCAAGACTCTATTGACAGTTAAGATTACAGGTAAATAGGATGCTCTGGCAGAAAATTTATCTATGTTTTGCTCCTGTTCTGAGGCTTTGTAGGAGGCTGAGATTAAGAAAAAAACAACTACTCAATCTGGCAAAGAAAATTCTGAGGTAGCCCGACTTTCATACTGTAGTACTACTTGATATTTTTAAACCAGATTTATAGTGATAATCAGAAGAAAATGGCAGAGACAAATGCACAAAGTTTGTAGCTTCATCAAAGAGAAAGTGCCTGAAAAGTTGGTACCTTGAAGTATGTGGTTGCTGAAAAGATTAACAGTAAAAAGAAGCCAAAAGCTGGGCAGTATGGCACACATCTGTAACCCCAACACTCAGGAGATTGAAACAGGAGAATTGCCACAAGCTTGAGGAGTCGTGGCTACACAAAGTGTGTTCAAGGACATCCTGAGCTGCACAGTGACACAGTGAGTGTTTGTCTCAAAACAAGCAAAAAAGTTACCAAGTACTTTGCATCAGGACAATAAGAAAAGTAATTTAAAGTCATTTTAGGAGTCCCAAGATCTCACCACTACAGGCTCAAGCCTACAAGACTGCAAAGCATTCATTTGAAAAGAGACCTTGAACCTTGCTCAAGAAGGGCCACTTAGGTAATTGGTGCATGTGAGAGGTAAGGGAACTGCAGGGAGCATCTCTCCCTGGCTGCGTACCTGAAGTTGTGATCCTGCCTGGGGTGCCTGGTTCACCTGGGTGGGAGAATGAGGAGGAGAGGTCAGGAAGATCAATTAGTGGCTCAATACATTTTCAAAGCTTCTGATTGATTGCCTACGCGGCCCACTCATGGCTGCTGCCCTCAGTCTAAAGGTATTTCAATGAATTTCAAGGGGTTTTCAGGACATCTCTCAGCCTGTCTCAGATCCAGGAGGTCTGAGCATCAATCCACATGCAGAGAGGGGCTTCCCAGAGGATAAGGGAAGTGAGGCTGGAATGAGGCTGATGTGAGTCAGTCACAAGCTCCTTCTCCATCCTCTCTTCCTGGGAACCACCTTAGGTGAGAAAATCAGTCACAGGACAATGGACAGAGGCCATGAGCCCATGATGTGGACTGGGGGTCCCAGCATGCTCCTCTGAGTTCTACCTCCCGGGCATGATAGGAACAGGAGCTATGTGGTTGATAATCTGAGAAATCCTAAGTTACAGAAAGTCACAGCTCTTTCCTGCCACGTGTCTCTGAGTGTGGAAATCCCAAAGGCTCATGAAGGACTTCCAAGAAGAAGAAGTAGAATTCAGTGTCTACCCTGCAATCCATAGGTGGGCTTGTGGAAACCAAGGAATCAAGGGAGCAAAAAAGCCCCTTACCTGGGAATTCTTTTGTGTGTGTGTTGGGGGGTACTGAGGATTTAACTTAGGGCCTTGTGCATGTTAGACAAGCACTCTACCACTGAGCTACATCCCCATCCCTAGCTGGGCATTTTTGAGGGGCTTCTTTTTCATTTCCAAAGTTTTGTGGGCAACAAAAGGGCAACATATATGTCTCTGCTCACTCTTCACCTGCCAGGGGCCCAGAGCAAGACAGAAGACGCTGCTGAGTGGGTTTTGTTGGAGCAAAATCCAACACGAGATAAGATATCCACTCCAGTCTTTACCCAAGGGTGGTGCAGGGTTGGAGATGGGATCTGAAGCCCTCTTGGACAGGAAGAACAGTGTTTCTGGTATACTGAACCCTGCAAGTCTGATGGAACTCAGCTGCCATTGTTTTGGATTATGTTTATTTATCCCCCTAAACCGCTTGGCTCAAGCGGCCATTGGGAACTGTTCTTGGAAGGTTTACTCCTAGGGTCCCTGGAGGGTGACAGTGACTGGTCACAACAGCACAACTACAGGGTGTCAGGGCTCAGAAGCATGGGGTCACAGAGACACAGGAAGCCTGGGCGTGGGCGCTGTGTCTTCTTGGGCTTGCTGAGGGCTAGAGCCTCAAGGGGCAGAATTGGACTGGAGTTTGCACACCAGCCGCCCCAGCCGGACTCCTGAGGGTTGTGTCGCACCTTGGTTCTTAACTTTGCCCTCCTACTAGGTTGTGACACTCCTCTCTGCCTACACAGCCACCTCTCGGGAGCCTCGGGTACCCCAGTAACACCAAAGCCTATGCGAAGGGTTAAGCCAAGGGCAGCTCTGTCCTGGGGAGAACTCACGCTAGTGGGGACCCAGCGTAAGGGAGGCGTGTTTCTGAGGCAGCCCAGGAGGGGCTGGGAAGTCAGGGTCAGGAAGCACCCTCCCTGACCTTGTGTCACAGCAGCCTGGAGATGTGAGAACAGGGCTCAGCTTTGGGGATGGGGCTTAAGGGGGGACCCAGGGCTGTTGTTTGGCATTGATGGAGCTCCCACCTCTCAGCCCTCAGCTGGAGCCACTAGATGCCACTGTTGGCCCAGACTTTGGCTGGAGAGGGGCCTCCCTCCTGCCAAGCCCTCCTTCCTGCAAAAAAATGGTCTTGTAAAGAAAGAGAATCTCATTTGGAAAGTCACTTACCTTTACTCCCTGGTCGGCCAGGGGTCCCAGGAAGTCCTGATATGATTAAAAACAGGTCAGGCAGGGTAACTGGGCCCTGCAGTTCCAGGAGGCCTAGGTAACTAACTGGTACCCAGCACAGCCACGCCAACCCGGCCTGCAGCTCTAGCTCAGGGGCCCTTGGGTCCTATTCTCTCTGGGAAACAGGGCAATCACTGGGCTGCAGGTAGCAGAGGCCATGGGTCAGCTGGTCGGGATGTGGCCCCTTGGCATTGTAGCCACTCTGGGCCTGCTTGCCTTCTGCCTTCTCGGGGGCCTGGCAGATGTCACTGTGCATTCAGCCCCCATTGCCTGGTTCATCTTAGTCTCTGCCTAGAGTCCTTTAGGAAATGAGGAGCCCAGCATGGTGATGGCTTCTCAAACCCTAAAGACCCTGTTCCAGAGAAACTGAGTCCCCTGAATGAGGCGAGGGCCCACCCCATCATGCCAGTGGGGGATATGGTCCTCTGTGGGCTTCAGAACTCCTATCCAACAATAGGTCCCCATGAGCCTTGTCCTGGGCATCCCTGCACCAGAGGAGTTAATCCCAGGAAGACAGAATCAGTACACAGTCTACCCTCGGTTTTCCTCCCTAAGGTGCTTCTCAAGACTTCCAGGGGGAGGCCCTGAGCCTGTGGTTTCTGGGGGTTGAGGGAGGACAGGGCATTCAGGAGCCTGGAGGAGAAGCGCTGGCCTAGGGCTCTGTCCTAGGAGAGAAGGTGGGTGGGAGGAACCCTATGACTCACCCTGAGGTCCTCGGGGTCCTGTGAGACCTGCAAAAATAAGACACAGGAGGTAAGAGTCTCAGGGCTGAGAGTGGCCCCAAGCACCTACACCCTGACCCTGCAGAGGCAGGAAGATTTGGCCCAGGAGGGGTCGGTGGGAGCCAGAGGAAAAGCCATGCAGAGGGAGTGGGACGGAGGCAGTCCATGTTCCTTCCAGTCCTGGAGTAGAACGAGTTCTGGAGCTTTGCAGTGAAATGACCCGCTACTTCCTTGGTTGCTGGTTCTGGGCCTGTTCTGGCTCATAGATGCTTCTGGAATCTGAGGTGAGCCAGGAACCCCAAATGCATGGCCATGGAACCCCTCCCCCCACCAGGGCTTCTCTCCAGGGTGGGTAGGTGCCAGTGGGGGAGAGGAGGGCAGGAAGGGAAAGGCCCCAAGGCCCAGAGGTGAGATAATGAGCTGCTGTTGAGGTCTGCGATTTTAGGGGACTCCTTCCCCTTTCTGGAGCACCTAGGTTTAGCTGTTAACCCTCCTCTTCCAAGTTGCCAGGTTGCTGCCCTCCCAGGCAGCATGGCCGGCTGTGTGGGCCCCTGCTGGGCTTGGAAGGAAAACGGGATGAGGCCCGGGAGGTGCACTTGTATATGCACACGCACAGCCATGCACACACACATCCATGCACTTTGAGAAACACCCACACCCTGTGCACGCCAGGGTGCAGGCTCAGCATGGCAGCTCCCTCTTCCGGCCCTGTTACCTGGCTTTCCTTGGTCTCCGGAAGGTCCTGGAGGGCCCCGGGTTCCAGGCGCACCTGTAAGGCCCTTTTCACCTGGGGAGGGCATGGGCCATGAGGTGTTTCCCCGAGGAGGGCTCACCCCCAGCACCTGTGAGCACAGGCTTCCCAGGGTTTTGCTGGCTTGCTGGCCAGTGGGAAGGAGGAGGAGGGCAGGAACGGGGCCACTCATGATGCCCCAGGCTATGTGTCCCTCCAGCATCATAACGATGGGGACTGGAGCACCAGCAGGAATGTGGGTAGGGCAGGGATTGGACGGCAGGGGCAGATGGTGAGGGAGAAGACCAACCTCTTGGACCTTGGAGTCCATCGGGGCCAGCAGGGCCTGGCAAAGCAGAAATGCAAAATCTGTCATTTACTTCCTGAGCTGAGTCTGGGACTCTTTCCTCTCCTGCCCTAGCAGCCTCAGAGCACACCGCCTCCCAGGCAGGGGCCATTGCTGGGGAGAAGCCCTGGCCTGGTTTCACTCTGGATACAGACTTCTCCCCACCCCTCCCCATGTCCTAACCGTCATCTCTGTTCCTGCTGACCGGGCCAGAGCTCCCATGGAGCCCAGAGGGCCTGGACACTCCTGAGTGTTTGCTTCCTGTGCGTGGCGGAGGGCAAGGCCCTCCCGATTCTGTTTGCCTCTGCTCTAGGCAGCTTCCGTGTCTCTATCCAAAGCTGCATCCTTCCCTTGTTCTTCCCGTCTTTACTCACCTTGCCCTCACTGCATGGGCCATTTTTCAATCTGAAATGTCACCTTCTTGCCCCTTCTGGCAGGAAGAACTTTTCCCCTGAACTGTACCTTCATTGGCATTTGGTAGCTTTTGCCACCGGTCACCTCTCACAGGGGTGACCTCTCATATGCTGATTGTCTTATTTTCCCTGCATGCAGGTGGCTCTTACTAACAGTCGGCTAAATAAACCATCAAGGGGCCACATCTCCTTGGTGGGACTCAGTGCCAAGGCCTGGCATTGGGCTGATTTCACAGGTGCCTTCATGAGGGCTGCCTGGCCTGGTCCTGGGGTAGAGTACTGGGGCTTCAAAGGGCCACTACCCTAGTCTGCCCTGTACAGGCTGGTACAGGGGTGGGTGGGCTATGCCCTGCCAAGTCTGCCTGGGAGCAATGAGACCCTTCAGAGGGAGGCTCAGGCCAGGAAGTGGCCTGGCAAGTGGGCCTGGCCTGGGGTGAGCAGGAGAGGGAGTGGGGGAGATAGCTCTGGAAGGGTCTTTGTAAGCCATGATGACCGTCACTCTCACAGGGCAGACCCCACTCAGCCACTGCTCGTGACACTCACCCATCGGTCCCTTAGCTCCGGGCTCACCTACAGCCCCCGGTAAACCTCTCGTGCCAGGCTCGCCTGCAACGGACAGAGGGCCAGGTAAGCACCACATGCTGAACTACCACGAAAGGTCCCACTTGGTCCCACACCCACCATGCCTGTCCCCCAGACCCCCAGAGGAGGCGGGGTGGGAACTGCTGCTTTGACTCTCAGTTCAGGGCCACGGCCCCTCCCCTGGGCAGCAGGCTTGCCGATCTAGAAGCCAACTGTGACCCCACGGTGCGTGTATGGGTGCCACTCCCCGGAAGCTATGCCTGTGGTCACGTATCACTGTCAGGTTTCTTTGCAATCGTGCCACTTGAGGAATGTGGCAGAGAGGGTGCCAGAGAAGAACTTGATGCTACTTTGAGAATTATTAATCTTCCCAGCTGGATTCCCCCAAAGAGTCAGTGGCAGCTATAAACTCACCTTTCTGCCCAAACCTTTACTGCTTAGACTGTGTGCTCTGATCCTTGCTTGTCTTCTACTCACAGCTTTGCCTACCTTTGTGCTTTTTCTAGCTAGCAGTTTCCCTGAGGGTTTGTGGGCAGAGTCTACCCCGTCCTTCTGTACTTTTCCCACTGCCAGGGCCTGGGAGGTTTAAAGATCATGAGCGGAGGAAAGCAGATTCCTGTGTAGACTGACCTGTGAGGCCTCGGGGTCCTTTCTCACCGGGGTCACCTAAAACAAATGGGGTGGGGTGAGCCATCTGGGGTGAGGGAGACCATATTCCTGGGTACCCAGGTTTCCTGGGCTACAGGGGGAGCCTTGAGGGTAAGTAAGCTCCTGGCAGTGAGATGCAGTCAAAGCCCAGCTCTGAGAAAGCCGGAGGAGCATTGTCTGTCTCTCCCAAGGTAGAGACCAGGCACGAATTCACCTAATGCCTTGCTGGTTCACGGGCAGGTGACCTGGGCTCAGGAGGACCAGAGTAGTTACCTCAGTACCCTGAGGACCACTCAACCACGGTTACATGACGATGGTGCTTTCTTTTCTTTGTGCCTCGATTTCCCTATCTAAGAGACTGGCTAAGGAGGAACCCTTGGCCACCTCTTAGTTGCAGGCTCTGAGGACCAGAGTCACACGTGTTCTCAGAGTGCCCTGGAGGTCCTTTCTGGGTTCTAGGAGCAACGCAGACTGTAGTGATAACTGACCAGGATGGGAAAGGTGTACCTTTGGGTCCTGGAGCTCCCACAGGTCCTTTGTCACCTGAAAAGGAAATAGACGCATTGCTGTAAAGAGCCCTGCAGGGGACAGCCAGAATGGGTCAGTGTCTGACTCTGAAGCCAGCTCCCACCGCCTCCACCTCATGTCCCCTTCTTGCCCTTGCGGGCTGCCCAGGCTGTGGGCGGAGTCTGTCAGCCACTCCCAGCACCCCCACTTCCTGAACACAGAGCATCCCCAGGGCACCCCACTCTTCCTCCTAGGCCCATCCCCCTGCTTACCTTTGGCACCAGGAAGTCCTACTTCACCTCGGAGACCTTGGAGACCCGTGAAGCCTGCTCACCAGAGGAAAGCATACAGGTGGATGACTGTCCCATCCTCAGAGGGGACAGACACAAGCACGTGTGTGTGGACATACACACACACATATACTACCCTGGCACACACACCACACAGGTGCACACACCCTGGAGTCAGAGGCAAAGGCTCCTCTCTATGAACTCCTGTGCAGCTTTCCCGGGCCAGGTTCCTTGCCCTGCCGGTCATCGGCTTTGGCATTAAACAGCTCACGGGACCCTGGTAGAGACATCTGTGGCAGCTTGCAATGCTCAGGGTAGCAGGATGGACTCTTTGGTCCACAGGGGATGAGGCAGAGGCATGCAGTGGCCTAGGTGCAGGCAGGTTGTCGACTGCCTATTGTGAAAGCTGCTGGGGGCTCACACCCCTGCACCGGGTCAGACTGGGCCTGGGAAGGACTCGTCAATGCTCCGAGACAGGGGCTTGTGGACTCGCAGCCTTGAGTTCCATGTCTCTCTGGGGGCTGTCTCTAATTTCTCCTTGTGTTGTAAAGGTCTGGTTTTCCTTTTAATAACCCTCCTCTCTTTCCCCGAGAAACAGCACCTACTTCCAAGAGGCAGCACACTGACCTGGAGGTCCCTGAGGGCCGGGAGAGCCGATGGACCCTGAGAAGGAGGAAGAGATGATTGGCAGGGGCTCAGGCTCTGGCTGGGGTTACGGGGCCCCAGGGTGATGGACAGGTGGGGTGGAGGCAGCTCACATGCTGGTGAGGGCTGCGTGGATGCAGATTCTGGCCAGGACCCTATGTCAGAGGGTCCAGCAGGGACCCCAGTACAGTGTCCTCCTTTAGAACCAGGCTGCGGGACTCTAACATCTTCCTGGTCGGGCTGGAGCATGGATCAGAAAAACAGGGGGCCAGATGGGCAGCAAATTGTGAGAAAGGGCCTGTTCCCCCAGCTGCCCTGACGTGTGGCTTTCGATGGGTGATCCAGAGAGCCCAGCAGCAGGGAAAGCTGATTCTGATCCCTGCGCCATCTGCCTACCCACCACGGGACCACACAGGGTGACCACTGAACAGGAGGCAATGGGGCCAAACTTGCAGCCCCCCTCGACCCTCGGGGAGTCCACAGAGTAAGGGAATTCAGGACCCATGCCCCACCCCTGCATTTCTACCATCGGTTGGTCAGGGATGGGGCCCTCTCTGCAAGTCTGGATGCAGCCCTGGGCCCTTGACGTACCTTTCGGGCCCACAGAACCTGGGACACCAGGAGGGCCCTGAGGACCGGGTTCACCAGCGGCTCCTGAGGAGAAATGGGGGCACAGAGCTCTTCGAGAGAGTCCCCCGACCTGGCTGTCCCTTGGCCAGTGGTACTCTCAGGAGGGGACGTTTCCTACCCCACCATGGCTGTATATCCATTTGGTGCCTTAGGGAAGCCACTAATTAATGACTCCCAGTTTCTACCCCCAGATCCTTAATTTTCCATGAAACCTAGAACCTAGGAGGCACTGGATAAATACTGGCTGCTTGGGTGAAATCTTTAAGAGAAAAGCGGGACTAAAAGTAGAATTCTGCTCAGTCCTTCAGCATTAGAGGATCTTGGGCACCTGTCTTGGTTTCCTCTGATAAAACAGGTCTCTGCGGTTAAGGATTGAATTACAAAACCTTCCCAGGCCCCTCCGTGTAGGGTCTGCACCTGGAGTTCTGCCTCCCTCCCTGCAGGGTCCTGCACTCCACCTCACCCTCCATGAGCCCCTGCCCTCTGCTGTCCCCTTGGCTTTGCTCGGCTGGGCACTCCAAGGTGTAAAGGATGCTTCACTCAGACCTTCTTTGAGTCCCAAGCATTAAGGTTCCCATCATTTGTCCACTGTCACCACAGGGCCTAGTGTGGAGATCAGTTCAAAGAAAGCGCTCAACAATCACTTCCGGAGCAAGGCGGCAGGGAGACATGGAGAGGAGCAAGGATGGGGCTGGGGCTGCAGCTCAGTGGCAGAGCACTTGCCTGGCATGCACAAAGCTCTGGGTTTGATTTCCCAGTTACATCTGTCTTTCTGTTTATCTATCTATCTCAACATAGCTAAGCCTCCTGATGCAGGAATCCTCTCTTACCTCTGTCTCCTTTCTCCCCAAACCCAGGAGGCCCTGGTTCACCACGCAGTCCCATGGGGCCTTCTCGCCCTCTCTGGCCCATGGGTCCTTCCATGCCAGGATCTCCTGAAGAAAGGAATGACCATCCTCACGGTTAGGGCTCCATGCCACAGCTGTGGGCTCCGCAGGCCACACATCAGCAGCAGAATGCCCCCCTGGGACATTCCACTGCTAACACCGAGGAGGTTAGCAGTGACAAAGCGTGCAGTGCAGCTCACTGCAGGGAGCGCTCTGTCCTCACACTGGCCCAGAGGCCTGCATGGCTCTCCCTGGCTACCCCTTCAGCACTTTCCAGCTACCATCTTCCTCTGCTGCTGTTTTCTGAACTCGCCCTTGGGGCCTCTGGTGCCTGCTTCCTCTCCATTTTTGTGTCTGCTCCCTGCCCCTCTATTGAGCCCCATTGCGCCTGGGGTCCCCCCAGGGCCTGTCTTCTCAGGTCACACAGCACCCGCTGGTCTGCTAAGACTCTGCTTGTTTCCTGCACTGGTTGTCTCCCCCCACCCCTTAGGGGTCTCCCTGTTGGGGTCCTGGGCTGTCTGCTAAAACACTAAAGCTTGGCACACTGAAGACCCCTAATATGCATTTCCTGAGTGAACGAGCCTGTGTGTGTGTGTGTGTGTGTGTGTGTGTGTGTGTGTGTGTGTGAAAGAATGGAAAATTCAGCTCTTACCCACACTGCCTTTCTGTCCCTTTGGTCCTTCTGGACCAGGGTGACCCAAGGGTCCAGGGATACCTGTGGACACACAAGAAGGCCTCAGCCTCTATTTCTTCCTGAGGCAGCAGCCACGATGGAGCTGCCATGGACCAGCAGCACCGAAAGTCGTCTGGCTTACACACCTGGAGTCCCAGGGAGGCCTCGGTCTCCTGCAGGAGCAAAGGTAAAGACATCAGCCAGAGGACCCTACCCAGCTCTCAGGAGCCATCGGCAGGACCAGGTTAGCTAATGAAGATACAACATCCAGGTACATTTGCATTGCAGATGAACATAAATACATTTTTAGTATAATTATGTCCTGTAAACTACTTGGGACCCACTTGCAGTAAGAAACGGGCTCATCTGCAGTCCTGTGGAGCTAGATTTTACTCAACAGCACTAGGTTTGGGGCCTAGAACCGTCAGGTCTGGTCCCCAGCTGGGTCTTGGGTGTGGGCTGCAGGCAGGGAATGAGGAGAAATGGGGGGGGGGGGGCTCAGTTCCCGTGCTAGGATCTCTAGGACAGTAAGCTGCCTGTGTCACCTGGAGGGGTGGTTCTCAATGTGGCTGGGCACCCTGGCCACAGAATCAGCTGGGTCGATTAGGACCAAAGGCTCCTGAACTTGGCCAGGTCTACTGAACTGGAGCCCTGGAAGTGGCTCCAGAGAGACCTTTTGGCAGTTTCCATGTACACTGGACGTTGTCCAGCCCAGACAGACAGGGCAAGGAGAATGTCCCTGTGTCCAGTGGGGCCCTCAGGGTTAGACACCGCCCCTTCCTCCTACTCCTCCTCCTGACTGGACAGGAGCTGGAACTCAGGCTGTAACTCCAGTGATGAGAAGGGTGGGGAGCTTCCCGTGTTCCTGATGTGCATCTGGTCCCTAACCAGCCACTGGCAGGCACTGGTCCCCAGCCCCGGGGCTGAGGACCCCACTTTAAATCACTCTAGATCTTTCTCAGAGGGGAAGGGCTCAGGAGACGGAAGGAGGTCAGGGAAAAGGATGAGAAAAGGGATTAAGATATGTTACACACATTTGCCAACTCTGAACAACAAATGTAAATGTGTACTAATAAAACAATAAAAATAAGGTGAAAATATCCATGTTATATTTACCTTTTGGACCTTGACTTCCCATGTCACCTAAAATCAGAAAGAAATGAAAATATGAGACACAGAGGAACCCAAGGGTTCTTCTCTTCATGGTACTTCACAGCTGTGTGACAATATTGAGCCATATGTCAGGGGACACAAGTGTGGTCTCTCTGTTCCCGTATGTAGCACTTGGGGAGGTCACTGAGCCTTTCCTAGATGCCACCTAGGCCATGCTAAGCTCTCCTGACTGTGAAGCCAGTGCTCAGCCCTCCAGGAAGGTGGTTCAGCTTCTCATCCTTCCTTTCGGAAAAAGCAAGAAATGCTTCCCAATCACCCGGACACTGCCTCCCACTGCAGGAGCGAGAATGAGGAAAGGGCTCAGGTCATCATGGTACCTTTAGGGCCAGGGCTTCCTCGGAGATTTCCTGGAAAAGCAAGTAAATCCTGAGTTAGGGTCACATCTTCTGCATCCCTCACACATGACAGGTAGTCACGGGCCAAGGGGGGGAAACTGAGGCTGTACAAAGAACTGGGTTCTACACTTGATCTGGGCCACCATGCTCTCCCAGACTCAGTTTTCCCAAAGCCACATGGGGTCCTAGTGCTGCTGCTCCCTCCGTGCTTCTTGGGGCTGTGAACAGAATGGCAGTGGGAGGGAGGCTGAGAGGGGCTTGTGGTGAGCACTCGGACACCTGTCACTCAAAGGTAAAGCCTTGAGCCGCTGGGGTGAGCCAGACCTGACTCTGACCCGATGGGACTCACCCTTCTCCTGCTCCAGCAGCAGCCTGTTTCTCACAAACAGCCACAGTTCCTCCTGGCTGAGGCCACCGCTGCCACCGAATCCGGCCCTGCCTGCCCCGGCCCCCTCGTCAGGTGAGGCACCCTGCAGCCGTTCCTTGTGGCTGCTTTCCGTCTCATAGTAAATCTCGTTGCCCTGCCTCCTCTCCAGCTCGTCCACACGGGCTTTCAGCTTCCTCATGTCCTCCGCTGCAAACGAACAGCAGACAGGCAAGGCTCCATCAGTGAGAGCCCCGCCCTGCACCCTGCAGACACTCCCTGTGCAGAAGGTGGCTTCTTCATGCCCTTGAGCCCACTCTGCTGGCCTGGTAATGTGGACCTGGGTTAACCTGTCACCACCCTCTTGGAAACTGTCACCTGAGCGGGGTGACAAAGCTCTCCCTTCCCCCTGAAGGGGGGAAGCTGAAGGGACCCTTGAAGGTCCTGAGCTGACAGCCACAGGAAGCCACAGGAGGACACAGAGGGCAAGTGGGGCCAAGGCTGTTTTAGAATCCCAGCTCCACGTTTAGTGACCCTGTGCCCTGAGCCAGGCGCCTCCTGCCTCAGTTTCCTCCTCTGCAGCAATGTGGGGTTTGTGTCTATAGTCTCAGGCTCCATGGCCCGACTCTATGACCTCTGGCTAATGCCTTCTTCTGCCAGAGCAGCGAGCCTGGGCACATCCTGCTGCCCACCATGCAGCCTGCCCTGTGCCCCTTGCACCTACCCAGGGCAATGAGGCCAAAGAGCAGTCCCAGGAGCAGCAGCCAGGTGAGCAGCAGGCCCAGCAGCCACTTCCACCAGCTGCAGCAGGAGCCACAGGGGCACCAGGAGGGTGCGGCCCCCCACAGTCCTCCGCCGCTGCCATTTCCGCCTCCAGCGCCAGCTCCGCTGAAGTGGTCATAAGCATGAATTTCTATAGAAAAGACAGGAACGACCAGGTGATAGCAGGTATTTCTGCCCCTTTCTCTCCAAATTCCCAGCGTGGGTGACTTCCTGTGGCCTGAATGCTGGAAAGGGGCTTTTTAAGCTTCTGCACATCTCTGTGCAAGCAGCAGTAGCTAATGGGGAGAGGAAATCTGGCAGTTCAGAGCTTGAGCTGTATGACTTTGACAAGGTCGCTTAACCTTGAGATGGTGTTGAGATTGTCTACATAGGACAGTTATTGAGTAAAACGAGGCAAGCTTTGTAACCAGTTGAGGCCATGGCACATGGCACAGGCTCAGAAACCTTCCTCACCCATGACCTGCTGCAGCCTCCTGCATCCCACCACACCTAACCTCGCAGGCTTCCCGCGGCTCATGTTTTGGGGTCCTCAGGGCACCTAGAGTCATATTCAGTACTTAGTGGGACCGATAAACCCAAAAAGTTGTTTTAAAGAACAGGGCCTGCAGTTTTCCACAATGAGGGGCTAAGACTGGATGACGGCTCCTGTCACAACACAGGGTGGAGGCGAGGGCAGAACTGTTAAGGCTCCACGCCACCTTGGCCCATGAGGGAGCTCTGGTGGTGGCTCTTGCCCTGGCAAGAGACCTTAACACTCAGGGACTTCAATGGCCGCTGGGTAGGAGAGAGGGGCCTGCGAGGCTCCATCCCATGAGCTGAGCTCCTTCTGAGGCCACTGCCAGCCCACAGCCTGCCTGCTCCTTTCTGAGCCATAGCAGCAAGGGGTGGTCACCTGTCACCTAACCACACCCGCCCCCATCCGTCCTGTGGGGTCCCCTTCTACCCACCTTTGGAGGCAGACTTGCCGTTGGTGGTTGCTGCCTTCACTTCTCCTGAAAGGATACACGGGTTTGGCTCTGGGCTTGTACGTGGATTCTAGGGACACCTTGATCCCCAAGGCACCTTACAGAGCAGTGAGCACCCAGGTCTCAGCAACCTGGGATTTACTACAACCGCATCCATGAAGACATGGCGTGGCCAGCAAGTGACAGTGAAAGATAGTGCAGCATTAAAACACTCTTGAAGCCTTAAAGCTTTACGTATCAGTATTTCCGGAAGTCATGTTGGGTGATGGTTGCATTCAAACGGCAAACACACTGGTGAGAAACGACTCTGACATTTTTTTTTCTTTTGGGGGCTGGGGATTGGACTCAGGGCCTCATGCTCCCTTACCACACGTCTGCCCTGGGCTGCATGCCCAGCAATGATGCTGATCTCTTGGCTACAGGACTTTGTCGTGATTGGCAGCTCCCCCTCCTTGGAGGCATCGCTGTCTCTCTCCACAGGTGGAGGGAATGGAGATGTCTGGCAATTCATAGCCCCGGCTTCACCCCTACAGTCTCAGGAATCACTAACCTTGATGATTTGGAGATTTGAAGTCGGGTTCTAAACTCTTTACTGTTAGGGTGGTAACTGACTTAGTTTGCATTTACTTTAGAATGTTCTAAGACTTAGCATTTCCCTTCCTTGACTGACCTCTCTGAAATCAATTGTTTGGAGAGATGCTGCAAGACTTTGTGAAGAAGTATGTTTACCCAAGACAGAATCCATATATTTGGGAAAAAAAAATAAAGCTAACAAAGACTTTGCAAGGCTCTTGTCTGTTCCTTTTGAGAATTAGGGGAGGCCTGGAAGAGTGAGAAAAGGGTTGGCTTGGCCAGGCCGGAGGACAGAGGAAGGCTCTGCATACAGACCCTCCCAGGGAGCCTCCTGTATAGCAGCGGGCCCTGGGGGCTGCGGAGGATCCGGGTGCTCACTGCCAGTGCTGCTGCTTTGAGGGCCACACTGAGCAGCAGAGTTCAGGAGGCCAAGAAGTAAAATGTGGCTTGGCTGGAATCAAGGTGAACAACAGCCGGGTTTGTCCTTACCATTGGCTTCTGCTTTCAGGCAGGTGTCAGCAGTGTAGGCAGCCTCCTTCTCTTTTTTCAGTGTGTCTTCTGAAAAAGAAGCTGTGCCCGGAACCCGTGATGCTATGCTGTGCTCTCTCCCTGCCCCTCCTCACCTGCTCCATCTCCCTGGCTCCCTGGACAGACCAGGGATAGCCGGTTGTGAAGAAAGCCCTGGTTTTATATGTTTGATCTCTCCTATCTGTGCTTGTGGCTAGGCCTGCTGATGCCCAGTGAAACTGTTTGCCTGAGTTTTCATGGCTCTGCTGCATTCAAGACAGCCCCTGGGACACCCTCTGAGGGCAGGCATTTTTCATTAGGATGGCAAAGCCTGGGTTCATGGCAGAACCGCCTCAGCCCTCCTTGCTGGGACATTCAGCCTCGGGCTTCTGCAGCCTGAGGCACGGGGCTCTGGCGTACTTGTAGCAATGCCGGTGGGGGACGCAGTAAAGACCTTCCCGCTGTCCTTGGTCATGATCAGCAGCTCCGTCTCTTTCTTGGAGGGCACATTGTCTTTTTCCAGGATCAGGAACTTGCAGTCCTTGTGCAAGATGTCATCGCTTTGGACATTGGTAGTGCAGGCTGGGGAGGAAAAGGGTCCAGGAAGAGGAAGGAAAACGCGCCGAGAGAGGAAGAAGGAAGCGATGACCAGAGAGGGAGGGAGGAAGACAAGAGCGACAGCTGAATGCTCTTGATGGTCTCCTGTTCTCCCCAGCAGTGGTACTGTGAAGCTTCTTTGCCTGGCTGGGCCCTGCCCTCAGGAGGTGGGGTCATTGATAGAAGTGCCAGGCATGTGGTCACCATCTGTCCCTCAACCCAGGAATATGGGATGTTTACCAGACGGGCCATCACCTCCTCATGGCTAGGGAGGTCCTTTAACTAATGGGTGAGTTGCCTGCCTCTCTGAAGAGGCTCTTTCTGACCATGTTCCCAACACACGGACTTCTGTTTCTACCACATCAATTATGGTCTCCTTAGACTCTCTGCTTCTTTCTTGCATATTTTGTCTTTGTGTTTGTCATCTACCTACTCCACTGGAGTCATCGGGTTGGTGAGAGGCAAGAGTCTACCCTGTTTTGATCACTGATTTTTCCAGCACTTAGAAGAGAATCTGTCTTAAGCAAAGTAGGTGTTTGGTAATTTTTTTTTTTAAATTAATGACTGTTGAGCAGAAACAACACTGTGGTCAGAGCAATGGAGAAAATGACTCCGGGTTTGGTAGGAACCCAAATTGATGAAGCGTCTATAGGAAGTAGGGAGGGGCTGGCAGCTTCCGAGAGGCTTCCTGGTTCCTGGTTCTCTGGGTGAGCTACATGTAGCAGCGGAAGGTGAAAGAACTCTAGGCCAGGGTGTGGCTGGAGGGTAAGTGCAGATCCTGAGCAGGTGTGGTGGGCAAGGTTCCCTGCCCCCTTGGGCAGGAAGGCCAAGGTCAGTTCAGGGGATACTCATTTTTTGTGTATGCACAGAAACACTCAAAAGACCTGTGGGACAAATTGTATTTGTGGACCCCAGACTATGTATGGGGGACTCTGTTGTCCCCTCCAGTAGCCCTTGGGTCACAGCCAAGTAATTCTGCCTGGGTGCTGGGCTGGTCCCTGGCAGAGGAGGGCAGCACTCACCAGCGGAGGTGGTGGACACACTGGTGCTCACAGCAGCAGGGGTCTGGGACACGTTTTTCTTCACACCATAGGCTGTGGGAGGAGAAGCACAGAGTGAGCTCGCTGGCACAGAAGGAAGGTTCCTGTAACCCTGAGCAGCTCATCAGCCCTGGCAGAGAGGTGGCCTCCCCAGGTGAGAAGCAACCAAAGGACTTAAGCTTCTCCAGCCACCAGGGCAGCAAGGAGGGCTTTGATGGAATGTTCTTGGGTATCACCATGCTCATCCATCTAGAACTTTCTAAAGGTCACCCTCCTTCAGGAAGTCCTCTTAGACTCACTCTGTCCCTTCTTTCTGCATAACATATCATTCCCTTCCTGTTGTCACTGTTCCCTCAGCTGAACAGTAGGCAAGCTGAAGGCAAAGCCTAAGGCTTGTGTCTCCTCTGCCCAAACTCAGCTTCCAGTTTGGCACAGGGATTCACCATCAAATCAGCCAGTGGGCTGATGTGCAATGACAGATGACTGTGCCAGAGTAAGTGTGGGCTGGAGGGATCCCCAGGCTAGCGGGGCTGTGAAATCCATGAGGATATGCAGGTGGCACGCCACAGGGCACAGATGTCACTGATGGAACAGATGCCCCTGTGTGTTTAACTCAAATCTGACCAGCAGATGGTCACAATCTCTAGGTTGGGGTAGGGACTCTTTGGAGGAAAGGCCAGGTGCTTTTCATGGGCCTTCTGACTGAGCCGCTGAAAGGGATATTGACAGCTGTAGCCTCAAAGATCTGTCAGTTCCCAGCCCCTAAACTCAACTTGGGCTACCAACCTGTGGAAGTGGTGGCAGTGCCATGGGACAGAGTAGCTGAGCTGGGGGCCAGGTTGTTCTGCATTCCGAACACTGTGAGAGGGATTGAGAGCAGGTAAGAGCAGGTGGGAGGAAGACGCCTCCCTCTTAGATGCAGGTGTCTCCCAAAGTCCCCAAACCACTTTTGTGTCAAATAATTTTGCAGATGACAGGTTTTCAGTCTGCCTTGCTTTGAAACTGCTAGTGACACCGTCAGTTTTCGTGTGCCTCCACCTCCCCACCGGTTCCTTTTGCTGAGGAGTTAGGGCCCCACAGCTTAACAGACGCAGTTCACCCAAGCATGCAAGTGTTGCTGCGTCCCTTGAAATGCTAAAACATTGCAGGCACCTCCTATTCCCTGCAGCACCCTGGGGTGATTTGTGTGGACCTGTTGCACTGTGAACATATAGACACAGACACGCTGGGACTAAGCACGCTAACTCGGCAGACTTCCGCTTTTCCCTCCAACTTTTCTTTCTGACTCAGACTGAGAAAACTCCCCTTCCCACCGCTATGCCTTCCAGGGCTCCCTGTTTATTCACTAACATTGCAAAACCTATTCCTCCTTCGTCCCAGTTTCTGTTACTCTGTCTGTCCTGGGAGCACAAGATCCTGCTTCCACTATTATCAGCTCAGCCTCTCCTTAGGCCTGGCTTAGTCAGAACTTTGCAAAACGTAACAGCAAAGGTGGAAGATGGCAAACAGGGAACTAGGTTTTCTGGGTCTGGTGGGACTCCAGTAACCGGGAGGTGTTGGAAATCTGCTCACTAAATTTGCACTTGCAGCGATACTAGCCAAGTAAACAAAGAAGGGCCCACATATTATATTTATTAACTGCAATATGACAGGGAGAACCTAAATTTAGAAAGAAGATGTGCCTGGTAATTTATTTCTTTATGGACTAGTACGATATATGGGGAAACAGTGAATAAATATTTATTTAAAATAGTTCTGTGTTTGCGCAGGAAGCTAAATAGTATCCCCCTTATGTAGGTGCCCCAGAGAGCTACCGATCTACATAAAGATCTGAAATAAGATCTTTCTAAGTTAACGCTTTCTGTCCTGAAAATGCCTTAAGCTATGACTCACTTTGCCCCTTTGCTTCCATCTCTCCAACTGTCTTAGAAAAGGAAGGGACCAGCACAGAAGATGCTTGCTGGTGGCCTGGGACCCTCTCCTTGGTACTGCCCATGGGGTGTGGGGTCCTGTCTGATTGGGCCTCTAAGTGCAGCTGTGGCCTTGGCCACTGGTCACAGAGTGCATGGTGAAGTCTTTCCTGCTTGTGGGCAGAAAAGATGTCCCACTTTCCTCACTGGAAAGAGTGCCTGTACCCCTGGATGCCAGCAGTAGGAAAAGACAATTTGGGGGGTTGACACTGACCTGAGGAGCAGGAGCTGAGTCCCGGCTGCAGGGTTGCAGAGCAGGAGGCCAAGTTGTTTGGGACTCCAAAGACTGCGAGGAAGAGAAGAGGTGGGAAAGAAGGGGTTGCGTTTTTACATCTGGTTACATTTTTGTTTTTTGGAAACCTTTCATGTTCAGTTCTGTCACCTGGCAGCAGGGAGCCAAGCATTAGGCTGTGGTTTATGTTGGGTCCCAGCCAACAGGGGTTTTTTAGTCAGGGGTGGGAAGTGGGTCACTGCAGCATTCTTGTTATGGAAGCTCCTTGGGGCACAGAGAAGCTGAATGCTTTGCTCAAGTTCCCATAGATCCTAGCATCCTTTCAGTGTTCCTCCCGTTTCAGCCTTCTGGGTCCCCACTGCTGTGTTCCCTTCTACAGCATCCACCGGAAGAAGCACCTTCTGGATAGCAGTGAGCTGAAGTTCCAGTGCGACCTTGGGGTGCTTGGGTGTAGAAAACCTCCCCATTTGCCCTGGGGATGGCAAATGCCCAGGTGGTCACTGGGCTCCAGGGTAGAGGTGTGGCTATTCTGATTACATAGCAAGAAGCCGTGCCTAGTCTGCCGCCTACCTGACCCTGCCGAGTAGGCGTTGGTGTTGAGGAGGGACGAGCTCTGGGTGGTCATGTTGTTGTGATAGGTACCCATGGAGGACCCTGCAGGCAACGTGGAGGACCACACGTGGGAGGGCAGGTTGGCATCCAGGATGGTGGTGTCATAGGTGCCCGACACTGGAAGCAGAAATGCATTTGTCAGTGAGAGACAAGTCCACCCTGTCCTGCTGGGAGAGCGTAGTGGCCTGGCTTCCTGGGGCTTCTTTAGTTTCAGCCCTGAAGGTTCCTCATTCCAGCACCTCCTCTGGCCAAGTGCAGCCAGGGCAGCTCGTCTCCCCTTCTTTCACTATAGTGTTGGAGCTGGCAGTGACCTGACTGCTTGGATTAGAAATTCTTGTTAGCTCTTGGTAAAATTCAAGATAGCTCTAAGTTCCTTCTTCCCATCATGGTGGGATGCCCCACCTTTCGCTGGCTCTTCCATCTTCGAAGATGCCAAGGAACAGCTCTCTTGGGACCAGCAAATGAGACCCCCAAATGAAAACTCTGATATAATTCCAGGCACCTGTGTGGGAGTGACTGGCAGGACCACCCTCAAACCTGAGGCCACACTGCAGACACCCCTGCATGACACCCCTATCCCAGTGGTGCTCTGCCCTTGAGGGCTTCCCGTGCTTCTCCAGATCTGATGCCAGTGCTGCCTGTTTGCTCCATGAGGGAGCCGGGCAGGCAATGGAGCCCTCCATGGCTTGTTTCATAGGAAAAAGCACAAGTAAGGTCAGACCTATCGATTTTCCTAGAGCGAATGAGAGGAAATCTGTGTTCAGAGCTAACTTGGCCATTTTCCTCCCCTCACTCCAAGGCTCTGTTAATTTGCCTTCTTGCTCCTACAGAACTTCCTTTGGGCCTGGTAGGCACTTGACATTGGGTGCTAAACAGCACTCATCCTACTTGACTGGGGCCTCTTGGTTTCCTGTTCGACTTCCCACAGAGACCCCATCACCAAGAGGGCAGTGGCTATGTCTGTCGTGTCCACTGCTTTCTCTCAGTGCCTGGCATTTGACACAGAGAGGCCAGTAGTAAAAATTCATTAGAGAATGCACTTTCCCCAGGACTCTTCATGTCGGGGAGCCTGGTTAACATATCTGACTGTCCAGAGCCCAGTGGAGGACAATCTCTAGGACACAGAGCTGGGCTCCTGCATGTGTGAGAGGCAGTTTACTACGTAGGTGACAGGCACAGAAACCTTGTGTTCATGCTGCAGAAAAAGTGGAATAACCTAGTCTTGGGGTTCACTCATATCTTCTAAGCCCTTCCTCCCAGTTCTGGAAATCTCTGGAAAAGCCTGGAAGGTTTCCAGGCCTCAGCTGCACTCCTGGCCAGGGTGAGTCTGCCACCCTCCTCCCATTCCTCCAGCAGCCTGGCCCAGGGCTTACCTGACTGAGAGCTCGCCGTCACTACTTTGGTTTCCACAGTGCCTTTCTTGGGGATGGGGAGTGTGTTGGACAAGTTCCGGGTGGGGCTGGCACTTGCTGATCGGCTGCCCTTGAGCAGACGCTTGACCTCGTCCAGCTCTGTCCCTGTGAAGAATCCCCAAACTCCCATCAGGCCCCAGCCTCTTTCCTGAGTATAACCACAGTGCAGGAACGTCGATGGTGTTCCGGATACAGTAGAGGATGCTGTCTGCTTCCCACACTGGGGCATTTTTTATTAGCTTTATGATTTTTGCATTTTGCTAACTAGGACTCCTGTTTCTGTGTCCACAGTCACCAACCTGTCTTGATCTTCTGTTCCTTGTGCTTGGTTCCCACCCTAAAAGTTAGGTTCCTTTCAAATGTTGCCAAATGACCTCTAAAAAGAGTAACTAAAGTCTGATGCCCAATGTAGAAAGGCCGGGGAGCCTTTGACCTTGAAGATAAAGTTCAAACCTCCATGGTCTACTTCTGGCCTATCTCCATTGTGTTGCCTCCCTGAAATGTTCCTTAAATTCTCATCCTGTTTCATCCCTAGTCCATGTTTTAGGTGACCCCTAAGCCAGGAAGAACCCTATGCCTGTTCCCATTTCAGGAAGCTGATATGCAGCCGCTTCCCCATTCCCCCTCGCCACGCTGGGCTGTGGCACTTAGCTGGGTCACCTTCTCCACGTAAGCCTGTGAACTGCCAAGTGGCAAGGACATGTGACTGAACCCCAGCTCCAGCACAGGGCCTAAGACACAGAAGACCCTTACAGATGCTCTATGATTAAGTGCCTGTGCATGTGAGCACACACACACGCGCACACACACACACACACACACGAGACACACACATATGCACACAGAGCACCAGTCCGTAACTCCTGAGTAGGACACAGTGTTCCTATGTGATTTAGTTTCAAGGCATTCCAGAACTTTGCAGCGAGCCACTGACCACTTACATCTGGTAGACGGTGAGGCGCTCTGCAACCGCACTCGAATTTCACTCTCTGTGCAAAGAGACACACATTTGTGAGTGGAGGACCCAGACTGCAGTACCTGACACTGAACTCTGAGCAGCTTTGGGCTCCAAGAGCAGGAAACCTAGGCATCCTAGGAGGAGTATCGCTAAGGAAGGGATGTTCCTGACCTCACCCTGCCTACCCGTCACAGGCACTGAGACACCCCAAGGAAGTCTCAGGTGGGCAAAGAGCCACATCACCCTCAGCAGTGACCGCTCCCTCTGCTGTCATTCACTTCACAGTGGCGAGACCAAGGTTCTCGGCTGCCTCTGTGGCCTCTCAGGCATGCGAACCCCAAGCCTACGTATGGGGTGTTCCTGACGGCAGAAGTTGGGCCTCTCTCATCCTTCTGTGCTCCTTGAGTTTCCTGGCTCAAGGCCGGTGCATGCTAACTGCCCAGGAAATGCTAAATGAACAAAGGAAACCAAACCCAGCCATTGCTCCCACCTCGTGTTTGGCTTCGTCCTCTGGTTGCAGAAGATGCTGAGAAAGAGATGTGTCATTTTAGATGTACAGAAGAAGAGGTATGACATGACATGCAGGTAAATCTTTGGGAGCCACATTTTCTTATTGTGTGTAAATCCAGCGAGGGCTTATCTTGTACAGCAGACAGCTGACTAAATGACAACCATATAGCTGTAAGTGATGATTCCACAGCCAAAGGGCAGGGGCTCTGCTAGCCCGAGGGCATATGAGAGGCTCACTGAGCTAACTGAATGCTCAGTTAGCCGGCAGCATTGGTAGCTGAGGCAGTTCATGGGGAGCACGAGCCACTCGTCCTGGCTGAAAACACTTATCCAGTGGACCAAAGGGCTGTCAGATCGTCACTTTAAAGGGTTTACGAGAGCCTGTCTTGGTTTTCAAGTGTAAGCAACAAATAAAATAATCTCTACATCCCAGTGGTCATAGCCTCCATTCGGAAGTACAGTGATACCAGGACTATGCACAAAAGACTGAAGGCCCAGGGAAGACATGGCCTAGGGTCACTGAAGCAAGCCAGGACTGAGGCCTTTGCCGCTCTGTGACGGCTGCTCCTCTTTGCAGCAGATCCCTGTGCCTCTCACGGGAGGAAGGATCCCGGCAGTCAGTGCTTGGCTTCAGCAGTGTGAGTACCCGGTCATGAATCTTGTGCAAACAGCTTGTGTTTTAACAGCATTGTGAGCACATGCTTGTGACAGCAAGTTAATGTAACTGACAGTCCCTTAATGATGAAAGACAAGGAACAAATGAGTTGGCCGAGGTCAACTCTTGTGCACGTACCCAGGTAGCTCACGACGTTTCCTGCCTGCCACCCCGGCCCCAGGTGTCTCCTTGGTAGTGAGCTTGTCTCTAAGAATAAGGAGAGGACTTACCAAATTCCTTCCGAGGGTACTCTGGGGAAGAGTTGCCACTGGAGCTCCCTGGAGAAAGGGAAGAAGCACTTAGCACAACTAGCCTCTTAGGCCAGTCAGCTTCTCCAAGGGCGGGGCAGCTCTGGCCACTTTGTCCCGATTCAAGATTATTTTGGGGAGCAGGGATGAGCAGACATTCGGAATGAATCAGGCTCATGATTTAGAATGGGGCACCTCAATTCTCTGACCTTGTGATACTTGTTTTTGAAAGTGGATCCTGTTGAAATAATAGGCTCAGGCATAACATCAGAAAGCACTGTGGAGAGCAGGGGACATATCCCAGTGGGGGAAGAGGAAGAGGAAGAGAAAAAAGAAGAAGTGGAAGAGGAGAAGGAGGAAGAGGAGGAGAAGGGGGAAGAGAAGGAAGAGAAGGAGAAGGAGGAGGAGGAAGAAGAGGAGAAGGAGGAGGAGAAAGAGGAAGAGAAGGAGGAGAAAGGAGGAAGAGAAGGAGGAGAAGGGGGAAGAGAAGGAGGAGAAGGGGGAAGAGAAGGAAGAAAAGGAAAAGGAGGAGGAGGAAGAAGAGGAGGAGGAAGAGGAGGGAGAACACCATGTGATGAAAATCGTCTTGTTGGGTCTTGGCTTCCCTGGCAGTCCTCCTCTTCCACTGTCACTCTGTCCTGCCCCTCGGTCACTAGTACCCATCTCCTCTTGCTACTTAACTCCTTTTCCATCTGGCAGGCCATTTCCCACTGGAACTGCCCCTGCACAGCCAGGACCCCGGTGGCCTTAGCCGTGGAGCCCAGGTGCCTCCCAAGCCTGCTTCCCCACCCTGAGCAGCTCCTCTAGGCTCTCCCTCTCCCATGTTCCTCGTCTCCCCACCCTTGACAGCTCTTCCTTTTCTCTTTGTGGGATCCACTCCCAAACTCAGTTCTCACCCAGATTTCCTCCCTGAACTCTGGTTCTGTCTCCACTGCCTGCTCACTGCCTTCTCCCGAGAGCTGTGGAGGCAGCTCAGGCTCAGAACAAAGTAACTGAACTCATCCAAGAGTCCCCTGCTTCAGTGATTAGCTCTGCTGTGGGCCCAGCCTGCATTTGGGACCTCAGCCTCCCATTTCTGCTATTCCTGGACCTCGAATAGGATCAACAGTTTCGCTTAGAAGTCTCCACAGCTGGCCGCTGTGTGCAGAATAAAGGCTGAACCGCATAAACAGCACCGACTCTGGGTCCTCCAGGTCCTCTTTTGGTCTTTTTTGTTTGCTAGATCCCTCCCGTGTGCACACACTGAGCTACAGCCCAGCCCTAGCCAATCCCTTGTCACACATGAGCCCCTGCTGCTTCCTGCATGAGTGCTAGGCTCTGCTGCCTGGACTGTCCTGTCTCTGCCTCCCTGGCTGTCAGCATCTTACACATAAGGCAGGCCCAGCTCAGACATCACCTGCTCCATGGCTTTCCATGATTTCCTTAGCTGAAAATGCTAATCTCATCTACTCTGTATTAGAGCTTTATTCTTTCTTTCTTTCTTTCTTTCTTTCTTTCTGTACTGGGGATTGAACCCAGGGACTTCACACTGAGTTCTGCTTCCCAAACACCTTTAAGTTTTCAAATTTTGAGTCATGGTCTTGCTAAGTTGCAAGTTTCCCAGGCTAAGCTCTAACATTCAGTCCTCCTGCCTCAGCCTCCCAGAGTGCTGGGATTAAAGGTGTGTGCCACCACAACCAGCTTCATGATAGTTTTTTTGTTTGTTTGTCATCTTAACTTCTCTAACAGACTCTCGACTCCTTGAAGACAAGATTCATGTCTGATTTATCTCGGCAGCATCAAGGCCCTGCTTCCACTCTATGTTAAATATCCAGCAGGCTTTTGAAGAAATACCAGTTTAAAGAGTGACTAGTGGATGGATGCATGAATAGCTGGGGGATAGATGCATGAACAGAATCTTCAACTAGTGTGAATCTAAAAAAGAAACGAGGGTGGAGCTGGAGCCAGATTGCAACCCAAGAGTGTTCAGGGATAAGTGGAGTCACGAGGAGAGGGTAGCTCTTCCTGGGTCTGCAGGGTAGGTACCTTCGTACATTCCATGGCGGGCAACGTGGGTTTTCCTTTCGAAGGTTGAACCAGGCGAGTTGGGCAGGGTGGAGGCAGGGGAGTGAGCCCTCCGGTAACTGGAGGTGGAGCCACTGCCTCGCAAGCTTCCATCTGCAAGGGGGAGATGCAGAGCCTTGTGGCATTGTGGCCATAAGCCACATCGTCACCAAGCACACATGGGCAGCTCTTAAAGCTCTTAACTAAGGGAGGGCCTTGCTGGGGGCTGGGGGCATGGCTGCCACTGACTTTCCTGAGCAGACACACAAAGGCCGAAGGTCCCGCCCTTACGCAGTTACAGAGTACATGCATGGCAAGGGTTTTCCCGAGGTCCCGTGTGGAGGTGTAGACTGCTGCTTGGTTGGGCTAGAACACGATCTGGTGGCCCTCAGCGGTAGGGCAGCCACCTCTGTCAGTCAGCCTAGCCTTCCTCACATCCTGGGTTTTCCCTGTAGTTTCACTGTAAGAGTGTGTAGATGGCTGCAGGGATTGTATGTGCATGCTTAGCTGTGTGTTATTTTTCTCACTTTGCTCTGTTTTGCTTTTGTTTGGAAGAACATCCCATGGGCAGTGGTGGGTCAAGGTTGGATGCCTGCCTGGTGGGATTACATACTGCCAGTCTCTCAACAGAGTAGCCAGACTGCTAGGTTTCTCTGGTTGCTAATTAAATTTGTCAGCCTTAAACGTGTGTGGGCGCCCTCTCCTAAAAGATAAGGCTTGGAGAATGAGTCGGGAGAAACAGCCTCCTACTCACATAGGCTTCCTAATGAATGGTAGCTATTCACATTAGGAAATGAATGAAAATCCACTCAGCAGGATTTAAGCGGGGCTCAAATTCTGATGACTTAGAATCCCACTCTCCCTGTGCTCCCCATGCTTTTCTGGCCTCAGAGATCTGGTTTCATGGAAGACAACTTTCCCACAGAGGGGAGGGAAGGGGTCATTTGGGATCAGGGTCTCCTAAGGAACATGAAACCCAGGTCCCTTGCGTGCTCAGTTCACAGCAGGGTTTGTGTCCTGTGAAAACCTAATGCCCTGCTGATCGGACAAGGATTGTGGGGGAGCTTGCCTGCTTCTGCCACCCCTACAGTCAGGGGCTCTGGTTTAGATCGCTACAGGGGCATTTGGAGTAGAAGACACGCAGCCGTGGTGGTCCCTTGCAGCACTGGTTCAGGATCACGCCCGTCTGGTCTCCCTCTCTGTCCATCCCTCTTTCCTGTCCCCAGCCGCTTGCCCTGGTGGGTACTCACTGGAGTTCATGTAGCTGCTGCCGCCATGGGTCAGGCTTTGCTTCTCCAGCCGGCCCCCTCCACCAAGAGAAGCTGTTTTGGTGTAGCCATTGCTGGTCCCGCCTTCTGCCAGAACCAAAAATCAGGGGACAGTCCAGGGTGGAGTCATGGTGTTTGTTCCTCATTCCCTGTGCAGTGGAGCCTCCCCTGGCTTCTCCCCAGGACCCTCCAGAGTGAGGTCCTCTCCCGCTACACTAGGGTGGGAGCTACCATGCTGTAGCTAGTTTGGGATACAAATTTCTGGAGTGGATAGCGAGTTCCTCAATAGGAAACAATGTTAGACAAAGGAGCAGAGTGACAAGAAGCCCCCTGAATCCAGGCTCTGTGCTGGGCTTGCTCTTTGCAGATGCCTGGTAAGGGTTCAGGTGTGGCAGCCTCCATAGAGACTGGAGGGATGTGTGGCCCCTTTGGCTTCTGTCTGGCCTCCTGTCACTGCCAGGCTTCCCCACCCTGTCAGGAGGCTCTTTTTTTTGAGTTACAGGAATGCTCTAACATTAGACTGTAGCAACAGTTACACACTGCGTACCTACACTAACCACCCACGGATTGCACATGCCAAACCAGTAGACTCTGGCATATAAATTAGAGTCTAACATTTTGGCTTTGATCACTGGGAGAGCAGCTTCCCGTGGACAAAGGGATGCTGCGGGGTCTTTCCACACAACTTACTGGGGAGAGGCAGCACTTACTTGGTGGTAAGGATGTCAGTCTTGTGCTTACTGTTTCAGTGATAACTAGAAAGACATAAAAAGAGGCAATCTTAGTGTGTGTACCGACACCTCTGTATTTTGACAAGGCCCGTAATCTGTCGTAGGTTCAATGTGTAAAGTTAAATTCAGCACTTGTGTGCCACAGTATGTGATCCAACCCCTGTATCTGAAAACATAAGCAATAGCCCCAGGGCTCAGGGTACCTGGAAAATAAGTCGGTAGCTCTTTGGAACCAAAAGAAGTTATGCACTTATGTGAAAGATGGGCTGTCCTGGCATCAGGGTCTCCACAAGAGTGCTGGCCCTCTTGTCTCCAGTGACACTGTCTCTCTGCCCTGCCCCTTCCCCAAGCTCCCTGGCTCGCTGGGGCCAATACCTCCACCGAGGTTGCCGTGTGCTTCCGGATGGACTGGAGGTATTTTCAGGTCACTGACACTCATTCTGAATCTTCAGGGCCAGCACAAGGGTGGAGGGTACAGAAAGGAAGAGGCTCTGAGTGAGACACAGGGCTGTTTAGTGTAGTCAGTGATGCATGAGCCTCAAAGACAGACTTAAGGACCAGTGCATTTGACCCCCAGAACTGAGATCCTCTGATCCGAGTAATAGTGGATGTGTGGAGGGACTTTGGCTTCAGGTGTTTGGGATGACACCAGTAAGCAGCAAGGCTGTGTGCCATCCAATCTCTCTGTTCCCTGCAGCAGCGGCAGCAGAAGGTATGGGTTCCCAGGACCTCAGCAGGGTCCATCCTGTGGCTGACCCGACCATCACCACTACCTCCCTGGCTGCTGGACCAAAGGTCCACCCACCTAGCTGGGATGGCTGATCTTTAAAAGACAACACCGTGTATGTGCTACACATGCAGGTGTGCAGGAGTGGTGAAAGGAGAGAAGCCTGAAGACAGTGCCGGATTATTCCAAGTCACCACAAGCTGTGCTGTTGGTCTGCTCAGCCCGTGCTGCCCCATTGCCCATCCTTCTTCACTCCGTGTCTTCCTGCCGAGAACGTGACCAGATAGTAAAGAAAACGAATACTTCGGCAGAGGACAGTGGCTCTTAAGGGTCTTGGCAGTTGCCTTTCACGATTCTTTGACACAAAAGGATAAATTATTTCTGAATCTGAAGTTCAAAGTCTGAGAATTCAGAAGTTTATTTTTTAATTGGAAATAAATGAAAGTCATAGAATAAATTTAAAAAATAAATAAAAAGCTCCCCAATTTAGAGTTGCTCGGTATACAGGTTAAATATCTCTGGCTTTATCTTTTGGGAAGTTTCACAAAATAAATGTACCTTGTTCAATTTGCAGCATAGGTTTTTACTGTGATCTTGGTGTCATTTTAGCTTAGTCCATGGGAGAACTTGGGTTTTATAGTTTCCTGAGTTATGCTATTCACTACCCCTCAGCAGGGAAGTGGTTAAATGAACTATGGTTACTGTAGTCAACAAAATATTATGCAGTTATTAAAAATGCTGATCATGAAAACTACAAGAAGGCCTCACCTCACCCCGCCCCAAGGTACTGGGGATCAAACCACGTGCCAGACAAGTGCTATGCTGCCAAAGCTGCACCCCAGCCCTGGAAGTGGTAATTTCCATCTTGGAAAAAGAAGCAGGATACACTTTGATTCCAAATGTGTTAAATATCATGGTGGGCCGTCTTAAGGAAAGGGATAAGGTCCATTTAGGAGCATGTTTTAAAATGATACAGTGGTTGGCAAGGAATTATTAATAAATGATGTAATTTCTTATTATTTTTCTCATGAACAATTGTAGATTTATAAAGAAAGCTTGGATGCTCTTACGCCTTTCAGTGACTTCCGTGCCTTCTCGCTTGCTTTTCTTGGTTACATCCATCCCATCGCCACCTGCTGGAAAGCAGAAACCATGAGAGGTCTTTCACCACTGCGTTCAGCAAGCCCCCGCCCAGCTTTATGCACTGAGAACCTTGATTCTTTCTCACGCCGCCTCCTTTCCAAAAGCTGTTTCTGTTTCCTGCCATCATCTGTGACTGTCAGAATTTAACAGCCCTAACTTGGGGTTTAGTTTTTGTTCTGCACTGGGGATCAAACCCAGGGCCTTGCACTCTGCCAATGAGCTCTACCCCCCACCTTGGGGTCTGCTCCTTTCTGCTGGGATCTTGTTTTTCAAAGTCTATCAGGCTAGATGGCCTCTGCTGAGCATCAAAGTGCTTACAAAAGCTATGGTGCCCTGAACTTTGTCTGACTATAAACCCTACTCTGGGCCAAAGTAATAAATAGCTGAAGGTTATCTGCTAAGGCATGGTACTGACTCATTGGACATTTCCTGTAGGGTTTTTTGTTCTGTATGGGAACTCCAGGAAGCTAAGAGTTTGGATGGGAGGATGGAGCTTGGTAGATTTGAATCAGGATTAAAAAAGTAACATCATACGTATGTGGAACCTTGCACTTTGTGGAGGATGGAGAGCTTTCTTCCTAACAAATCATGCAGACAGTCGTAGGACAAACAGCTGAAGGAAATACATGTAAAACCTACAGCGATGGGGGTGCTGTCTGTGTGCTTCCTCTACTCCTCCTGCCTCAGAGCATGAAAGCATTGCCATGGTGGCGAGTCCCTGGCAGAAGACAGGGCCGGCATCAAAGGGTGATGGTGGCCGGGCTCGAGGTGTAAACACAGGCACACACCGTGACAGCTCCCTCCCCACAAGTGCAACATTTCTTCTGTGCTCCTGGGCCAGGGTTCCAGAGGCCCGAACACCTGTGGTTTCCCTGAGGTTCTGCCCTTGCCCTAACCTCTGCTTCCTCCTGGCTTTCCTGTGGGTTGTGAGCTAGGACTGAGGCAAGACCTTTCTGCCCTGGTGCCCCTGTGCCTGCCCAGTGAGTCTGGTATCAACTCCCCCACCAGACCCAGCAGACACAGTGCCCAGGCCCACAGCACAGCACATTATAGGGGCCTGGCCAAACTGTCCTACTTTATTTTAAAACCAAAAGGAAAGCAAACCCAATCTACTCAGGATTGTACTCTTGGTACTGGTCCAACCACGGAACATACATTTTTCTAAGTTTTTTTTTTCCTTAGTGGAGGATGTGGCGACAAAGACTGAAGTGCCCAGGACCCAAAAACTCCCAATGCGGCATAGGTGGCTCCCCTGCTGGAAACCAAGTGCACTGAAGAGCAGCCGGTCAGCTGCTGGCTGGAATCCACCATGGCCAGCACAGCTAGCTCCAGGGCTTGGCTGAGTGTGCCAACTTCTTGCTCATCGGTGCATCTTAAACGTAGCTCTAGGTGAATGGTGAGGCATCGTGGGAGTTCTGTCTGGATTGAGATGCCACAGAACGTCTGTTTAGGACCATTTCCTGGGCCTAAGAGGAAGAGCTTCAAACGCACTTTACTGAGGGGCTAGCCTTGCGGAAGGCCACAGCTAGCCTGTGACTGTCTGTGTTCCTATCACACCTGCAGGTATCTCCCCTGCAAACTTGCGTGCAGCTGGACCTTCAGAAGTCCTTCCTCGAAGTACTGCTTGCCTTCAGGAGCCCTCCTCCCCGCTTTCTTCCCCCCACCCTGCCTTCTCTCCACCTCCCTCATTGTGTCCCCCCCGCCCCCCACCCCATTGGTCATCAGCTGTGGAACGGGAGGCATTGGGGGAGAGTACACATTTAATCACACCTGGCTGCAGTGGGGGAGTGACTAACTAAACATTTAGGGTGACACCTGAATTGGTAGGCAATATTACTCTGAAAAGGTCTGTTTGTAACAGTGCAGGAAACTTTCACTACCCTTAAGTTCTTGCTTATTTTTGATCCTTCAGTGAAATTTACAGGTAAGATTGGCTGGGTTTATTCCCCTTGTAGGAATCGAGGCAGATGGATGATGACAGTTTGGTGAGAGTTCTGTCTCCAGACAGCTACCCTGGCAAATTTTGCCTGTTCTTCCTATCTCCAGGAAAATAACTGGTGTTTCCAGACTCTCCATTTCTTCCCTAAATTCCAGTGGCAGAGATTCAATTTCTGTAGCAAAAAGCCAAGGGTTCCCCAATTTGCAGAAAACACAGTCTGTTAAGCAATCAGGTGCCCCCTTCAGGGCCTGGGCACACTCCAGGGGAGGCACTTGGTTGGGGGGAGGCACCCTGTGGATGGCACCTATCATGGGCAGGCTCAGAAGGATGCCCTTTTCTCAGTTTGAAGCCACTCAAACAGCTGGGAGCCCCTCAGCCTGCAGAATTCTCTGTCAGTCTGACAGTCGGAGGAGGCAGGGATATATGGGTGACAGATGCTTTTGTGCCAGCAGTAGGAAGTCTCTGTGGGATATGTAACAGAAAATAGTGGGAGGAAGGTATCAGTTGGGATCAGGGTCATTCCAGGGGGCCTACAGGACTTCTGTGTAAAATGCTGGGAGTGCTGGTGGTTTCTGAAGCGTGATGTCGGGGAAAGGAAAGTCGACCTGGTTCTTGCTTCAGCCTGCCCTGTCGGGCAGCCCCACCTGAGCTCACCATTCCCAGAATGGAAGCTCTGGGCAACAGCATGATTTTTAACTTCCTGGATACTGAGGTCACTTTGCTGGCACTAGGATGAGCAGCTAATTCAAGTTTTCAATTCCAAAATTATACTAATTTACATCCATAGTTTCTTCTTATATATTTATTTATTATCTATCTTTTTGAGCAGGGGCTCACTATGTAGTTCACACAAGCCTTGAACTCACTGTGTAGCCCAAGTTGGCCTCAAACTCATGGTGATCTTCCTGTCTCAGCCTCCTGAGTGCTGAGATTATAGCCATGTGCTATCATGCCCAGATTAAAATTTATTTTAATAGACACATAGATAATCCTATGCATTTAAGAGCTCCAGCAGGATAGTTTGATACATGTACACATGCAATGATCAAATCAGAGTGATCAGCATTTCTGTCATTTTAAACATTTATCCTTTTGTGTGTGTGTGTGTGTGTGTGTGTGTGTGTGTGGTAATGGAGTTGACCCAGGCCCTCTGCATGGAGCTACTGCCTCATTTGAGATAAGGTCTTGGTAAGTTGCACAACTGCCCAAGCTGGGCCCGAACTTGTGGTTTTCTTGCCTGTCTCTCAGAAACATTTATCATTTTTTAGTGTTTGGAGCTGGGAACTCCTGTCTTCTAGCACCTTATGAAATACATAATGAGCTGTCCTTCACTGCAGGTTGGTGCATGGGACTCTGGCTTCCTCTTCCCGTCTAACTGCATTTAGGGACCTGCTATCTTCTGGTCTCTAAGGACAGCTACTCAACCACCCAGCTCCCACGTAAGAGGGAAACCAGGCTCACCAGGTGGTTCATAGCTGGTGTCTTTTGCAGAGTTGAAAATGATCTCACACCACGTTCTAGGCAAGAAGACATAGTTTCATTCGTTCTTTTATCCTTTTCTATCCTTTTCCCCATTATTTAAATGATGTCACAGCTGCCTAAACCTGTTCAGGTCGTGATATAACCTCACCCACAAGTAGGACCAGCCACTGCCACTCGGACTTTCTCTCCACCTCCTGACGGGAAAGACACTTTGTCCTTCATGCCAAAAAGAGAGTTAGGATGCCGAGTGTTTTTCTATTTTCTAATTTTAGGAACAAATGCTTCCACACTTGCTAAAGAATAACAAATATCTTTACTTTTTTACAACTTCTATTACTCCAATCTTGGTGTACTGGAAAATTTAAAACAAAACACAATTGCCGTAATGTAAGAAAACCATCCTCTGCCTGTTGCCCCAAGCATATACAAGGGTGGAGCAGTCTGACCTCCAGGGAAACCAGTGCGGGATGGATGCACTGGGGGTGTCATCTACAGCACCCTGCACTTGCTATATCTGACACCTTCAATTCTCACAACCACAGGTGCAGGAGGGGTGGCCAGCTGGGCTGTTTATAGCTGCGGTTGCTGCTGTTAATAATGGCAAATACACAAATCAATGTGGGAACAGACTCCTTGTGGTCAGGCCCAGTTTCAAAATATGATAGTCCTCAGCCTGATCAATTTGGTGCCCTGAAAGAGTTTCTAAGCCAGTACAAAGCAAGGCTGGTCACTGTAATCATTCCAGATAAACTCTGATCAGGTTCATGCAGAGATTTCACAGGGTCCCCTGATTCTCAGGGTCTCAGTGCCTGGACGCGTGTGAGGTGAGTTCTGACTCAGATCTGCTCCTCACTTCCAGACAGAGCACACAGAGGTGAAAAGAGACAATTCCACTTACAAACAAAGGCCTTTGCTCTGTGTTTTTACGGACATAGCAAATCCAACCTTGATACTCCCTGTGAACTGATTCTCACAAAAGTGAGGCGCCAGAGGTTTTGCCTCCACTTCAAGAAGCGAGGTGATAATTTGTTAGCTTGCAGTTACTGTGGTCCAGGTAGATGCATAAACCGGTAATTCTCATCGGGAGTGATTTTTTTGGGGAAAGGAGGCTGACCTGACTGGTGAGAATATGTATAAGAAAAAAATTTCTCCCTTCCTCCACTCCTCCTCCTTCTTTTCTCCTTCTGAGTTTGATTCTAGGAAACTCCTGGATCAACCTCACCACTTCAGGGGTTTTGCTTTACTTTAGGTTAGGGGCAGTGAAATTTCACAACATGAACAACAGCCATGCTCTGCCCGGCTCTGTGGCAGCGCAGAGGCTGGGCGGCGCGGGGGGGATGCTCCTGGATGCCCCCATCTCCCCTCACCCCCATCCCAGGCCCTTCTCTGCTGTCACAGGGGGGCAGCAGGGCAAGAACGGAGAGAGGGCGAGAGCCAGACAGCAAGAGAGGAAACTGAGATGGAGAAAGACACAGTCACAGTCCTTATCAGAGTCTGCAAAAATTACTTTACGGCAAGACATTCCACAATACCAATAATAATACAGGAAAATCCTGGTACTGGAGCCCAGTATGTTATAACTGGCTTTATTTTTCCACCCCTGGATTTTTTTTTTTAGCCCTTTAAAAGACTTGCACTATGCAAAAACACATACACCTCAACATTTACATCCAGTCCATCACTTCCACCAGGAGAATTCTAGAAACAAAGAACTTTGTCTTATTTATTTTCTCCAATAAAAATGTAATTTCTAAATTGCAAACCTCTAAATGAAAGTCTCAAAAGAAGGGAGGAAGGTCAAGCTTTCTGCTGCTTACCTGGCTTATGGTTTTGACGGAACTGGAAACAACTTTGACTAAATCTCCCTCTCTTTCTCCCTTTGACGTTCTCTTCTCCAAGTAGCAGTGCCCACTTTTTTTTATCCAGGCCCAGTCAAGGTGTGTTAAAGCTGAGTGATCCTCCAAAAATGTTCACTTCATCTCTCCTGGTTGTTTCTTTCAGTGCTCTGCTCCCAAACAAGTCCCGACAAAGGCATGTTGTGGTTTACAGCCTTACTCCACCCTTCCAATTATCTGACACTTGCTGCGCTTAAAAAAAAAATCTGCCTCCAGGAATCAAACTTTATAGGAGGCAGAAAACTTCTACCAGCTTAGCTAGATTAACCATTTATAGACAAGTGGGGGGAAAGGGAACAAAGGGCCAATGTAGAGGAAATGCCATTTGGGACTTCTTACCCTCCCTGGGGGGAGGATTCCCATAGTCTGGTATTCCCCTGGCTTAGTGTTGTGGATATGGCGTCTCAGTGTGTCTGACTTGTGAGGGTACTTAGGCCCAGGGGATGAGATGAGGGTGCTGAGCATCAGACAAACCATGCAGAAATTACATTCAAGCTCTATCTCCCTATCTATGCCAGGGCAGGTCCATTGGAGAAAAGAGTTAGTCAACTAACGCACGAGAGGTTCACAGCTGAAAAGGTTGAACAACTTGGGGATTCACTTTTAAGGAGAGGTACCAGGTATGTGAAGAGACATGGTGGTGATTAATCTTCAGTATGTAGCCACCTAATAATGAACAGAGATGCTGTCAAGGAGGAGAAAGGATCTTCTCCTAAGTCAGGTGACAACAGCTTCCCACACCTAATGATGTGTGGGCTCCCAGATGCCCTGTATCTCCAAGTGCATCCCACAGGGTCTTTCAACTTCTCTAGATGGGGCCAGTTACACCAGCACAAGTCTGGTGTCCATAATTCTTGCAAATATGTGGGTAGCATCTGACTTTCCAGGTCCATCAAACACTACTTAGCAACTCTTGGTGCTGGTGGTGTGGGCACTATGAACCTGAGACTCACTCACATGGTCCTGTGGGCCATGGCAGGTTTGGGTCCCCAGCACTGAGCACTAAGATTAGGTGGGGAGCCAAGAGGCCTCTGAAGCCCAGCCCTGCACATGCCATTCTGCCCAGGGCCCTCACCCTGAGCAAGGCAGCGGACCTCTGAGAATTGCCAGCAGGCTGTCATGCCTGGGATGCTCAGTATCCTGCATTGCAGTGACACATGTCACAACTCTTTCTGCAGGCCTGGATACACTCATGACCCCAAATAAATACTCACTGTGTCTGCTGTCAATCGCTAAGGAGAACCCAGAAGACAGAGTTTTAAGCATTAAAACTGACATATCCCTCATCATTCATTTGTTCATACAAGAATTAAACTGAGCATCACAGATTCTTCTTGGACTACATGCAGAGATGTCAGTGGTGAAATAAAGGCTCATTCTCCATCCTATGGTCTCCCAGTCTAGAGGAGGGAGCCAGGCTTTAAATTTGTACTGGCTGGCTCAGACAGCCATACTGAAGAGTCAAGTCTAGCCGGCTCAGAGAGTAGAAATTTATTTTCTCACAGTCTTGGGAGGTAGAAGCCCAAGACAAGGCATCACCAAGTTTGACTTCTTTTGCCTCTTCCTGTGTCCTGTGCACCCATCCCTGGTGTCTCTCTTTGTGTGCCCTAATCTCTTCTTATAAGGTCTCAGATCTGAATGGATTGGGATTCTCTTGATTTTAATGTAATTTGCTTCTTTAACAGTCCTGTCTCCAAACACAGTTTTATAGAAGTATCGGGGTGCCGCACATGAGCTGGGGAGGGGGCACACAGTTCAGTCTATAAAAAACAACTGTGGGAAACTGAATGTGGTAACTGCAATAGAGAAAGTCTTGGATACACGAGGGGGTGCAAAAGGATGCATAGCCTTGAGGAGGGGAGTTTGGGGATGTTCTGCCAAATAAGTGACATTTAGACTGACCGATGAAGGTTGAGTATGATTTCACCGGCAGAGGGAGAGTACAGAATGTTCTAGAATCTGGTTGGGGACACAATAACTGAGAAGGCTCTGCAGTGGGAGAAGCATGGTGACTGGAGGAATGGGATGAGGCCTGTTTAAGGTCATCTCATGCAGCATGGCCAGGAAAGCTGCCGTCTCACAGTAGCCGGGAAGCCCAGAGGGCAGGAGAGAGCCAGCAAAGAAGGGACTGGGGGATAAGATGTAAGTCCCAGGGGCACAGCTTGGGGATCTCCTCCCTTTAACTAGTCCCCACTTCTCTCACCTTCCTTGAATGTCGCTGATTATGAAGTTGTCAGTACATTAATCCAGTGGCGAAGTTAGAGCCCATCAGACAGCAACCAGAGTCACTTCCAACAGCCCATCAGACAGCGACCTGGCCCCCAGCATTTAGGCTTTAGGAACACTCTAGATCCAAAGTATGACACAAGGGAAGAGGGCTAGGGAGGTGGGCAGACCCAGATAACCAAATGTTCTTTAGTTGACCCTGTAAGCGCTGCTTGGATTATGTGTCCTGGGGATGAAGGGGAACTGTTGCTAACGTTCTCTAAGGCCTGTTATTAGCTTAATAATTCCCATACATTATGTCACATAATCCCTCTGGAGTTGTGTGCCATTATCTGCCTTTTATAGCTGGGAAAAGTGAAGCTCCGAGAATTAACTAGGCTGAAGCTCTGTCCAGTAAGCGGCTTAGTCTGTATTCTACCTGACTCCCAAACTCCTGTCTTCTACTGGCTTCAGTGTTGTTAAAATTTACAATTAGAGCTTTAAATGGCAAGAAAGTAGGCAATATCAAAGCAGATGGGGTGACGTGCAAATGACAATCTAAACAATAACTAAATCTATTGGATCAGTGGGTGGGTCTCAGTCTATAGCACTATTATGCTGTATAATTTATTTATGATGAGAGATTAGATAGAAATCTGCTTACTAGGATAATTACTCACCTATAACTATGACTTCAAAATCAAACACGTTAATAAGCAATCACCAAAATAAACATGGGTAGTATTTTCTTCTCTCCTTGAGCTCCTAGAATAATATTGCTATTCTCCACAATTGGGGGAAAAATCACACTTGCAATAGATAAACTTAAAGTTGATTAATTAGGGGTGTTGTGAGGTCACACAATATCCTGTGTGTTCCTGCATAGTCACATGTGCACGTGTGAGTACTGTCCACTGAGCCTGGGCTAGTCATTTTGGGGGAGAAGAAAATGAAAAGGATTCCAGTACACCCTAATTCCTCAACATTCTTGGCTTATCATACTTGGCAAAACCATGAGACTTAAAACTTGGTTCATGGAGTGAAAAGAAAACCCTATATTATTCAGTAGTCATATGTTAAATTCCTACCACAGGCTTGGTACTAAGGGAGTTATCTTTGAAATGTTTTAACCTATCTAGAAAACAATGAAATTCTTGCTAAAACAGAGAAGCCAAGAGCCAACATGACTAAGACCCTGGAAAAGTGTTCCTTCCTGTCTACATCCAGCACTGTATTTGTGAGTCACCTTGATCAATTTTTGATTAACTAGAGTTAAATGTTCCTTAAAGGGCAACCGGAAAAATGCTCATACTTCCAAAACCTGTCTATGTTAGTTTAGATAGGCTGGGGAGAAGATGTCTGCTCACGTGTGGCTCCTGTGGGTACCCGGTGACCAACTCCTTTGCTTGTTGTGCCATCTGAGTAGAACTGGCTGATGGGTTTCTGAAGTGATGGGCACATTCAGTTATAGCAACATTTGCCTCCATTCCTAGAAAATAAGGAGGAAAGCTCACTGAGAGGGAGGTGGGAGAGCATAATTTCATATTTTATGAGGCAACCCCAGTACTGGGAGTTATTGATTCAGCTCTTTTATTGCACAGTAAATCCAGATTTTTTGAAAATTAATTCCTACACATTAAAATAAGAAGTAATACAGTAATAAGGTGTCGCAGTTTGCTACCACTGTTCTGAGACTAGAAGCCTGTATTTCTGCCAGCTTGCTTTGGTTAGCACATGATCTTGGGTAACAATATTTCCCTATAAACAGTTACATCAATGACATATGTCATGGTTCATACAACAGCTTGGCTTTTGAAGGAATATAGCTGAGAAACGGTACGGACTCCTACCCTCACATGTGTGGCCTGGGTCTCCATCTGCTTTTCATGTCTGTAATGTGTCTTGGATTGTCCCTAGTTATGCTCTTTGTTGTCATTGTTACAATGAGAAGCACCTGGCTTCCTACCTTGTTTTCTAACTTTAGAGCTGTTCATTTGTTTATTTAATCAAAACTCATACATAATTGTTGGAGGAGTAAATCACTACCTACTGGGTGTCTCCCATGAGTAAGGCACTGGGTACAGCTGTAAGTAACATGCAGCTGAGGCCGAGATGTAAAGCCCACTCCCAGAGCTCTACAGTAAGGGAATGGGTACATTTACTACGCATGCAAATAATTACAACACAGGGACAACATAAACCGTGAGTTAGCTGAGGATTAAGGAAAGCTACTTCCTGTTGCAGGCATCATTTGAACATGGACTCGGGATGGTGTATGGAGAAGCTGAGGGTGGCAGAGACATAGGAAGGAGCAGATAGGTGAGGTTGGAAGGGTAGGCTGAGCTGGTCCAACTGTGGATGGAAATTGCTTCTGAGGAGTGTCCGTGTCATTCCAAAGGTGATGGGGAATGGTCGGGTGTTTTAGAAAATGGAGTTATCAGGGCTGTGCTGATAAAGGATTAGCATGGTGAGAACAGAGTGTAGTAGAACACAGAGAGGTCAGGTAGTGGGACTGATGAGGTACTGTAGCTATTGACTCCAAAAGGGCCTGGCTTCAGCCTGGCAAACATGAAACAGGAACCCAAGGGGGCAATAGTAACAAATGTACAGGGACAATGACATTGAGAGGCTGCTGTTAGTCTGAGAGACTTCTGGGCCCAGATAACGCTGAGACTCTTCCATGCTATCATTGTTGATACATTGTGTCAACTTAAAAAGTCTAGAAGTTTAACTCAGCAGTTCCACATCCTGGGGTGTAGCGGACATGTCCTTTCCGTGGCTCACTGGGTCAACTTGCAAAGTTTAGAAGTTTAACTAAGAGATTCAGCAGGGGGCCAGGGTCCTCCCTGTGTAAACTCCTGTGCAAGAGGAGGGCACAGAGATGGTGTGAGTGCTACATTCGTCTGAGGGTGAGTTACCTGCATACCATATAAGGGAGAAGAGGCTTGCTCTTGGTTGTTCCCTGTCTTGTGCTGCCGTGACCTGTTGCTCCTGTGCTGCCCACTGTGCCCTGGGCTAGCTGATTGTGGACTGAAATCTCCACAAACTGTGAGCTAAGTAAAACACCTCCTCTAACTGTGGGCATTGGGTATTTTGTCTCAACAATGAAAGAAAAGTAACTAAGACACAAGCCAACCACTGGCCACAGGGATTCCTCTCTCTGCCAACTTACTTTTCTCAGAAGCCCATGTGTCAGAGCTTACATTCCAGGGAAAGATAAGAAAACAATAGCAGCAAACTTCTTCCCCTTGGGTTGGACTCTTCCCAGCCCCCATTTTGTCCTGTGTTCCTTCCTAAGTTATTATAAATGTGAAGCTTTAAAAACTGGCTGTGTTTTTTGTCTTGAAGAATTTAGGTATTAAGACAATAGGATAATATTAGAATGTATCACCTATGGGTGACATATTTGATTAGTTTAAAACTATTGTGTGTTATTTCTAGTGCACGCCCCTATAAATGATCCGAAACTAGTTCCTAATTGTTTAATATTTATAATTAGTTTTATCAAAAAACAACCATGAGCCAAAGAAAAATATGTGAAGGGTTAATCTTATCAGTAACTCTCCTTTACTCTGGTTTGAGTGCATCCTGCAGAGCTGAGTGTTGGGAAGAATCCCCATGGTGACAGTGTTGAAAGGGAGGACCTGGAAGGGATGACTAGGTCACTGGGACTCTGCCCTCATGAATGAATGAATGAATGCACTTGTCATGGGGATAGATTCTGTCACATATGACTCAGCATTGGAAGGTGCTCACCAGAGGCTGGTCCCTGCAACTTGGACCTACCACCCCTCCCCCTGAGAAGTAAGTTCGTTTTCTTTACAAAATACCCAGTCTCTGGTGATTTGTACACACTAAGACACCTTTCATAATCAGAGAAAAAATGGTGGACAAAAGATTTCCTATGTCAGTGGAACAAATGAAAATCCTCCTGTTGGGTGGGAAGTCATTTTTAGCCTCATGTCTGGCAATGTTTACCTGCCTCCCCTGGTGGAGTGAAGGCTCCCTAAGACCTGGAACCAGTGAGTCACCTATACTCTGTTCAGAAATGCCCTGGAAGGGATGTGGGAAGCCTCAAGGAGAAGGAAAGCTCAGTACAGCCCACAAGAGGAGATGTGCATTCTTTTATAAAAAAAATCACACAGTTGTTTAAAATTTATGTTAGGATTGATCCTTGTTAGAGGGCAAGTAAAAGCCCCAGTTAAACACAGTGGGCAGGAAACTGACAGCTGCCCTGATCACTGGATTTTAATGGCTTCCAGGCCAAGGAACTGAGGTACCTGTCAGGTATCAAGCATTCCCTTGTGCTGCAGGCCTTGGTTCAGGACATGGGCTTGCTTTTCTCAGAACATGCTCACACAAAGACGAACCTCATTAACGTGGAGACCGCACCCTATTATCTGGTTTGTGGTTGCTAGGGTGCTCCCCAGGGTATATCTCCATACACACTCACACTGAGAACCAGGTCTCACCACAGGGCAGACTCATCAGTTGTGCATTCCACTGCCTGTAATACTCACCTGAAGGCTTGATGGCTTGGGCACAAAGGTCACACCTGTGGTTCTCACCCAGTGTTTTAAGGACTCTGGTGCTTTAACCTTTTCCTGGAACCTGGAATGATTTGCAATCAGACTATTTACACTCAGCGAAGTTCACCCTTTTTTTTTTTTTTTTTTCCTTTTTTAGCATTTAGAAGTTTGTGTTCTTGTGTGTTTTTGGTATGGTGATTGCATCCAGGGCCATGTGCACACTAGGTATCTATCACCCAGCAGAACTCCTCTTCCCTAGGAATTCTGGCAAATGCACACAGCTCAGTAACTACCAATGTTCAAGATATGGAACAATTCCTTACACCCCCGATTCCCTCATCCTCACTTTAGCCCACCTTCATTTCAGCCTCTGACAACTACTGAGTTGTTTTCTATCTTTATAGTTCTGCCTGTTTATACAATACTGTACTTCAGAGTCTGGCTTTTTTGTCTTAGTATTTGACATTCATCCACATTCCTGGGTATGTGATTGGTTTGTCTTCTTTGTTACAGATAATAGTCCAACATCTGACATACAATGGTGTACATATTCACATGATGGACATTTGGACCGTTTCTCATTTTCATCTATTGTAAATAAGATTGCTATCAGCATTCAAACAGATTTGTATGAATACAAACGATCATTTTTCTCGCATAAACACCTAGGAGTGGAATGATGGCCCAGGTAAATAAATATCAGATTTTGTAAAAAATCCGACTTTTTGAGAAACAGGCAGACTGCTTTTATAGTGTTTGTACTGAGTCTCAGAAAATAATACCCCAAAGTGTGGTGCTTTGATATGCTGAACTGGAGAAACAGACTGATTCAAAGCCTCTGCCCATATTGTCTGGGAAAACTTTAATATGGTAATTTTGATAGTCCTTATATATATAAAGCCCACAGACCAAAGAAAGAGAACATAATGCTTTCCATGCCCACCCTAAGATCTCGTTAGGTATCTCAGAGAAGACGACAAGGGATGCACCCACACTAGATAATCCGGACCTGGTCACAAGACAGGGTCTGACCTTTCAGCTCATTCAGAGAATCATTTTGCAAGCCGACCTCTGTTTCTACGTCCATTCAGCCCCTCCTTATCACTTAACCACTCTCAGAGATGCTTATGTTTTCCCTGTGAAGGTGTCCAAGCATCTGAATCTCACCAGATTAATCGGTACTCATACTCCTGTGATTCTTCCCGTGAGCATTAATAAACCTGTGCATCTTTTCTCCTATTAGTCTGTCTGTGGTCAGCCATCCAGTGGACTTCCAGAGGGCAGAGAGAAAGCTTCTTGCACCCTGCAGTGCTGCTTCATGTAGGTGAGCTCTAGGCATTCTGTGTCCTCAGTAGCCCTCAACAGTGAGGTAGGACGATGGCTGTGGATGGTCCCTAGGTCTTTGTGCACAGTGCATAATAACTGGATGTGGCATGTGAGGGTAAGGAAAGAGCTGCAAAACTCTAATCAGGCGACAGTACTATGTAGATTAGTAGGACCGAAGAAATAAGGACAGGTGGGAAGGAGATGAACACTTTGTCAGGGGTAGTCAAGGTTGTCTGCGGTCATCCACACTTTTGGTCCCAGGCCTGTGTGCTTCTCTCCCTGCCCCTCACTCCCCAACCTGCAAACCCTTGAGAGCACTACCAGCCCAGGACTTAGCCTGATTCATCAAGGGCAGCAGCCTGACCTTAACATAAAGGAGCAGCTGTAAATGACTCAATATTTTATTGCCATCCTTCCTAACAGCGGCCTCCAAGACCACATACATCTCCTAACAGCGCAGCAGGGCATGTCTCCCCCTCAAGCACCTGTGCCAACAGCATGTGCTTCCCAGCTCTGCCTAGTAAAAATGCCTGTGCTTCACACATGAGGCGTCCAGGAATCGTCTTCTGCAGTGAGAGGCTGAGGACCTGCCTGGGGTAAGCTGAGGGCCCGTGCCCTCCCTGGGGCCTTCTCAGATCTGGGCTGTGATGATATTGCCAGCTTGTTTGATTTTAGCCCTTCCAACAAGCCCAGAGTGGTGTCCCATTGTGGTTTTGACTTGTACTCCTAGGGTGACTGAAAATGTGGATCAGCTTCTCTCATGCTTATTCGCCATTCGCGCATGTTCTTTTGGCTCAAATTAGTGCTCATTTTGAAACAGGTTGTTTTCTCAGTATTTGAACTTTGGTAGTTCTTTGTATATTCTGCATACTAGTCCTTTATCAGACAGGTTTTGCCGACCCAGTCCTTGGCTACACGTGTCGTTTTCTTAACAGTATTTGGGAGATGAAGTCCCATTTATCAATTTTTTTTCTATTTTAAATCATACTTTGGTGTCCTAAGAAATCTTATAGCTCCAAAGATTATTTTCTGTGTTTTCTTCTAGGAATTTGATTATCTTGACTCATTTTACAAGATATTTTGAGTTAATTTGTGCAAGGAGTGTACAGCCAGGTATAGATATATAGAAAGAGATAGAGACAGAGATACAGATAGAGATATCACCATTGTTCTAGAATCCATTTGTTGAAAATACAATCCTTTCTCCTTTGAATCCCCCCCATCGCAGTTTCCTCATTATTTTACAGAAAAGAAAATATTCAAGGTCCTTACTCCATCATTTTTATTGATGCAACTGATAGGTTTATGAAGTGTAGACTCAGCCTTGTATTCCCTGGATAGAATCCAGCTGGACATGACATACTTTTCTGTGTGTTACTGAATTTGATTATTAGCATTTTGTTGAAAAGTTTATTTCAACTCATATAGTTTTTCTTTTCTTTATTTCCATTTGCCATTTATTAAAGTCTATTTTTTGGACCATTTATCATTTTTAAACAAGGAGTTAAAGTATTTTGCAAACAAGTGTTTGTTAAATGTCATCAGGACTATCTACATAAGTTTATTTTTTTCTCTTCTTTTTTTAAATTTTCTTGATCTCCCTTTTCAGAGCACTGTATTTTTCCTTGTAAGAGTCTTTCACTTCTTTGGTTAATTAGTTCCTAAGTATTTAATTTTTCTTGAGTTATCATGAACAGTATTACTTTCCTAACTTCTTTCTCAGTGAGCTCATGATTGGATTACAGGAACACATAATTTTTGTCTGTTGATTTTGTCTATCTTATCTGCAAATCATGATAATTTCTTCCTTTACAATACATAAACTTTTCATTCATTTCTCTTGTCTAATTGCTCTGACTGATCCAGGTTCTATATTGAACAGGAGTGATGATAGTGGACACCCTTGTCTTATTCCTGATTTTAGAGGGAAAGCTTTCAGCTTTTCCCTATTTAATATAATGTTGACAGTAGGTTTGTCATAAGTAGGTTTTATCAGGTTGAGAAACAGTTTTCTTTTTCTATTTTGAGAGAAGGTCTTTCTATATCTGTTGTCTTCAGGTTTTTTTTTTTTAACTGGTGAAAGGATGTTGGGTCTTGTTTGTTGAGATGGTCTTGTGGTTTTTGTCCTTGCTTCTGTTTATGTGATGCATCATATTTATTGATTCATGTATGTTGAACCATCCTTGCATCCCTGGGATGAAGCCTTCTTGGTCACGATGTGTGATCTTTCCAATGATTGTTGCATTCTTTATCAGTATTTGGTAAGGATTTTTGTGTCTGTGTTTGTTAGAGAGATTAGCTTCTAGTTCACTTTTTGGTTGGATCTTTGCCTGGTTTTGGAATCAGATAATGCTGGCATCCAGGAATGACTTTGGGAGTACTGCTTCCCATTCAGTTTCATTGAAGAGTTTGAGGAGTGCTGACATTAGATCTTTCCTGGAGTTCTTATAGAGTTTAGCAGCGAATCCATTGGGACCTAGGCTTTTCTTAGCAGGTTTTTTTTTTTTTTTTAAATACTGCTTCCATTTTATTGCCTGTTATTGGATTATTCAGTCTTTTAAATCTCAGTTCAGTTCTGTAATTCATAAGTATCTAGGAATCTACCCAATTTGTTCTGAATCCTCCAATTTATTGGAGTACAGGTTTTTGAAGTAGACTGAAGAAGGAAATCATGCTAGATGTGGTGGCACAGGCCTGTAATCTTAGCACATGGAAGACTGAGCGGGAAGAGTTCTGGATTAGGAAATCAAGGCCAGTCCTGGCAACTTAGTAATATTCTGTTAAAAAAAAAGACCAATGAAAGAAACCATGAGTGCTAGATCAAAGAAAAAAAACAGATGGGAAAAGAGGAAAGAGAAGAGAAGGAAGGTGTTGAGGTGGATGGGATTTTTTTTTGGTTTCCCCCATGTCAGAAAGTAGAATGAAGCTAGAGCCCTTCAAAAGAGCCAGGCACTTTTCCATTCCCCTTCTTTTCCCTATCAAGGTTTTCTTAGCCATATCCAATCTGGGTTAAATTTTCACCGTTTTGTGAGTGAGGTGAGGGGAAGGCATTAGGGGCGCACGTTGGGCTGTTCAGCCCTTCCTCTTCCCCAGTACTGGAGCAGGCTCTGTGCAGCAGGTGACAAGGCTAGGTGTCAAAAGTGTGACCAGACCCCATTCCTGTCTCACAGGCTTTGTTTCTGAGGTGCTGAGGCTGGAACCTAGAGGCTCCTTCATGCTAAGCAAATGCCCTCCCCTGAGTGCCGCCCGACCCTGACCTTGTCATCTGTGAGATGGGGGTCAGAAAGAAAGGTGTGAGTGCAGCTCCATCTGCCTTTCCCACGTGGGGGATGGCCCCTCCTTTCACCTTAGGAAGGCAAAGGACAAGCCCTTACTTGCTTTTCCAGCCGTGCAGTTTTTATAGCCTTGTAATTTGTGTATGTTTTCTTTGAGGGGTTCTGTTGCCAGCTTGTTCTTAAGCCTGACACTCTAATCTCTTCCCATGATGACATGTCATGATGGTAACCTGGAGACATTTTCAGGTAAACGGCAAGACACAGGCACTCCTTGACTTATTGGGGTGGCACATTCTGGGGAATGCATAGGGAAAGTGTAAGAGTTTTTCCCTCACTGTAAGGGGTTTGGTAAGACCGTGATGGCATCTGGTACTTTTGAACGGTGTTCAGAGCTACAAAAAGAGCATTTTCTAGAGACTTTTTTTCCCCAGTGCTTGTTCCAGGAAGAGGCTTGGAAGACTCCTGTGATTTTTTTTAAGCC